TTTTCTTGTCCCATAAACAGACAGAAACCACTTTTGATGAAATAACACAAGCATGTGCTGGTGTTTTTTCTGGTCATTTTGTTGTTCTTGATGTAGAGAGACCTAGTTATCATCAAAGCTGTAATTATCAATCTCGCCATGACTAAGTCTCTGTTGAATAATATCTCAATAGATTTCCAGACAATACCAGCCAGAGTCTAAACATGGGCATAAAACGCCTTCCTGCCATTCTAAGCAAGGGAGAGGGAAGAGGGAGAGAAAGGATTTCTGCTTTTCTCTTTGTTGAGATGTAAAATAGGATTTTAATTTGTGAATTGGTAGGAAAGTGCTGTTCCTGTCAAGGCAGAGCATTGTACTGAGCATGGTTCTGAAGCTGAGGTTCATTTTCCAGATGGAAATGAGGGTGTCGGATGAGAAAGAATATTTGCCTCAGTATGTTGCTGTTTGTTGTGCCCATTCTCTTTCATCTGCCACATATGGTGTGCAAACATACACGTTGCACCATCCATGATCTGTCCAGAATTCCACATGAATACTACCAACCTGGTGATCATATTATTGGCGGACTTGCTTCTCACCTCCTTACTGCTTCTGACAAAGAAGACTTCAAGGAAAGGCTAACGACCAGTCAACTTCTTAATACCTTGTAAAGACTTCATATGACACGTAATCAGATGTCACAAAAACATCCCCCTGCTCTGACCAGGCTTACTCAGAAACAAGTTCCACTGATTTTAGAGGCATTTCCTTCCAGGCAGAGGTGTTGGGGGGGGGCACTATCTCAGAGCTGAAGAGTTGGCTTGGAAGGAGGGAAATGGAGATCTGAATGTGTCGTCAGTGAGATGAGAGAGTCTTTCTTTCATTCATGCGTTCTCTCCTCCCCACATCCCACCAAATTTCTTCCAAGAAGACTTTCACAAGAGGAGCCACAACTTAAACTTACCTACTTTAAGATGGAAAGCCCTTCTCTGTTCTGAATATTGAACTTCATCTCTGAAGGTTTGGGGTGAAGGGTCTTAAAAGCTCACCTCTCCTTTGAGATGAAATTCTCATTCAGATGTTCTCATCCAAGTCAGGCTAGTCTTATATGACCCTCCCAGTTTAAAATGTGTCACAGGTTTGAATATGATGAGAATAACTCTATTAAGCCTGGCTACCTGCTTCTCTGCATTTCAATACACCTTTTGTTCCAGGATCAGATCAATACCTGTAAATAAACAATTTGTATATGTCCAAGCCCAAACGGCAACCTGTACACTTTATTTTTATCATGTTAGATCTTCAGATGAAGGGGGGTATATTATTATTATTATTATTATTATTATTATTATTAATCATCTTCGTGGTTTCAAAATATTTTATGGCTTCTGTTGATGTCTCTGTGTGACTGTCAATGTCTATAGCCTTCTGCTGTCACTATGGTGCAGGCTTGTTCGATGACAGAGGACTGGTGACAGGGGAAGAGAGAGAATTTCATTTATAGACAGGGACTGGATCAGGTCCATTCATTCCAATTGGCCTGGGCAACAACAGACTAACTGGCTGAAGGTTCTGATCAGCCAAGAAATGGCAGTTAAGTGTCTGTAACCTGAGGTACCACTGTATTAATAAAAGTGAGCTACAAGTATAAAAGTGGAATACAATGTATTCCTTCAAGGGAAACGCCTTTGCATATATACTAGGACACAATTTCAACTAAAATGCTGAAGAATTGTCAAGCCTCCCCCTTTTAAATTGCATAGCATATATTTCAAAAATATAGCATGAAATTCTCATTGCAGTGTTGTGCCAAAGAACTACCAGCATATTCTGGCCTTGATATTTGCTGTCAAGGAGATCAATGAGAACCCCAAGATCTTACCAAATATCACCTTAGGATTCCACATCTATGACAGTTACTTCAATGAAAGGATGACGTACCGGGCAGCTCTGAACCTTCCCTCCACATTTATACCCAACTACAAGTGCGGCACCCAGAAACACCTGGTGGCAGTTATTGGGGCACTGGACTTTGATACCTCCCTCTACATGGCAGACATATTGAGCATCTACAAGATTCCCCAGGTAGGATACTGCCTTGGACTCTTCACACTCAATCACCATGATCTTTTCTATCCAAAAACGTTTTGTAGAGTTGTGACTAAAAAAGGAGGGTGGTCCTGCTCTTCAGAAAATGTGTTTCCTGTGGGCTTTGCAATTAAAGATGTCTGCTCTAGGTGGGCAGTCCTATTTCCCGTTCTTAAGCACACTTCCCTTTTCTCTCTGCTCTAGGTCTGAGCAGTGCCTCCCCTGACTTCTCTAACTAGTCTGGTGTCCCAAGTGCAGTAGATGATGTGGTCCTATTGGTATATTGAAGGAGGATTCAATGGCAGGAGCAGTTGGTTTCTATCTCAGGCAGCAAAATATATTAGGTGTGACCTGGCCTCACCCAATAAACCAAGAAGTGTGGCCCTCTAGATATATGAGGTTCAGACAAATTAGAGCTTTCAAAGGTCAATACTAGGATTTTCAATAGGTGACTTTCTCTTTATGTTTGGAAATGGTTCTGTACAGAGCTTCTACTGAGGCATGCAGAGAATGGTCTGGATTGACTTTGCACTTTGGCTCATGTGTTGGCAGAAAGGTGCCCTCTTTTCACCGGAGGTGAAGGAGGCACGACCTACACAAGATTGGCAACAGCAGCTTACTACTCTAGGGCCTTTACACCCTCATGCATTAACTAGTCCGGGGGACAGCAGCAGTGCAGGAAAGCAAGGAGGATGAACTGGAGACAGAAGATGAGGAGAAAGGAGAGCTAAGCAGGGCAGCACTCCATGGTGGCCAAATCAGCCAACCTCCCAACTTTCTGGAGTCTCCTTCCTGAGGCAACTGGCTTATCATGTCTCCATGGCAGGCAGGCGTTGAATACACATTCTGCATTTATGAATTATGCCTCTTTATTCCTTTTAGCTCACTTATGGTTCCTTTGCTCCAGAAGATCCTGGTCAAAGCCAATCTACTTCCTTCTATAGGATGGTGCCCAATGAAGCCCATCAGTACACTGGGATTGTTGAGTTACTTCTGCATTTTGGTTGGACGTGGGTTGGGTTACTCGCTGTGGATGATGACAGTGGAGAGAGATTTATTCAGACCCTGAAACCTCTGCTCTCCCAGAAAGGCATTTGCTTGGCCTTCTCAGAGACAACCCTGAAAACCACATATTTGGCAGAGTCTTATGATGTGCACTCTGACTTCATCCAAATCTGTCATGTTATTATGGAAAGTGAAGCCAAGGTTGTTGTTTTCTATGGAGGAACAACGCCCATGATTCGCTTGCGAACAATGCTAGTGCTAGGTGAAATGGAAAATATTAACAAAACATCTGTGGGCAAGGTGTGGATTCTGACAGCACAGGTGGATTTCACAACATTGACCTACCAAATGAGTTGGGACATGCATGTCTTCCACGGTTCCCTCTCCTTTGCAGTTTATTCAAATGTGGTACAAGGATTCAAAGCCTTTCTTCGGGTACAAAATCCTTTTGAGGCAAATGGAAATGGCTTTGTCAAGCAGTTCTGGGCACAGGTATTTCTCTGTTTATTTCCAAACCCCAACACAGAGGAGCAGGCCAGTGAAACCTGCACTGGAGAGGAGAAGCTGGAAGATCTCCCTTCGTCTGGCTTTGAGATGAGCATAACAAGCCACAGCTATAGCATCTATAATGCTGTTTATGCCACAGCACATGCTCTACATGCCATGTTCTTGTCCAGGACCAAATACAGGGCAGCAGTGGAAGGAGGGATGCAGAAGCTTCAGAAACTGCAGCCTTGGCAGGTAATGCCTATTATAACGTACAAGTTATTTGACATGGGCAGTGAAATGATCTCTTTCAGCTTTTGCCTTCTGGAAGAAGGTACAGGGTTATAAAGACTAGGACTAGCTGCCTGAGAAACAGTTTCTATTCAATTGTGATTTTGGTTTTAAACACAGTGTAAGGTTAGTCTCTATGGGAGTATATTGTATTTAATTATGGGGTATCAGAGTTTTTAGGGGGTTAACCAGGCTGGGATAGCTGGGATAGCAGGCTTGTTGGTTTCTGAATGTCTGATGTAGATTTTCAATTTCGTTTTTCTGTATGGGACAATGACAATAAAGATTATCTTATTGTATCTAAATGTAGAAGACTAAACTGAAAATTTTCAAGTACTAACTGTAGGCTATGATCCTCCGCTTAACGTACGCAGATAAGCTGCTCCTCCAGTTGTTAAGCAGTAGCTGTGAATCCTGCACTGTGCTGCTTCTTTGTTAATAGGTACCTATGTTTATAGAGAAACTGTAAGTGAAGGAGAATCTGATCTTGCTCTGTCCTGCTCCATTACAAGCAGTATCTCTGCACACAAGTTGAGGGGAGGATCCAAGCCTACAATGAGAGAAGGTGAGAGCAGTTCAGAGAATTCACATGTAGGCTGAGTTTCCCCAAAACCAAAAGGCTTTGTTGCCCATCTCCTCCCAAAGTGAAGGGAAGTGACATGGACGAAGCCTGGTAGGACAGTTTTGTTGTTGTTTAGTCGTTCAGTCGTGTCCGACTCTTCGTGACCCCATGGACCAGAGCACGCCAGGCACTCCTGCCTTCCACTGCCTCCTGCAGTTTGGTCAGACTCATGGGCAGCTTACTCCATGGCATTAGCCCCCTTCATGCGTTGATTAGATGTCTTCATGATGGTTATTTGAGGCTGGTTACCCTACGATTCTCTTCCGTGGGGTGTGACATATCCAGGCAGTGGGAACTGAAAGCCATGGATTTTTCCCTCATTTCTTCTTGGTCAGGAATGCATTAGGATTTTCCCTATAGGAGAGAAAGGAAATCATTGGCTCTCTCTGTGAATGCTCGCCTTGCGAACCAATTCCAATGAGTGGATTCTGTTTGCATAGCAGTCCCTGCCAGTACCGAACGCTGAAGGCATCCTGAGTGTCAGAGACACATGCATTACTTCATAGTTTCTATTTTTCTTCCAATGCAGCTCCATCCCTTTCTTAGGAATGTCTCCTTTAACAACTCTGCTGGAGAAACGGTATCTTTCAGTGAGAGCAGGGAAGTAGAAGCTGGCTTTGATATTACCAACATAGTCACTTTTCCAAATAACTCCTTCATGAGAGTCAAGGTTGGAAGAGTGGGTGGGGAGGCTGTCCCAGGCCAGCTGATTTCCATTGATGACAACAGAATGGTGTGGCACCAGAGCTTTCACCAGGTGAGGCATAATTCCTACATCCATGAGAGATAGGAAAAGAGAATATCTTTAACATTACATTCCAACAGATCGCACTCCATTTGAGATATTTGTTCCCCAGATGGTCAGGTTGAGCACACTTTTTTTAAAAGCATGAATAGAAAACTGAGTAGTTTGGCTCTGAGTCTGGAATAAGTATTTTAGTGTCTTCCTATTTCTAGTTGGGGGTGGGTTGAAATACTACTAATTTCTGTGTGCTAAAATGTTTATGTGTTTATTTAAATGGGCAGGTTTCACCCCTTTCGTTATGTAACCCAAGTTGCCCTCCTGGTTCCAGGAAGGAAAAGAAGGAGGGGGAGCCATTCTGCTGCTATGATTGTGCTCCATGTCCTCAAGGCAAGATTTCATCACAGAAAGGTAGGAGACACAATATATAGATGGTACTTTTCAAATGTATAAAGGAGACATCTGTGATATTTCTATTTGAACCTTAAGAGTTTCACAGTGGTAGCATTTGTAGTTGCTATCCAGAACATTTGAAATCTGAATATATTATTTTCTTTCCAGACATGGATGACTGTGTTGCATGCCCCGAAGATCACTATCCACAGAGAGACCAATCGCAATGCATTCCAAAGACCATCAGCTTCCTGTCTGTTAAAGAGCCTCTGGGGATGAGCTTAGCATTGTTGGCTCTTTTTCTCTCTTTTCTTACAGTGGTGGTCCTAGCCATCTTCATTAAACATCAGGACACACCACTTGTCAGAGCAAACAATCGGGACCTCACCTACACTCTCCTCACTTTCCTCCTGCTCTGCTTCCTCTGCCCATTGATCTTCCTCAGCCCTCCAGAAAGAGTGAGCTGCCTGCTCCGACAAATGGCTTTTGGCCTTGTTTTCACAGTGACCGTTTCTTGTGTTCTGGCCAAAACGATCACGGTGGTTCTGGCCTTTGTGGCCACCAAACCAGGATCCCGAATGAGGACGTGGGTGGGGAAAAGACTGGCAAGCTCCATTGTGATTTCTTGTTCCCTTATCCAAGCAGTCATTTGTACTATATGGTTAGGAATCTCTCCCCCATTCCCTGATTCTGACATGCAGTCTGCGATGAGGGAAATCATTCTAGGCTGCAACGAAGGGTCAGTCGCCCTGTTTTACTGTGTCCTGGGCTACATGGGCTTTTTGGCCATTCTCAGCTTTGTTGTAGCATTTTTTGCCAGGAAACTGCCTGACAGCTTCAATGAGGCCAAATTCATCACCTTCAGCATGTTGTTGTTTTGTAGTGTTTGGATCTCGTTTCTTCCAGTGTACCTGAGCACCAAGGGGAAATACATGGTGGCTGTGGAGATCTTCTCCATCTTGGCCTCCAGTGCTGGCTTACTGGGCTCCATCTTTGCTCCCAAATGCTACATCATTGTGTTGAGGCCTGATCTGAACTGCAAGGAGAAGTTAATAAAGAAGAAATAACAAATTAGCCCAACATCTCTGTTTTCTGTTCTATCAGAATATGGGCAAATTAATCTCTCTTTTTCTACATCGTATAACCATGCTGTATTTTATCTGTTACAATTCCTATGTGCAATTACTTTTAAAATCCTCTGTGGTCTTTCTGAAATAGGGGTCCACAACCTTTTTCAACGTTTGGGAAACGAAGAAAGTGTCATGGATACTGCTAAGTATGAAGGCCTGACTAGAACACCAGATGGTGGTTAATTATACACTGAATAAGAGAAAACAATATATTGGGAGGCTTAAAAAGCTTCTCCTTATTCTTTTCTATGTGATTCTCCAGTAAGTAAGGTTTCAGTGGAACTGCTACTGTCATGATTAATCAGTATCATTGATTTCAGTAGTTACAGGTGATATTTCCTACACAACTTCTGGTATTGTTTTGTTTTTATTTATTTATTTACTATTCAATTTCTATACCACTTTATATTTTTAATACAAATCTCAAAGCGGTGTAAAGGTAAAGGTAAAGGTACCCCTGCCCGTACGGGCCAGTCGTGTCCGACTCTAGGGTTGTGCGCTCATCTCACTCTAGAGGCCGGAGGCAGCACTGTCCGCAGACACTTTCGGGTCACGTGGCCAGCGTGACTAAGCTGCATCTGGCGAGCCAGTACCAGCGCAGCACACGGAAACGCCGTTTACCTTCCCGCTATAAAGCGGTACCTATTTATCTACTTGCACTTAGGGGTGCTTTCGAACTGCTAGGTGGGCAGGAGCTGGGACCGAACCACGGGAGCTCACCCCAGCACAGGGATTCGAACCGCCGACCATGCGATCGGCAAGTCCTAGGCGCTGAGGCTTTACCCACAGCGCCACCTGCGTCCCGAAACGGTGTACAGCATATTGAAACAAATAAAACAATAGCCAGGCGATGTTCCTCCAGCCTCATGAGGAGCCTCTTCAGTAGGGCTGGTGAGTCGGGGCCTCGCCCCCTAGACCAGGTGGAAAGGGCCTTGCAGAGAGCTGCCTTCACGCCTCACACCCAGGTGATGTTCCTCCGACCTCATTGTTCTTACTTATAACAATGGTGGTATTGCTAATGGGATTTGAATTATTGAATTACAGTATGTGAGTGGTTGCTTAGGCATTGGTTAGCAACTATCTGTTCCCACTTGGAGGTAGGAACACAACTGACAACCACATCCGTGCGGAAGTCAGTAAGGGTAAACAATTTTGGGGAGAGAATAAAGCTGGGTGCCAGGCTCACACCTCTCCCCAAATGCTCCCTGGGGCTCTTTTGTGGCCCTAGCCCTTTGTCAGGGATACGGACAAAAGCATGGTGAGCCCCTGGATTCCTTTAGCGGAATACCCTTGCAGCAGCAGCAGCATTGGAGGGGCAGGCACAGCCAACCACATCCCCTCCACCAACCAAAAAATTAACCAATGCCTAACCACAACCTTACAAGTTGTGACGATTTGCTACGCAGTAGGCAAACCCAAATGGCCCCAGCCAATCAGCCAAATGGTAAAATTCCTACCAGGCCCCTGCTCCAAAGCAGACGACCCCATGACAGGCATAGCAAGGTCAGCGCAAACCCTAATTAAAGGGAGGGTGGGTGGGTAATTTGATGTGCTCAGCGAAAAGAGAAAGCTCAGTGCTGCGCACAGGGACCTATATAGCACCCCAATCAATCAAATAAAATTGCAACCATCAATTTTCCCCAGCAATATTGGGTGTGCCCAATCAAATTCGTGGCCATCCAAACTAATCCGCCCAGCAACAGGGGATGTCATGGTTGCTCCCACCACAACATGTGCTCTTCATGAAGGAGAACCCGCTTTATCAGACATTATTTAAAACATAGTGGAACAAGAAGATTGGTAAATAAAAAGACCATTTCATTCCATGACCCACTATGAATGCTGAATACATCTGGGCAATTGTAAAGTTAATTCTCTCTTACATCTTGATATCTCAAATACGTTAATTAACCATTCTTTTTGTATTTGCTAATCATTTTTTCTTTATTACATCTATATACCACCCCTCCAAATAGTTCTTTGTTTCACATACTCAGATTTTTTGGGCAGTCTATATGTTTCCATATTTGAGGTGTTTTTCTATTAGGAGCACAAATAGCTGCTTGTGCTTATAATAATAATTTTATAATAATTTATTATTTATACCCCACTCATCTGGCTGGGTTTCCCCAGCCACTCTAGGCAGCTTACAGCACAATATTAAAATACAATGATTCATCAAATATTAAAAGCTTCTCTAAACAGGGCTGCCTTCAGATGTCTTCTAAAACTCTGATAGTTGTTTATTTCTTTGACATCTGATGGGAGGGCGTTCTACAGGGTGGGTGCCACTACCAAGAAGGCCCTCTGCCTGGTTCCCTGTAACTTCACTTCTCTCAGTCCGGGAATAGCCAGAAGGCCCTTAGTGCTGGACCTCAGCGTCCAAGCTGAACGATAGGGGTGGAGATGCTCCTCCAGGTATACTGGGCCTAGGCCATTTAAGGCTTTAAATGTCAGCACCAACACTTTGAATTGTGCCCAGAAACGTACTGGGAGCCAATGTAGGTCTTTCAGGATGAGTGTCATGTGGTCTCGGCGGCCACTCCCAGTCACCAGTCTAGCTGCCACATTCTGGATTAGTTGTAGTTTCCGGGTCACTTTCAAAGGTAGCCCCACACAGAGCGCATTGCAATAGTCCAAACAGGAGATAACCAGAGCATGCACCACTCTGGCAAGACAGTCCATGGGCAGGTAGGGTCTCAGCCTGCGTACGAGATGGAGCTGGTAGACAGCTGCCCAGGACACAGAATTGACCTGTGCCTTCATGGACAGCTGTGAGTCCAAAATGACTCCCAGGCTGTGCACCCGGTCCTTCAGGGGCACAGTTACCTCATTCTGGACCAGGGAGTCTTCCACACCCACCCACCTCCTGTCCCCCAGAGACAGTACTTCTGTCTTGTCAGGATTCAACCTCAATCTGTTAGCTGCAATCCATCCTCCAACTGCCTCCAGACACTCACACAGAACTTGCAAAGAATGTGTGGTTTCTGAACACCTTCTCAGGGTTAATTTCCCAATGCTGCAGGACATGTAAAGGAGGTGAGAGAGATGCTAGTGTATCAGGAAGGAGTGGGGTTTCCTAGTTCTTGTCTGGCCATGGGGGCCCAGCCTATGGTCCCACATGGACAAACAAGTAAAAGAGATGGCTTATACCTGTCAAGGTTAGGTAAGTTGAGGGTTATGTTGTCTGGGAAGGTAAGAAGGGCCCTTTGGAAAAACCAACCCTGACAGCAGCCCTGCAAAGTCACCCAAAAATCTGTCATGGTATAGCCGTAACCAAGAAGCTACATACCACATTCAGATGACATCCTACAATAAGAAGTGAAAGCAGCAAATAGAAGTATATACGTTATTGAGAGACTGCAGGACCAAACAGAAACATGTTACCTTAGAATTACATTTAAGAAAGATACCAAGACACTCTTGGAATTTGAGCAGGGCCCCAAAACAGCAAAAGCTAGCTTACCTCACCCTAATTACCAACCTTTAGAATCATAGACCCCGCCAGCAGGTTTATCCAGACATCCATGGCCTATTGCTCTCTATCAGTCTACCCAAGAAGCATAATATTTAAGGTCTTATCTGGTTGCTACAAGCTCAGAACTCATGGCTCTAAGAAGCCTCTCTTGGACTCCTATACCAATAATTTGGAGCTTTCACCACTGTAACTAAGCCAAGTGCTACTGCCTGTGTTTTCTGACTGATGTATGGAGAAACACATGAACCTCACCTTTGAAGAGTTTGTAAGTATGCCAGTTTTCACTGACCAGATGTGTGGTCCTTTTCAATGCTAAGGGGTGAGGGAAGTTTTGGAACTCATGGGGGTATATTTTTAAGACCTAACAACCTATATTTCCACACTTTACTTTGCTGAATATTTTGTGATTGAAAATATCTGTTGGGGTTCTCTCACCAAAGAGTACTTGCCCCAAACATGGATCCTGGCATCCAGGGAATTCTCCCTTTTTATACTTAATTTTCCTTGCAACCTACACAAATCATCTGCCATAACTCAATCTCTTTCACAATTTTTCAGTCTTAGTAGAATTGTCAGTAAATTAATGAACAGATGTTCAGGGGGGAATTTTGGAGGTCAGAGTGACCATTTCCACTGTTCAGATGAAGCTTTTCAGCACTGATAGCAGACTGGACCACTGTTCTTTTCTTCCTCCTTGTAGTTATTTTTGCATGCTCTTTTCTTGTCCCATAAACAGACAGAAACCATTTTGATGAAATAACACAAGCATGTGCTGGTGTTTTTTCATTTTGTTGTTTTTGATGTAGAGAAACCTAGTTATCATCACAGCTGTAATTATCAATCTCGCCATGACTAAGTCTCTGTTGAATAATATCTCAATAGATTTCCAGACAATACCAGCCAGAGTCTAAACATGGGCATAAAACGCCTTCCTGCCATTCTAGGCAAGGGAGAGGGAAGAGGAAAAGAAAGGATTTCTGCTTTTCTCTTTGTTGAGATGTAAAATAGGATTTTAATTTGTGAATTGGTAGGAAAGTGCTGTTTCTGTCAAGGCAGAGTATTGTACTGAGCGTGGTTTTGAAGCTGAGGTTCATTTTCCAGATGGAAATGAGGGTGTCGGATGCGAAAGAATATTTGCCTCAGTATGTTGCTGTTTGTTGTGCCCATTCTCTTTCATCTGCCACATATAGTTTGCAAACATACACATTGCACCATCCATGATCTGTCCAGAATTCCACATGAATACTACCAACCTGGTGATCTTATTCTTGGCGGACTTGCTTCTCACCTCCTTACTGCTTCTGACAAAGAAGACTTCAAGGAAAGGCTAACGACCAGTCAACTTCTTAATACCTTGTAAAGACTTCATATGACACGTAATCAGATGTCACAAAAACATCCCCCTGCTCTGACCAGGCTTACTCAGAAACAAGTTCCACTGATTTTAGAGGCATTTCCTTCCAAGCAGAGGTGTTGGGGGGGGGGACTATCTCAGAGCTGAAGAGTTGGCTTGGAAGGAGGGAAATGGAGATCTGAATGTGTCGTCAGTGAGATGAGAGAGTCTTTCTTTCATTCATGCGTTCTCTCCTCCCCACATCCCACCAAATTTCTTCCAAGAAGACTTTCACAAGAGGAGCCACAACTTAAACTTACCTAGTTTAAGATGGAAAGCCCTTCTCTGTTCTTAATATTGAACTTCATCTCTGAAGGTTTGGGGTGAAGGGTCTTAAAAGCTCACCTCTCCTTTGAGATGAAATTCTCATTCAGATGTTCTCATCCAAGTCAGGCTAGTCTTATATGACCCTCCCAGTTTAAAATGTGTCACAGGTTTGAATATGATGAGAATAACTCTATTAAGCCTGGCTACCTGCTTCTCTGCATTTCAATACACCTTTTGTTCCAGGATCAGATCAATACCTGTAAATAAACAATTTGTATATGTCTAAGCCCAAACGGGAACCTGTACACTTTATTTTTATCATGTTAGATCTTCAGATGAAGGGGGTATATTATTATTATTATTATTATTATTATTATTATTATTATTAATCATCTTCGTGGTTTCAAAATATTTTATGGCTTCTGTTGATGTCTCTGTGTGACTGTCAATATCTGTAGCCTTCTGCTGTCACTATGGTGCAGGCTTGTTCGATGACAGAGGACTGGTGACAGGGGAAGAGAGGGAATTTCATTTATAGACAGGGACTGGATCAGGTCCATTCATTCCAATTGGCCTGGGCAACAACAGACTAACTGGCTGAAGGTTCTGATCAGCCAAGAAATGGCAGTTAAGCGTCTGTAACCTGAGGTACCACTGTATTAATAAAAGTGAGCTACAAGTATAAAAGTGGAATACAATGTATTCCTTCAAGGGAAACGCCTTTGCATATATACTAGGACACAATTTCAACTAAAATGCTGAAGAATTGTCAAGCCTCCCCCCCCCTTTTAAATTGCATAGCATATATTTCAAAAATATAGCATGAAATTCTCATTGCAGTGTTGTGCCAAAGAACTACCAGCATATTCTGGCCTTGATATTTGCTGTCAAGGAGATCAATGAGAACCCCAAGATCTTACCAAATATCACCTTAGGATTCCACATCTATGACAGTTACTTCAATGAAAGGATGACCTATCGGGCTGCTCTGAACCTTCCCTCCACATTTATACCCAACTACAAGTGCGGCACCCAGAAACACCTGGTGGCAGTTATTGGGGGACTGGACTTTGATACCTCCCTCCAAATGGCAGACATATTGAGCATCTACAAGATTCCCCAGGTAAGATACTGCCTTGGACTCTTCACACTCAATCACCATGATCTTTTCTATCCAAAAACGTTTTGTAGAGTTGTGACTAAAAAAGGAGGGTGGTCCTGCTCTTCAGAAAATGTGTTTCCTGTGGGCTTTGCAATTAAAGATGTCTGCTCTAGGTGGGCAGTCCTATTTCCCGTTCTTAAGCACACTTCCCTTTTCTCTCTGCTGTAGGTCTGAGCAGTGCCTCCCCTGACTCCTCTAACTAGTCTGGTGTCCCAAGTGCAGTAGATGATGTGGTCCTATTGGTATATTGAAGGAGGATTCAATGGCAGGAGCAGTTGGTTTCTATCTCAGGCAGCAGAATGTATTAGGTGTGACCTGCCCTCACCCAATAAACCAAGAAGTGTGGGTGGTGTGGGAGAAGGTGGCCCTCTAAATATATGAGGTTCAGACAAATTAGAGCTTTCAAAGGTCAATACTAGGATTTTCAATAGGTGACTTTCTCTTTATGTTTGGAAATGGTCCTGTTTCCTGGGCCAGTTATAAACAAAGATCAGTAGCTTTGTCTTCCACAATACAGAGATTCTACCGAGGAATGCAGAGAATTGTCTGGATTGGCCAACAAACCTCACACTTTGGCTCATGTGTTGGCAGAAAGGTGCCCTCTTTTCACTGGAAGTGAAGGAGGCATGACCTACACAAGATTGGCAATAGCAGCTTACTACTCTATGGCCTTTACACCCTCATGCATCAACTAGAGCTAAACATCCTAGTTATATAAGGCTGCAACTTATCCACAGTTGGGGCTCAGGAAACAGCACCCCCACCCCCACCCCAGTCCTGCTTTCCGCCCTCCTGACTGAGAAGGTACTGAGGTACTGGGTTTGTGGGAGACAGCTCATATCATTTGCTTCCTTACTTCAACTCCTCAAAAAACACACCTCCACATTCCATTCTGCAAATTGACATTTCTTCCAACTTTGCCTGTGGCTTACTGGCTGTAGACTTAAGGTGCTCTTTTGCAAATCTGGAAGCCTGCCTCTCTGGAGGCAGCTGTGCACACGTTCTGGCATTTGTGTGTGATTCTGTGCGTCTGTGGTACAGTAGAGGTTTGGAAAGGAAGGGAAGGTAGGACGTCATAAAATGAAGAGGTGAAATGTTGTGATGAAACAAAGGGGATGAAATGGAGAAGGAAAATTAGGGAGAGGGACAGCAGCAGCTCAGGAAAGCAAGGAGAATGACGTGGAGACAGAAGATGAGGAGAAAGGAGAGCAAAGCAGGGCAGCACTCCATGGAGGACAAATCGGCCACCCACCCCCCATCACCAACTTTCTGGAGTCTCTTTCCTGAGGCAACTGGCTTATCTTGTCTCCATGGCAGGCAGGCCCTGAATACACATACAGTACTTCTTCAACATTTATGAATTATGCATCTTTATTCCTTTTAGCTCACTTATGGTTCCTTTGCTTCAGAAGATCCTGGTCAAAGCCAATCCACTTCCTTCTATAGGATGGTGCCCAATGAAGCCCATCAGTATACTGGGATTGTTGAGTTACTTCTGCACTTTGGTTGGACGTGGGTTGGGCTGCTCGCTGTGGATAATGATAGTGGAGAGAGATTTATTCAGACCCTGAAACCTCTGCTCTCCCAGAAAGGCATTTGCTTGGCCTTCTCAGAGACAACCCTGAAAACCACATATTTGGGAGATCTTTATGTCTTGTATTCCCATGTTACTATGAGAATCTATCATGTTATTATGGAAAGTGAAGCCAAGGTTGTTGTTTTCTATGGAGGAACAATGTCCATGGTTCGCTTGCGAACCATGCTAGCGATAGGTGAAATGGAAAATATTAACAAAACATCTGTGGGCAAGGTGTGGATTCTGACAGCACAGGTGGATTTCACAACATTGACCTACCAAATGAGTTGGGATATGCATGTCTTCCATGGTTCCCTCTCCTTTGCAGTTTATTCAAATGTGGTACAAGGATTCAAAGCCTTTCTTGAAGTCCAAAATCCTTTTGAGGAAAATGGAAATGGCTTTGTCAAGCAGTTCTGGGCACAGGTATTTCTCTGTTTATTTCCAAACTCCAATACAGAGGAGCAGGCCAGTGGAACCTGCACTGGCGAGGAGAAGCTGGAAAATCTCCCTTCGTCTGGCTTTGAGATGAGCATAACAAGCCACAGCTATAGCGTCTATAATGCTGTTTATGCCACAGCACATGCTTTACATGCCATGTTCTTGTCCAGGACCAAATACAGGGCAGCGGTGGAAGGAGGGATGCAGAAGCTTCAGAAACTGCAGCCTTGGCAGGTAATGCCTATTATAACGTACAAGTTATTTGACATGGGCAGTGAAGTGATCTCTTTCAGCTTTTGCCTTCCGGAAGAAAGTACAGGGTTATAAAGACTAGGACTAGCCTCCTGAGAAACAGTTTTTATTCGAGTGTGATTTTGGTTTTAAACACAGTGTAAGGTAGTCTCTATGGGAGTCTGTTGTATTTAATGAACCAGGCTGGGATAGCTGGGATAGCAGGCTTGTTGGTTTCTGAATGTGTGATGTAGATTTTAAGTTTCATTGTTCTGTATGGGACAATGACAATAAAGATTATCGTATCGTATCGAAATGTAGAAGACTACACTGAAAATTTTCAAGTACTGACTGCAAACTAGGATCCTCCGCTTAACGTATGCAGATAAGCTGCTCCTCCAGCTGTTAAGCAGTTGCTGCGAATCCTGCACTGTCCTGCTTCTTTGTTGTTGCTTTTTTAATTAATTTTTATTAACAGGCCAATCAAATCACATTAATTATAAATCACATTAGTTCCAAATTATACAGCCAAATTTTTAAATTTTTGTTGGGGGTACCCATACTTCGAGCTCCAAAAGGGATCCAAACATCACTCTTGTTGCTGCTTTAATTACACAGTTCTGTCCAGTTCTGTCCAGATAGTCTCTTTGTTATTTTCCTCATCTTCTTGTTGTTATCATATATTCCTTTCTTTGTGATCTCTGATAATCTTCACAAGCGGGCTGAAAACAAACATATCCTGTGTGGATATTACACTCTCCAAGAGCCATTTCCACACCTCCGCAAAGAACATTCCCACAGTCTGTCCGTTGATTTCCACAGGCTTGCCAATCTGTATCTAAGGGGGCCCTGCCAGGTCAAATTCACATTCCGATAACCATACATTCACATTCCAATGACCATGGTCCTCCCCCCCCTCGTCCTCCTGTGGGCAGGCCTGTCTTAACGAATCTCCATTTGTAACTGCGTCATAAAGCTTTCTTTCCATCCGATGTTCCCACCAGTCCTCTCTTTGATCAGTAATTCATTTCCAGACAGTTCTTAATCTCCTGCTTGTGATTAGTAATTTGCGACGATTCTTTCTATGTGGGGGGGAGGGTTATTGGGTACTCACATAAGACACACAAAAAAGAAAAGTTTTTCCTCCCCCCTTTCTGTTTCGCTCTGACATACCGATCTTTTAATGATGAGTCTTCACTTGATTTATTGTCCAACCCATCGCTCTACATCATAGAGATCCCATTAATCAGCAGTCTTTACTCCCGATCTTCACTTGAAGTATGTGCATTTGCTTCTATTCCAATTAAATATTTCGAGCTGATGCAAACCAGTGCACGATTCAGAGACAGCGTCCGGGAGAGCCGACTCCACCCGAGGGCTTTGTGCCTAGTGCCCTCACCCCCTCCTTTCGAATCCAGGGGTGAATTATGGACACAGCAGGCAAGGCAGTACCCCCAATTCCCTGGGGGGGGAGGGAGACTGCATACTCCCATAACAGCCTCTTAATTACCTCGTGTGGGTCGGAGAGATGTTACTGTCGGCCATCTTCCAATGCGCCCCCTGGTGGCCCCCCTGTGCTGCTTCTTTGTTAGTAGGTATCTATGTTTGTAGAGAAACTGTAAGTGAAGCAGGATCTGATCTTGCTCTGTCCTGCTCCTTTACAAGCAGTTTCTCTGCACACAAGTTGAGGGGAGGATACAAGCCTACAATGAGAGGAGAAGGTGAGAGCAGCTCAGAGAATTCACATGTAGGCTGAGTTTCCCCAAACCAAAAGGCTTTGTTGCCCGTTTGCTCCCAAAGTGAAGGGAAGTGACATAGACGAAGCCTGATAGGACAACTTGCTGCATGGAATTAACCCCCTTCACGGGTTGATTAGAAGCATGATGGTTATATGAGGCCTACAATTCTCTTCCATGGGGTGGGAGATATTCAAGGGGTGGGAACTGAAATCCATGGATTTTGGTCGGGAATGCATTAGGATTTTCCCTATAGGAGAGAAAGGAAATCATTGGCTCTCTCTGTGAATGCTCGCCTTACGAACCAATTCCAATGAGTGGATTCTGTTTGCATAGGAGTCCCTGCCAGAACTGAACGCTGAAGGCATCCTGAGTGTCAGTAAGGAGAGACATATGCATTACTTCATAGTTCCTATTTTTCTTCCAATGCAGCTCCATCCCTTCCTTAGGAGTGTCTCCTTTAACAACTCTGCTGAAGAAACGGTATCTTTCAGTGAGAGCAGGGAAGCAGAAGCTGGCTTTGATATTGCCAACATAGTGACTTTTCCAAATAACTCCTTCATGAGAGTCAAGGTTGGAAGACTGGGTGGGGAGGCTGTCCCAGGCCAGCTGATTTCCATTGATGACAACAGACTGGTGTGGCACCAAAGCTTTCACCAGGTGAGGCATAATTCTTACATCCTTGAGAGACGGGAAAAGAGAATATCTTTAACATATAGAGATAGGAAAAGAGAATATATTTAACATTACATTCCAACAGATTACGCTCCATTTGAGATATTTGTTCCCCAGATGGTCAGGTTGAGTACACTTTTTTAAAGCATGAATAGAAAAATGAGTAGTTTGGCTCTGAGTCTGGAATAAGTATTTTAGTGTCTTCCTATTTCTAGCTGGGGGTGGGTTGAAATACTACTAATTTCTGTGTGCTAAAATGTTTATGTGTTTATTTAAATGGGCAGGTTTCACCCCTTTCGTTATGTAACCCAAGTTGCCCTCCTGGTTCCAGGAAGGAAAAGAAGGAGGGGGAGCCATTCTGCTGCTATGATTGTGCTCCATGTCCTCAAGGCAAGATTTCATCACAGAAAGGTAGGAGACACAATATATACATGGTACTTTTCAAATGTATAAAGGAGACATCTGTGATATTTCTATTTGAACCTTAAGAGTTTCACAGTGCTAGCATTTGTAGTTGCTATCCAGAACATCTGAAATCTGAATATATTATTTTCTCTCCAGATATGGATGACTGTGTTGGGTGCCCCGAAGATCACTATCCACACAGAGACCAATCACAATGCATTCCAAAGACCATCAGCTTCCTGTCTTTTAAAGAGCCTCTGGGGATGAGCTTAACATTGTTTGCTCTTTCTCTCTTTCTCTTCACAATATTAGTCCTTGCCATCTTCATTAAACATCAGGACACACCCATTGTCAGAGCAAACAATCGGGACCTCACCTACACTCTCCTCACTTTCCTCCTGCTCTGCTTCCTCTGCCCATTGATCTTCCTTTGCCCTCCAGAAAGAGTGAGCTGCCTGCTCCGACAAATGGCTTTTGGCCTTGTTTTCACAGTGACCGTTTCTTGTGTTCTGGCCAAAACGATCACGGTGGTTCTGGCCTTTGTGGCCACCAAACCAGGATCCCAAATGAGGAAGTGGGTGGGGAAAAGACTGGCAAGCTCCATTGTGATTTCTTGTTCCCTTATCCAAGCAGGCATTTGCACTGTGTGGTTAGGAACATCTCCCCCATTCCCTGATTCTGACATGCACTCTGCGATGAGGGAAATTATTCTAGGCTGCAACGAAGGGTCAGTTGCCCTGTTTTACTGTGTCCTGGGCTACATGGGCTTTTTGGCCATTCTCAGCTTTGTTGTGGCCTTTTTCGCCAGGAAACTGCCTGACAGCTTTAATGAGGCCAAATTCATCACCTTCAGCATGTTGCTCTTTTGTAGTGTTTGGATCTCGTTTGTTCCAGTGTACCTGAGCACCAAGGGGAAATACATGGTGGCTGTGGAGATCTTCTCCATCTTGGCCTCCAGTGCTGGGATACTGGGCTCCATCTTTGCCCCCAAATGCTACATCATTGTGTTGAGGCCTGATCTGAACTGCAAGGAGAAGTTAATAAAGAAGAAATAACAAATTACCCTAACATCTCTGGTTTTTGTTCTATCAGAATATGGGCAAATTAATCTCTCTTTTTCTACATCGTATAACCATGTTGTATTTTATCTGTTACAATTCCTATGTGATTCTCCAGTAAGTAAGGTTTCAGTGGAACTGCTACCGTCAGGATTAATCAGTAGCATTGATTTCAGTAGTTACAGGCAATATTTGCTACACAATTTCTGGATTTTTTAATTATTTCTTTACTTTTCAATTTCTTTTTTTTTATTTAAATGATATTTATTAAAAGTTTAAAAATTACAGAAAAAGAAAAAAAAATAAAAATAAAAAAGAACAGTAACAAAACATATAAAACATATAAAAGCAATACAACAATACAGCAAAAAAGAAAAACAAAGAAGAAACTAAAACAAGCATCCAATATTCCATATCTTTACCTTTCCTTTACTTGTTTCATCGACCTCCTCACACCTCCCTTTTTTTGTATTCTAGTTCAATTCACTATTTCAGCAAGTTCTTTCCATCTTTCTCAATTTTTATTCTATAATTTATCTTAACGATCTAACCTTGATTTTTTTCATTTCAACCCATTATCAATCAGCTTTTACTTAATTCTTTGTTACATTTCTACTAAAACCATGTAACTTCATTCCAGCATCCTTCTAACACTCATTAATTTTACAATGTTTCTGTAAATATACTTTAAATTTTTTCCAGTCTTCTTCCACCAACTCTTCTCCCTGGTCTCGAATTCTGCCAGTCATTTCCGCCAGTTCCATGTACCCCATCAGCTTCATCTGCCATTCTTCCCTGGTGGGTAGATCTTGTGTCTTCCAATACTTTGCAATAAGTATTCTTGCTGCTGTTGTAGCGTACATAAAAAAAGTTCTATCTTTCTTTGGCACCAATTGGCCGACCATGCCCAGGAGAAAGGCCTCTGGTTTCTTCAGAAAGGTATATTTAAACACCTTTTTCATTTCATTATAGATCATCTCCCAGAATGCCTTAATCTTTGGGCATGTCCACCAAAGGTGAAAGAATGTACCTTCAGTTTCATTACATTTCCAACATTTATTATCGGGCAAATGATAGATTTTTGCAAGCTTGACTGGTGTTATGTACCACCTATAAATCATTTTCATTAAATTCTCTTTTAAGGCACTGCATGCCGTAAACTTCATACCAGTGGTCCATAACTGTTCCCAGTCAGCCATCATAATATTATGTCCAACATCTTGTGCCCATTTAATCATAGCAGATTTCACCATTTCATTTTGAGTATTCCATTTCAACAGCAAGTTATACATTCTTGACAAATTAACTTTAGGGTCTAACAATTCTGTTTCCAACTTTGATTTTTCCACCTGGAAGCCAATTTTTTTATCCAAATTGTACGCCTCCATTATTTGATAATAATGGAGCCAATCTCGTACTCTGTTTTTTAGTTTTTCAAAGCTCTGCAGTTTTAATCTGTCACCCTCTTGTTCCAAAATTTCCCAATACTTCAGCCATTTGGCCTCCATATTGAGTTTTTTCTGAGCCTTTGCTTCCATTGGTGACAACCATCTCGGGGTTTTATTTTCTAACAAATCCTTATATCTTATCCAGACATTAAACAGTGCTTTTCTTACAATATGGTTTTTGAACACTTTGTGTGCTTTAACCTTATCATACCACAAATATGCATGCCAACCAAATACATTATTGAAACCTTCCAAATCCAAAACATCCGTGTTTTCAAGACGCATCCATTCTCTCAGCCAACAAAAAGCGGCTGATTTATAATAAAGTGTTAAGTCTGGCAGGGCAAATCCACCTCTTTCTTTAGCATCAGTTAATATCTTAAATTTTATACGAGGCTTCTTGCCCTGCCAGACAAATCTGGAAATATCTCTCTGCCACTTCTCGAAACAGTCCATTTTGTCCAAAATTTGCAGTGTTTGAAACAAAAATAGCATTCTTGGCAATACATTCATTTTTATCACAGCAATTTGGCCCAGCAGTGAAAGCTTCAAATTTGACCATATTTCTAAATCTTTTTTCACTTCAGTCCAACATTTTTCATAATTATCCTTAAATAAATTCACATTCTTAGCAGTCATATTAACCCCTAAATATTTCACTTTCTTAGCCAGCGTCAGTCCTGTCTCCTTCTGAAACTTCTCTCTCTCTATCTCTGTTAGGTTCTTTTCTAAAACCTTAGTTTTCATCTTATTCAACTTAAAACCTGCTACCTGACCAAATTCTTGAATTAGTTCTAATACTCTTTTAGTGCTAGGTTCTGGCTCCTGTAAAGTCAATACTAAATCATCAGCAAATGCTTTCAATTTGTACTGTTTGGCTCCCACTTGTATACCTTTTACCAATTGGTCCCTTCTATACTTTTCAATTTCAATACCACTTTATATTTTTAATAAAAATCTCAAAGTGGTGTACAGCATATCAAAACAAATAAAACAATAATGCAATAGCTGGGTGATGTTCCTCCGGCCTCATTGGTCTTACTTATAACAAGGGTGGTATTGCTAATGGGCTTTGGTTCAGAAGATGGGACTGGTTGGTTCTGAATGAATATTTTGAAGAAAAACCGTTTTGAACATGAGTGCAACAAAAATCCTTTTAATTAGAAAATACAATATTATCACACATTCTTGGGAAAATGGTGGAACAAGAAATTTGGTAAATAAAAAGACCATTTTATTCCATAACCCACTATGAATACTGAATACATCTGGGCAATTGTAAAGTTAATTCTCTCTTACATCTTGATATCTCAGATACGTTAATTAACCATTCCTTTTGTATTTGCTAATCATTTTTTCTTTATTACATCTATATACCACCCCTCCAAATAGTTCTTTGTTTCACATACTCACATTTTTTGGGGCAGTCTATATGTTTCCATATCTGAGGTGTTTTTCTATTAGGAGCGGAAATAGCTGCTTGTGCTTATAATAATAATATAATAATACTTTATTATTTATACCCCACTCATCTGGCTGTTTTCCCCCAGCCATTCTGGGCAGCTTCCAGCACAATATTAAAATACAATGATTCATCAAATATTAAAAGCTTCTCTAAACAGGGCTGCCTTCAGATGTCTTCTAAAAGTCTGATAGTTGTTTATATCTTTGACATCTGATGGGAGGGCGTTCTACAGGGCGGGCGCCACTACCAAGAAGGCCCTCTGCCTGCTTCCCTGTAACCTCACTTTTCGCAGTGAGGGAACCACCAGAAGGCCCTTGGCGCTGGACTTCAGTGTCTAGGCTGAACAATGGGGATGGAGACACTCCTTCATGTATACTGGGCCGAGGCCATTTAGGGCTTTAAAGGTCAGCACCAACACTTTGAATTGTGCCCAGAAAATTACTGGGAGCCAATGTAGGTCTTTCAGGATGAGTGTTATGTGGTCTTGGCAGCCTCTCCCAGTCACCAGTCTAACTGCCGCATTCTGAATTAGTTGTAGTTTCTAGGTCACTTTCAAAGGTAGCTGTCAGGGAACTGCCATCAGTGCCGGAGGGAGAGAGCAAAATCCAGAGGGATTCCAGAGAGCATCCCGGGATTGGAAGAGGCAGCCAATCTTCTGGGGAAGAGAATCAGTGTAGCACCAGTGGAGAAGGGGGGCAGATGGGGGAAGCGGCGAGGCGGTCCCATGACTCCTTGCCAGGGACCAGTGGTGAGAGTAGAGGTCCTCCGCTGCCTACGCCCTCCTTGCGCAGAAGGCTTTCGCGCAGAGAGAGTAGGAGGAGACTAGGCGTCAAAGAGCTTCTTTGCTGGAAGAAGTTTAAGAAATGCCCACTGACGGATTCTGCCAGCGATTGAGACAGCCACGGGTGAGTGGCTGTCTGGACAGAAAAGGTTCACACAGGCAATCCAGCCAGGTGTTTGCACCGGCTTATGCACGAGCAACCCCTAGAACCATTACAGTAGCCCTACACAGAGCCCATTGCAGTAGTCCAAGCAGGAGATAACCAGAGCATGCACCACTCTGGCAAGACATTCCAAGGACAGGTAGGGTCTCAGCCTGCGTACCGGATGGAGCTGGTAGACAGCTGCCCAGGACACAGAATTGACCTGTGCCTTCATGGACAGCTGTGAGTCCAAAATGACTCCCAGGCTGTGCACCCGGTCCTTCAGGGGCACAGTTACCTCATTCTGGACCAGGGAGTCCTCCACACCAGCCCACCCCCTGTCCCCCAGAAACAGTACTTCTGTCTTGTCAGGATTCAACCTCAATCTGTTAGCTGCAATCCATCCTCCAACCGCCTCCAGACACTCACACAGAACTTGCAAAGAATGTGTGGTTTCTGAACACCTTCTCAGGGTTAATTTCCCAATGCTGCAGGACATGTAAAGGAGACGAGAGAGATGCTAGCATATCAGGAAGGAGTGGGGTTTTCGAGTTCTAGTTTAACCATAGGGGCCCAGCCTATGATCCTCCATAGGCAAACAAGTAAAAGAGATGGCTTATACCTGTTAGATAAGTTGAGGGTTATGTTGTCTGGAAAGATGAGCTGGGCCCTTTGGGAAAATCAGCCCTGACAGCAGCCCTACATACCACATTCAGATGAAATCCTACAATAAGAAGTGAAAGCAGCTAATAGAAGCAAATACGTTATTGAGAGACTGCAGGACCAAGCAGAACCATTTTACCTTAAAATTACATTTAAGGAAGATACCAAGACACTCTTGGAATTTGAGCAGGGCCCCAAAACAGCAAAAACTAGCTTACCTCACCCTAATTACAACCTTTAGAATCATAGGCCCCACCAGCAGGCTTTATCCAGAAATATATGGCCTATTGCTCTCTATCAGTCTACCGAAGAAGCTACAAGCTCAGAAACCATGGCTCTCTTGGACTCCTATACCAATAATTTGGAGCTTTCACCACTGTAACTAAGCCAAGTGCTACTGCCTGTGTTTTCTGACTGATGTATGGAGAAACACATGAACCTGACCTTTGAAGCGTTTGTAAGTAAGCCAGTTTTCACTGACCAGATGTGTGGTCCTTTTCAATGGTAAGAGGAGAAGGAAGTTTTGGAACTCATGGGAGTATATTTTTAAGATCTAACAACCTATATTTCCACGCCTTATTTGCTGAATATTTTGTGATTTGAAACATCTGCTGGGGTTCTCTCACCAAAGAGTACTTGCCCCAAACATGGATCTTGGCATCCAGGGAATTCTCCCTTTTTATACTTAATTTTCCTTGCAACCTACACAAATCATCTGTCATAACTCAATCTCTTTCACAATTTTTCACTCTTAGTATGATTGTCAGTAAATTAATGAACAGATGTTCAGGGTGGAATTTTTGGAGGTCAGACTTATCATTTCCACTCTTCAGATGAAGCTTTTCTTTTTTTTTTTTAAATAATTTTTATTAAGGTTTTAAACAAAGAAAAAAGAAAAACAACACACACCAAAAAAAAAAAACAATACAAAATTTAACAATAAAAACACAAAACGTAACAATTAAAAACAAACTCTCTTTTTCATTCCCCATTTTAAATTACTTATTTTCTGGACTTCCTCATACCTCCCTCTTTTGTATTCCAATCCACATTATTTGTCCAGCAGTTTCTTTTCCACTTTTTTAAACCCAATCTTTAATTTAATAAAGTGTTAAAATATATAACTTCAACTTTTTTTTTTAAACCTAATCCTTGTTCTTAATGTCATATACCTTTAAATTTTTCCTTTTTATTATCAAATTTCCATTTCTTTAAACATCTTTAATCTTGATCTTTAATCTTAATCTATCCTTAACTTTAACCTGTACAGCTGGAAACCACTTATTTTCAATCCAACATCACTCTAACATTCTTTAATTTTGCAGTATTTCTGAAGATAGTCTTTGAATTTCTTCCAGTCTTCCTCCATCGACTCTTCTCCCTGGTCACGGATTCTGCCAGTCATTTCCGCCAATTCCATATAGTCCATAAGTTTCATCTGCCATTCCTCCAGTGTGGGAAGTTCTTGTGTCTTCCAATACTTTGCGATGAGTATTCTTGCTGCTGTTGTTGCATACATAAAGAAAGTTCTCTCCTATTCTAACACCATTTGGCCCACTATGCCCAGGAGAAAGGCCTCTGGTTTCTTGGGAAAGGTATACTTAAATACCTTTTTTAATTCATTATATATCTTTTCCCAGAAAGCCTTAATCTTTGGGCACGTCCACCAAAGGTATGATTGTCAGTAAATTAATGAACAGATGTTCAGGGGGGAAATTTGGAGGTCAGCCTGATCATTTCCCCTGTTCAGATGAAGCTTTTCAGCACTGATAGCAGACTGGACCACTGTTCTTTTCTTACTCCTTGCAGTTATTTTTGCATGCTCTTTTGTCGTCCCATAAACAGACAGAAACCATTTTGATGAAATAACACAAGCATGTGCTGGTGTTTTTTCATTTTGTTGTTTTTGATGTAGAGAAACCTAGTTATCATCACAGCTGTAATTATCAATCTCGCCATGACTAAGTATCTCTTGAATAATGTCTCCATAGATTTCCAGACAATATTAGCCAGAGTCTAAACATGGGCATAAAACACCTTCCTGCTATTCTAAGCAAGGGAGAGGGAAGAGGAAGAGAAAGGATTTCTGCTTTTCTCTTTGTTGAGATGTAAAATAGGATTTTAATTTGTGAATTGGTAGGAAAGTGCTGTTCCTGTCAAGGCAGAGTATTGTACTGAGCGTGGTTCTGAAGCTAAGGTTCATTTTCCAGATGGAAATGAGGGTGTCGGATGAGAAAGAATATTTGCCTCAATATGTTGCTGTTTGTTGTGCCCATTCTCTTTCATCTGCCACATATGGTGTGCAAACATACATGTTGCACCATCCATGATCTGTCCAGAATTCCACATGAATACTACCAACCTGGTGATCTTATTATTGGCGGACTTGCTTCTCACCTCTTTACCTCTTTTGACAAAGTAGACTTCACAGAAAGGCTAACCACCCATCAACTTCTTAATACCTTGTAAATACTTCATGTATCAAGTAATCAGGTGGTACAGAAACATTCCCCAGCGCTAACCAGGCTTACTGAGAAGCATGTTCCACTGATTTTAGAGGGATTTCCTTCCAGGCAGAGGTGTCGGGGAGGGGGGACCATTTCAGAGCTTTTGAGTTGGCTTGGAAGGTGGGAAATGGAGATCAGAATGTGTCGTCAGTGAGATGAGAGAGTCTTCCTTTCATTCATGTGTTCTCTCTTCCCCACATCCCACCAAATTTCTTCCAAGAAGGGTTTCACAAGAGGAGCCACAACTTAAACTTACCTAGTTTAAGATGGAAAGCCCTTCTCTGTTCTGAATATTGAACTTCACCTCTGAAAGTTTGGGGTGAAGGGTCTTAAAAGCTCACCTCTCCTTTGAGATGAAATTCTCATTCAGATGTTCTCATCCAAGTCAGGCTAGTCTTATATGACCCTCCCAGTTTAAAATGTGTCACAGGTTTGAATATGATGAGAATAACTCTATTAAGCCTGGTTACCTGGTTCTCTGCATTTTGATACAGCTTTTTTGTTGGATCAGCTCAGTACCTGTAAATAAATGATTTCTATATGTCTAAGCCCAAAGGGCAGTCTGTACACTTTATTTTTATCATGTTAGATCTTCGGATGAAGGGGGGTATATTATTTTTTTTATTATTATTATTATTATTATTATTATTAATCAGCTTCATGGTTTCAAAATATTTTAAGGCTTCTGTTGATGTCTCTGTGTGACTGTCAATGTCTGTAGCCTTATGCTGTCACTATGGTGCAGGCTTGTTCGATGACAGAGGACTGGTGACAGGGGAAGAGAGGGAATTTCAATTATAGACAGGGCTGGAGGAGGTCCATTTATTCCAATTGGCCCAGGCAACAACAGACTAATTGGCTGAAGGTTCTGATCAGCCAAGAAATGGCAGTTAACTGTCAGTTGGGGCAGTTGGGAAATGGCAGTTAACTGTCAGTTGGGGCAGTTGGGAAATGGCAGTTAACTGTCAGTTAACTGTAAGGAGGGAGGTGTGAGGGGAAAACCAAAGAAAGCTGAAGTGAAAGTGGACAGCTGAGGCTTAAATATTAAGCTATATTTTGTGTTGAAGATCAGAACAAGTGAGCTGGTGTCTACTTTAAGGTAGGAGGCTGCTCAGTTCTTACAAATCAGTTCACATTTAAATATGAACCTACCAAAATTTGCTTGCTCTAAAAAGGTATCTAAACCAAAACAGAGCCTTCATTTGAAAATTATATTTCTCCAGATTTTGCAGTGCAATCTTCTAGCCATGTATACAAAAATGCCTATACGGATGTAAAGTTTCCGTAAAAATGCATATACAGTGGTACCTTGGGTTAAGAACTTAATTCGTTCTGGAAGTCCGTTCTTAACCTGAAACTGTTTGTAACCTGAGCTACCACTTTAGCTTATGGGGCCTTCTGCTGCCACTGTGCTGCTGCCACATGATTTATGTTCTCATCCTGAAGCAAAGTTCTTAATCTGAGGTACTATTTCTGGGTTAGCGGAGACTGTAACCTGAAGCGTCTGTAACCTGAAGCATCTGTAACCTGAGGTACCACTGTATTAATAAAAGTGAGCTACAAGTATAAAAGAGGGATACAATGTATTCCTTCAGGGGAAACTCCTTTGCATATATAATAGGGTACAATTTGCACTAAAATGCTGAAGAATTGTCAAGCATTCCCCCCTTTTTAACTTTCATAGCATATATTTCAAAAATAAAGCATGAAATTCTCATTGCAGTGTTGTGCCAAAGAACTACCAGCATATTCTGGCCTTGATATTTGCTGTCAAGGAGATCAATGAGAACCCCAAGATCTTACCAAATATAACCTTAGGATTCCACATCTATGAAAGTTACTTCAATGAAAGGATGACCTATCGGGCTGCTCTGAACCTTCCCTCCACACTTATACCCAACTACAAGTGCGGCACCCAGAAACACCTGGTGGCAGTTATTGGGGGACTGGACTTTGATACCTCCCTCTACATGGCAGACATATTGAGCATCTACAAGATTCCCCAGGTAAGATACAATCACCATGATCTTTTCTATCCAAAAACGTTTTGTAGAATTGTGACTAAAAAAGGAGGGTGGTCCTGCTCTTCACAAAATGTATTTCCTGTTTGCTTTGCAAATTTAATAACCTGTGTAGCACAAAACAGATAGTAATGAGCCATCAGCAGCCTTTTAACATGTCTGTTCTAGATCAGCAGCCTTCTCTCGCCTTCTTAAACACACTTGCCTTTTCTCTCTGCTGTAGGTCTGAGCAGTGCCTCCCCTGACTCCTCTAACTAGTCTGGTGTCCCAAGTGCAGTGGATGATGCAGCCCTATTGGTATATTGAAGGAGGATTCAATGGCAGGACCAGTTGGTTTCTATCTCAGGCAGCAGAATGTATTAGGTGTGACCTGGCCTCACCCAATAAACCAAGAAGTGTGGGTGGTATGGGAGAAGGTGGCCCTATAGATATATGAGGTTCAGACAATTTAGAGCTTTTAAAGGTCAATACTAGTATTTTCAATAGGTGACTTTCTCTTTATGTTTGGAAATAGTTCTGCACAGAGCTTCTACTGAGGCATGCAGAGAATGGTCTGGATTGGCCAACAAACGTTGCACTTTGGCTCATGTGTTGGCAGAAAGGTCCCAGCTTTCAACGGAGGTAAAGGAGGCATGACCTACACAAGATTGGCAACAGCAGCTTACTACTCTAGGCCCTTTACACCCTCATGCATTAATTAGAGCTAAACATGCTAGTTATATAAGGCTGCAATTTATCCCATGGTTAGGGCTCAGGAAACACCACCCCCACCCCAGTCCTGCTTTCCGCCTTCCTGACTGAGAAGGTACTGTGCTTATGGGAGACAGCTCATCACACCTTGCTTCCTTACTCCAACTACTCAAAAAAACCAACAAAAAAACCCCCCCTCCATTCTGCAAATTGACATTTCTTCCAACTTTGCCTATGGCTTACTGGCTGGAGACTTAAGCTGCTCTTTTACAAATCTGGAAGCCTGCCTATCACGAGGCAGCTGTGCACACGTTCTGACATTTGTGTGTGATTCTGTGCGTCTGTAGTACAATAGAAGTTTGGAAAGGAAGGGAAGGCAGGACGTCCTAAAATGAGGAGATGAAATGTTGTGATGAAACAAAGGGGATGAAATGGAGAAGGAAAATTAGGGAGAGGGACAGCAGCAGATCAGGAAAGCAAGGAGAATGAACTTGAGACAGAAGATGAGAAGAAAGGAGAGCAAAGCAGGGCAGCACTCCATGGAGGCCAAATCGGCCACCCTCCCAACTTTCTGGAGTCTCCTTCCTGAGGCAACTGGCTTATCTCATCTCTATGGTGGGTGGGCCTTGAATACACATACAATCCTTCTTCTGCATTAATGAATTATGCCTCTTTATTCCTTTTAGCTCACTTATGGTTCCTTTGCTCCAGAAGATGCTGGTCAAAGCCAATCCACTTCCTTCTATAGGATGGTGCCCAATGAAGCCCATCAGTACACTGGGATTGTTGAGTTACTTCTGCACTTTGGTTGGACGTGGGTTGGGCTGCTCGCAGTGGATAATGACAGTGGAGAGAGATTTATTCAGACCCTGAAACCTCTGCTCTCCCAGAAAGGCATTTGCTTGGCCTTCTCAAAGACAACCCTGAAAATCACATATTTGGCAGAGTTTTATGATTTGCAGTCTGACTTAATTCAAATCTATCATGTTATTATGGAAAGTGAAGCCAAGATAGTTGTTTTCTATGGCGGAACAACATCCATGGTTCGCTTGCGAATAATGCTAGTGCTAGGTGAAATGGAAAATATTAACAAAACATCTGTGGGCAAGGTGTGGATTCTGACAGCACAGGTGGATTTCACAGCATTGACGTATCAAATGAGCATGGATATGCAAGTCTTCCATGGTTCCCTTTCCTTTGCAGTTTATTCAACTGTGGTACAAGGATTCAAAGCCTTTCTTCAGGTACAAAATCCTTTTGAGGCAAATGGAAATGGCTTTGTCAAGCAGTTCTGGGCACAGGTATTTCTCTGTTTATTTCCAAACTCCAATACAGAGGAGCAGGCCAGTGGAACCTGCACTGGTGAGGAGAAGCTGGAAAATCTCCCTTCGTCTGGCTTTGAGATGAGCATAACAAGCCACAGCTATAGCATCTATAATGCTGTTTATGCCGCAGCACATGCTCTACATGCCATGTTCTTGTCCAGGACCAAATACAGGGCAGCAGTGGAAGGAGGGATGCAGAAGCTTCGGAAACTGCAGCCTTGGCAGGTAATGCCTATTATAACGTACAAGTTATTTGACATGGGCAGTGAAATGCTCTCTTTCAGTACAGGGTTATAAAGACTAGGACTAGAAACCTGAGAAACAATTTCTATTCAAATGCGATTTTGGTTTTAAACACAGTGTAAGGTAGTCTCTATGGGAGTATATTGTATTAAGGGGTATCAGAGTTTTTAGGGAGCTAACCAGGCTGGGATAGCAGGGATAGAAAGCTTGTTGGTTTCTGTATGTCTGATGTAGATTTTCAATTTTGTTGTTCTGTATGAGACAATGACAATAAAATTATCGTATTGTATTGTATCGAAATGTAGAAGACCACACTGAAAATTTCCAAGTACTGACTGTAGACTAGGATCCTCCGCTTAACGTATGCAGATAAGCTGCTCCTCCAGTTGTTAAGCAGTAGCTGCGAATCCTGCACTGTGCTGCTTCTTTGTTAATAGGTACCTATGTTTGTAGAGAAACTGTCAGTGAAGGAGGACCTGATTTTGCTCTGTCCTGCTCCATTACAGGCAGTTTCTCTGCACACAAGTTAAGGGGAGGATCCAAGCCTACAATGAAAAAAGGTGAGATCAGTTCAGAGAATTCACATGCAGGCTGAGTTTCCCCAAAGCCAAACGGCTTTGTTGCCCATTTCCTCCTAAAGTGAAGGGAAGTGACATAGACTAAGCCTGGTAGGACAGATTGCTCCATGGCATTAATCCCCTTCATGCGTTGATTAGATGCATGATGGTTATTTGAGGCCGGTTACCCTACAATTCTCTTCCATGGGGTGGGAGATATCCAAGCAGTGGGAACTGAACGCCATACATTTTTCCTCATTTCTTCTTGGTCAGGAATGCATTAGGATTTTCCCTATAGGAGAGAAAGGAAATCATTGGCCCTCTCTGTGAATGCTCGCCTTACGAACCATTTCCAATGATTGGATTCTGCTTGCATAGTAGTCCCTGCCAGTACTGAATATTGGAGGCATCCTGAGTGTCAGAGACATATGCATTACTTCATAGTTCCTATTTTTCTTTCAATGCAGCTCCATCCCTTCCTCAGGAGTGTCTCCTTTAACAACTCTGCTGGAGAAACGGTAACTTTCAGTGAGAGCAGGGAAGTAGAAGCTGGCTTTGATATTACCAACATAGTCACTTTTCCAAATAACTCCTTCAGGAGAGTCAAGGTTGGAAGAGTGGGTGGGGAGGCCGTCCCAGGCCAGCTGATTTCCATTGATGACAACAGAATGGTGTGGCACCAGAGCTTTCACCAGGTGAGGCATAATTCCTACATCCATGAGAGATAGGAAAAGAGAATATCTTTAACATTACATTTCAACAGATCACGCTCCATTTGAGATATTTGTTCACCAGATGGTCAGGTTGAGTACACTTTTTTTAAAGCATGAATAGAAAAATGAGTAGTTTGGCTCTGAGTCTGGAATAAGTAATTTAATGTCTTCCTATTTCTAGTTGGGAGTGGGGGGAAATACTACTAATTTCTGTGTGCTAAAATGTTTATGTGTTTTTTTTAAAATGGGCAGGTTCCACCCATTTCGCTATGTAACTCAAATTGCCCTCCTGGTTCCAGGAAGGAAAAGAAGGAGGGGGAGCCATTCTGCTGCTATGATTGTGCTCCATGTCCCCAAGGCAAGATTTCATCACAGAAAGGTAGGAGACACAATATATACAAGGTACTTTTGGAATGTATAAAGGAGACATCTGTGATATTTCTATTTGTAGTTGCTATCCAGAACATCTGAAATCTGAATATATTATTTTCTCTCCAGATATGGATGACTGTGTTGCATGCCCCGAAGACCACTATCCACACAGGAACCAATCACAATGCATTCCAAAGACCATCAGCTTCCTGTCTTTTAAAGAGCCTCTGGGCACGAGCTTAGCATTGTTGGCTCTTTCTCTGTTTCTCCTCACAATATTAGTCCTTGCCATCTTCATTAAACATCAGGACACACCACTTGTCAGAGCAAACAATCGGGACCTCACCTACACTCTCCTCACTTTCCTCCTGCTCTGCTTCCTCTGCCCATTGATTTTCCTCAGCCCTCCAGAAAGAGTAAGCTGCCTGCTCCGACAAATGGCTTTTGGCCTTGTTTTTACAGTGACTGTTTCTTGTGTTCTGGCCAAAACGATCACGGTGGTTCTGGCCTTTGTGGCCACCAAACCAGGATCCCGAATGAGGAAGTGGGTGGGGAAAAGACTGGCAAGCTCCATTGTGATTTCTTGTTCCCTTATCCAAGCAGGCATTTGTGCTGTGTGGTTAGTAACCTCTCCCCCATTTCCTGATTCTGACATGCAGTCTGTGATGAGGGAAATCATTCTAGGCTGCAACGAAGGGTCAGTTGCCCTGTTTTACTGTGTCCTGGGCTACATGGGCTTTTTGGCCATTATCAGCTTTGTTGTGGCCTTTTTTGCCAGGAAACTGCCTGACAGCTTCAATGAGGCCAAATTCATCACCTTCAGCATGTTGTTGTTTTGTAGTGTTTGGATCTCCTTTCTTCCAGTGTACCTGAGCACCAAGGGGAAATACATGGTGGCTGTGGAGATCTTCTCCATCTTGGCCTCCAGTGCTGGCTTACTGGGCTCCATCTTTGCTCCCAAATGCTACATCATTGTGTTGAGACCTGATCTGAACAGCAAGGAGAAGTTAATAAAGAAGAAATAACAAATTACCCTAACATCTCTGTTTTTTGTTCTATCAGAATATGGGCAAATTAATCTCTCTTTTTCTACATCGTATAACCATACTGTATTTTATCTGTTACAATTCCTATGTGCAATTACTTTTAAAATCCTCTGTGGTCTTTCTGAAATAGGGGTCCACAACCTTTTTCAATGTTTGGGAAACTAAGAAACTGTCATGGAGACTGCTAAGTATGAAGGCCTGACTAGAACATCAGATGGTGGTTAATTATACACTGAAAAAGAGAAAACAATATATTGGGAGGCTTAGAAAGCTTCTCCTTATTCTTTTCTATGTGATTCTCCAGTAAGTAAGGTTTCAGTGGAACTGCTACTATCATGATTAATCAGTACCATTGATTTCAGTAGTTACAGGCAATATTTGCTACACAATTTCTGGTTTTGTTTTTTTTTTAATAAAAAAATGTTCCTCCAGCCTCATGAGGAGCCTCTTCAGTAGGGCTGGTGAGTCTGGGCCTCGCCCCCTAGGCCAGTTGGAAAAGGTCTTGAGGAGAGCGACCTTCACGCCTCACAGCTGGGTGATGTTCCTCCGGCCTCATTGTTCTTTTTTTTTTTTTTAATAATTTTTTATTAAGGTTTTAAACAAACAAAAAAGAAAAACAACACACACAAAAAACAATACCTAACTTAACAATAAAAACACAAAACATAACAATTAAAAACAAACTCTCTTTTCCTTTTCCAATTTTAAGTTACTTATTTTCTGGACTTCCTCATACCTCCCTCTTTTGTATTCCAATCCACATTATTTGTCCAGCAGTTTCTTTTCCACTTTTTTAATCTCAATCTTTAATTTAATAAAACGTTATAATATATAACTTCATCTTTTTTAAACCTAATCCTTGATCTTAATGTCATATAGCTTTAAATTTTTCCCTTTTATTATCAAATTTCCATTTCTTTAAACATCTTTAATCTTGATCTTTAATCTTAATCTATCCTTAACTTTAACCTGTACAGCTGGAAACCACTTGTTTTCAGTCCAACATCACTCTAACATTCCTTAATTTTGCAGTGTTTCTGAAGATAGTCTTTGAATTTCTTCCAGTCTTCCTCCATCAACTCTTCTCCCTGGTCACGGATTCTACCAGTCATTTCCGCCAATTCCATATAGTCCATAAGTTTCATCTGCCATTCCTCCAGCGTGGGAAGTTCTTGTGTCTTCCAATACTTTGCGATGAGTATTCTTGCTGCTGTTGTTGCATACATAAAGAAAGTTCTATCCTTTTTTAACACCATTTGGCCTACTATGCCCAGGAGAAAGGCCTCTGGTTTCTTGGGGAAGGTATACTTAAATACCTTTTTAATTCATTATATATCATTTCCCAGAAAGCCTTAATCTTTGGGCACGTCCACCAAAGGTGAAAAAATGTACCTTCAATTTCTTTACATTTCCAACATTTGTTATCGGGCAAGTGATAGATTTTCGCAAGCTTGACTGGGGTTATGTACCACCTGTATATCATTTTCATAATATTCTCTCTTAAGGCATTACATGCCGTAAATTTCATACCTGTGGTTCATAACTGTTCCCAGTCAGCAAACATAATGTTATGACCAACGTCCTGTGCCCATTTAATCATAGCCGATTTTACCGTTTCATCTTGAGTATTCCATTTCAGCAGCAGGTTATACATTCTTGACAAATTCTTGGTATTGGGTTCTAACAATTCTGTTTCTAATTTGGAACTTTCCACCTGGAAGCCAATTTTCCTGTCCAATTTAAATACCTCCATTATTTGATAATAATGAAGCCAGTCTCGCACTTTGTTTTTTAGTTTTTCAAAACTCTGCAATTTCAGTCTATCTCCGTCTTGTTCCAAAATTTCCCAATATTTCGGCCATTTGACCTCCATATTGACCTTTTTCAAGGCTTTCGCTTCCATTGGTGACAGCCACCTTGGGGTTTTATTTTCTAGCAAATCCTTATATCTTATCCAGACATTAAACAGCGCTTTCCTGACAATGTGGTTTTTAAATGCTTTATGTGCTTTGACCTTATCATACCATAAATATGCATGCCATCCAAATACATTATTAAAACCTTCTAGATCCAAAATGTCAGTGTTTTCAAGAAGTAGCCATTCTTTCAACCAGCAAAAAGCTGCTGATTCATAGTACAGTTTAAGGTCTGGCAGGGCAAATCCACCTCTTTCCTTTGCATCCGTTAATATTTTAAATTTTATTCTGGGTTTCTTGCCCTGCCAGACAAATTTAGAAATATCTTTCTGCCACCTCTTGAAACAATCCATTTTGTCCACGATCTGCAAAGTTTGAAACAAAAACAACATTCTGGGCAATACATTCATCTTTATCGCAGCAATACGGCCTAGCAGTGAAAGCTTCAAATTTGACCAAATTTCTAAATCTTTTTTTCACTTCTGACCAACATTTTTCATAATTATCTTTAAATAAATTCCCATTTTTTGCTGTCATGTTAATCCCCAAGTATTTAACTTTCTTAACCACTGTTAAACCTGTCTCATTCTGAAACCTCTCTCTTTCAAACGATGTTAAATTTTTCTCTAAAACCTTGGTTTTTGACTTGTTCAATTTAAATCCTGCCACTTGACCAAATTCTTGAATCAGTTCTAAAACCCTTTTTGTACTAGATTCTGGCTCCTGTAACGTCAATACTAAGTCATCTGCAAATGCTCTCAATTTATAGTGTTTAATTCCGACCTGTATACCTTTAACCATCTGGTCCCTTCTAATCATATTCAGCAGAACCTCCAGGACCGAAATAAAAGAAGTGGGGAAATTGGGCAACCTTGTCGTGTCCCTTTTTCAATTTTAAGTTCTTCCGTCACAACATTATTTACAATTAGTTTAGCCTTTTGTTCTGAATAAATTGCACTTATACCATTCTCAAAACCTTGGCCTACCCCCATACCCTGTAGATTCTTCTTCATAAAATTCCAAGAAATATTGTCAAAGGCTTTCTCCGCGTCTACAAATATCAACACTGCTTTAGTGTTTATATTCACTTCTAATTTTTCCAAGATATCAATTATATTCCTCAAATTGTCAGACAAATGTCTTCCTGGGAGAAAGCCCGCTTGGTCTTTGTGAATCTCTTCCATCAACACTTTTTTAAATCTCTTCGCCAAAATATCTGCAAAAATTTTGTAATCCACATTAAGTAATGATAGGGCGGTAGTTCTTAAGTTGTGTCTTTTCAGTCTCTGTTTTTGGTACAAGTGTAATATATGCTTCTTTCCACGACTCTGGTGCCCTCTTCCCCTCCATAATTTCATTACAGACCTCTTTCAATGGTTGAATTAACCATTCTTTTAAAGATCTGTAGTATCTAGAGGTCAAGCCGTCTGGTCCTGGAGATTTACCCAGTTGCATATTTTGAATGGCACCTTCTATTTCCTGTTCAGTTATTCTGCCATTCAAAATTAGTCTCTTTTCTTGAGATATTTTTGTAGTCCATTTGTTTTCAAAAATTGGTCTAAATCTGTTTCTTTCACTGGCCCTTGAGTATATAGTCTTTTAAAATACTTCTGGAAACAACTTCTAATCTCTGCAGGGTTCTGTATATTCCTTCCTTCCACTTCTAAATTCGTAATCGTATTTCGTTTTTGTCTCTTTTTCATTTGCCATGCCAACAATTTACCACATTTATTAGCCGATTCAAAAGTCTTTTGTCTCATTTGTTTAATTTTCCATTCTATTTCCTGATTCATTATTTTCATATATTGTACTTGATATAACTTTAACTCTCTCAGAACCTCTTGAGACTCCGGCCTCATTGTTCTTACTTATAACAATGGTGGTATTGCTAATGGGCTTTGGTTCAGAAGATGGAACTGGTTAGTTCTGAATGAATATTTTGGAGAAAAAGCATTTTGAACATTAGTACAATAAAAGTCCTTTTAATTAGAAAATACAATATTATCTCACATTCTTTGAAAAATGGTGGAACAAGAAGATTGGTAAATAAAAAGACCATTTTATTCCATGACCCACTATGAATACTGAATACATCTGGGCAATTGTAAAGTTAATTCTCTCTTACATCTTGATATCTCAAATACATTAATTAACCATTCTTTTTGTATTTGCTAATCATTTTTTCTTTATTACATCTATATATCGCCCCTTAGAATTGCCTTAGAATTACATTTAAGGAAGATACCAAGATGCTCTTGGAATTTTAGCAGTCCCCAAAACAGCAAAAACTAGCTTACCTCACCCTAATTGCATAACATACATGGCCTATTGCTCTCTATCAGTCTACCCAAGAAGCGCAACATTTAAGGTCTTAGCTGGTTGCTACAAGTTCAGAACTCATGGCTCTAAGAAGCCTCTCTTGGACTCCTATTCCAATAATTTGCAGCTTTCACCACTATAACTAAGCCAAGTGTTACTGCCTGTGTTTTCTGACTGTGTATGGAGAAACACATGAACCTGACCTTTGAAGAATTTGTAAGTATGCCAATTTTCACTGACCAGATGTGTGGTCCTTTTCAATGGTAAGGGGAGAGGGAAGTTTTGGAACTCATGAGGGTATATTTTTTCCGATCTAACAACCCATATTTTCACACTTTACTTTGCTGAATTTTGTGATTTGAAATCTCTGCTAGGGTTCTCTCAGCAAAGAGCACTTGCCCCAAACCTGGATCTTGGCGTCCAGGAAATTCTCCCTGTTTATACTTAATTTTACTTGCCACCTACACAAATCATCTGCCATAATTCAATCTCTTTCACAATTTTTCAGTCTTAGTATGATTGTCAGTAAATTAATGAACAGATGTTCAGGGGGAAAATTTGGAGGTCAGACTGATCATTTCCCCTGTTCAGATGAAGCTTTTCAGCACTGATAGCAGACCACTGTTCTATTCTTTTCTTCCTCCTTGTTGTTATTTTTGCATGCTCTTTTGTTGTCCCATAAACAGACAGAAACCACTTTTGATGAAATAACACAAGCATGTGCAGGTGTTTTTTCTGGTCATTTTGTTGTTTTTGATGTAGAGAGACCTAGTTATCATCACAACTGTAATTATCAATCTCGTCATGACTAAGTCTCTCTTGAATAATGTCTCAATAGATTTCCAGACAATACCAGCCAGAGTTTGGGTATAAAACCCCTTCCTGCCATTCTAAGCAAGGGAGAGGGAAGAGAAAGAGGGAGGATTTTTGCTTTTCTCTTTGTTGAGGTGTATAATAGGATTTTAATCTGTGAATTGGTAGGGAAGTGCTGTTCCTGTCAAGGCAGAATATTGTACTGAGCGTGGTTCTGAAGCTGAGGTTCATTTTCCAGATGGAAATGAGTGTGTCAGATGAGAAAGAATATTTGCCTCAGTATGTTGCTGTTTGTTGTGCCCATTCTCTTTCATCTGCCACATATGGTGTGCAAACATACATGTTGCACCATGCATGATCTGTCCAGAATTCCACATGAATACTACCAACCTGGTGATCTTATTATTGGCGGACTTGCTTCTCACCTCTTTACCTCTTTTGACAAAGCAGACTTCAAAGAAAGGCTAACCACCCATCAACTTCTTAATACCTTGTAAATACTTCATGTATCAAGTAATCAGGTGATACAGAAACATCCCCCAGCTCTAACCAGGCTTACTGTGAAGCCTGTTCCACTGATTATAGAGGGATTTCCTTCCAGGCAGAGGTGTTGGGGAGGGGGCACCATTTCAGAGCTGAAGATTTGGCATGTAAGGAGGGAAATGGAGATCTGAATGTGTCGTCAGTGAGATGAGAGAGTCTTTCTTTCATTCATGTGTTCTCTCCTCCCCACACCCCACCAAATTTCTTCCAAGAAGACTTTCATAAGAGGAGCCACAACTTAAACTTACCTAGTTTAAGGTGGAAAGCCCTTCTCTGTTCTGAATATTGAACTTCATCTCTGAAAGTTTGGGGTGAAGGGTCTTAAAGGCTCACCTCTCCTTTGAGGTGAAATTCTCATTCCGATGTTCTCATCCAAGTCAGGCTAGTCTTATATGACCCTCCCAGTTTAAAATGTGTCACAGGTTTGAATATGATGAGAATAACTCCATTAAGCCAGGCTACCTGCTTCTCTGCATTTCAATACACCTTTTCTTCTGGGATCAGATCAATACCTGTAAATAAACAATTTGTATATGTCTAAGCCCAAAGGGCAGCCTGTACACTTTATTTTTATCTTGTGAGATATATTATTATTATTAATCAGCTTCGTGGTTTCAAAATATTTCAAAATATTTTACGGCTTCTGTTGCTGTCTCTGTGTGACTGTCAATATCTGTAGCCTTCTGCTGTCACTATGTTGCAGGCTTGTTAGATGACAGAGGACTGGTGACAGGGAAAGAAAGGGAATTTCATTGTATTAATACCACTGTATTAATAAAAGTGAACTACAAGTATAAAAGTGGGATACAATGTATTCCTTCAGGGGAAACTCCTTTCCATATATAATAGGACACAATTTCAACTAAAATGCTGAAGAATTGTCAAGCCTCCCCCCCCCCCTTTTATATTGTATAGCATATATTTCAAAAATATAGCATGAAATTCTCATTGCAGTGTTGTGCCGAAGAACTACCAGCATATTCTGGCCTTGATATTTGCCGTCAAGGAGATCAATGAGAACCCCAAGATCTTACCAAATATCACCTTAGGATTCCACGTCTATGACAGTTACTTCAATGAAAGGATGACCTATCGGGCTGCTCTGAACCTTCTCTCCACACTTATACCCAACTACAAGTGTGACATCCAGAAACACCTGGTGGCAGTTATTGGGGGACTGGACTTTGATACCTCCCTCTACATGGCAGACATATTGAGCATCTACAAGATTCCCCAGGTAAGATACTTCCTTGGACTCTTCACACTCAATTACCATTATCTTTTCTCTCCAAAAATGTTTTGTAGAGTTGTGGCTGAAAAAGGAGGGTGGTCCTGCTCTTCACAAAACTTGTTTCCTCTTTACTTTGCAAATTAAATAACCTGTGTAGCACAAAACAGATAGTAGTGAGCCATCAGCAGCATTTAAAGATGTCTGCTCTAGGTGGGCAGTCCTATTTCCCCTTCTTAAGCACACTTGCCTTTCTCTCTGCTCTAGGTCTGAGCAGTGCCTCCCCTGACTCCTCTAACTAGTCTGGTGTCCCAAGTGCAGTGGATGAAGCGGTCCTATTGGTATATTGAAGGAGGATTCAAAGGCAGGACCAGTTGGTTTCTATCTCAGGCACCAGAATGTATTAGGTGTGACCTGGCCTAACCCAATAAACCAAGAAGTGTGGGTGGTATGGGAGAAGGTGGCCCTCTAGATATATGAGGTGCAGACAAATTAGAGCTTTCAAAGGTCAATACTAGGATTTTCAATAGGTGACTTTCTCTTTATGTTTGGAAATGGTCCTGTTTCCTGGGCCAGTTAGAAACAAAGATCAGTAGCTTTGTCTTCCACAGCACAGAGCTTCTACTGAGGCATGCAGAGAATAGTCTGGATTGGCCAACAAACTTTGCACTTCTTCAACATTTATGAATTATGTCTCTTTATTCCTTTTAGCTCACTTATGGTTCCTTTGCTCCAGAAGATCCTGGTCAAAGCCAATCTACTTTCTTCTATAGGATGGTGCCCAATGAAGCCCATCAGTACACTGGGATTGTTGAGTTACTTCTGCACTTTGGTTGGACGTGGGTTGGGCTGATCGCAGTGGATAATGACAGTGGAGAGAGATTTATTCAGAACCTGAAACCTCTCCTCTCCCAGAAAGGCATTTGCTTGGCCTTCTCAGAGACAACCCTGAAAATGACTCATTTGACTGAGTATTATGTCATGTATTCCCACTTGATCCAAATCTATCATGTTATTATGGAAAGTGAAACCAAGGTTGTTGTTTTCTATGGAGGAACAACATCCATGGTTCGCTTGCGAACAATGCTAGCGCTAGGTGAAATGGAAAATATCAACAAAACATCTGTGGACAAGGTGTGGATACTGACAGCACAGGTGGATTTCACAGCATTGACCTATCAAATGAGTTGGGATATGCATGTCTTCCACGGTTCCCTCTCCTTTGCAGTTCATTCAAATGTGGTACAAGGATTCAAAGCCTTTCTTCAGGTACAAAATCCTTTTGAGGCAAATGGAAATGGCTTTGTCAAGCAGTTCTGGGCACAGGTATTTCTCTGTTTATTTCCAAACTCCAATACAGAGGAGCAGGCCAGTGGAACCTGCACTGGCAAGGAGAAGCTGGAAAATCTCCCTTCGTCTGGCTTTGAGATGAGCATAACAAGCCACAGCTATAGTGTCTCTAATGCTGTTTATGCCACAGCACATGCTCTACATGCCATGTTCTTGTCCAGGACCAAATACAGGGCAGCGGTGGAAGGAGGGATGCAGAAGCTACAGAAACTGCAGCCTTGGCAGGTAATGCCTATTATAACGTACAAGTTATTTGACATGGGCCGTGAAATGTAGAAGACTACACTGAAAATTTTCAAGTACTGAGTGTAGACTAGGATCCTTCACTTAACGTAAGCATAGAATTCACATGCAGGCTGAGTTTCCCCAAAGCCAAACGGCTTTGTTGCCCATTTCCTCCTAAAGTGAAGGGAAGTGACATAGACGAAGCCTGGTAGGACAGCTTACTCCATGGCATTAACCCCCTTCATGGGTTGATTAAATGTCTGCATGGTGGTTATATGAGGCCGTTTACCCTATAATTCTCTTCTGTGGGGTGAGAGATATCCAAGTAGTGGGAACTGATTTTTTTCTCATTTCCTCTTGGTCGGGAATGCATTAGGATTTTCCCTATAGGAGAGAAAGGAAATCATTGGCTCTCTCTTACGAGCCATTTCCAATGAATGGATTCTGTTTGCATAGCAGTCCCTGCCAGTACTGAACGCTGAAGGCATCCTGAGTGTCAGTAAGGAGAGACATATGCATAGTTCCTATTTTTCCTCCAATGCAGCTCCATCCCTTCCTTAGGAGTGTCTCCTTTAACAACTCTGCTGGAGAAACGGTTTCTTTCAGTGAGAGCAGGGTAGTAGAAGCTGGCTCTGATATTACCAACATAGTCACTTTTCCAAATAACTCCTTCATGAGAATCAAGGTTGGAAGACTGGGTGGGGAGGCTGTCCCAGGCCAGCTGATTTCCATTGATGACAAAAGAATGGTGTGGCACCAGAGCTTTCACCAGGTGAGGCATAATTCCTACATCCATGAGATATAGGAAAAGAGAATATCTTTAACATTACATTTCAACAGATCACTCTCCATTTGAGATATTTGTTCCCCAGATTTGTCAGGTTGAGTACACTTTTTGTAGAGCATGAATAGAAAAATGAGCAGTTTGGCTCTGAGTTTGGAATAAGTATTTTAGTGTCTTCCTATTTCTAGTTGGGGTGGGGCGAAATAATACTAATTTCTGTGTGCTAAAATGTTTATGTGTTTATTTAAATGGGCAGGTTCCACCCCTTTCACTATGTAACTCAAATTGCCCTCCTGGTTCCAGGAAGGAAAAGAAGGAGGGGGAGCCATTCTGCTGCTATGATTGTGCTCCATGTCCTCAAGGCAAGATTTCATCACAGAAAGGTAGGAGACACAATATATAGATGGTACTTTTCAAATGTATAAAGGAGGCATCTGTGATATTTCTATTTTAACCTTAAGAGTTTCACACTGGTAGCATTTGTAGTTGCTATCCAGAACATTTGAAATCTGAATATATTATTTTCTCTCCAGATATGGATGACTGTGTTGGGTGCCCCGAAGATCACTATCCACACAGAGATCAATCGCAATGTATTCCAAAGACCATCAGCTTCCTGTCTTTTAAAGAGCCTCTGGGGATCAGCTTAGCATTGCTGGCTCTTTTTCTCTCTCTCCTCACAGTGGTGGTCCTAGCCATCTTCGTTAAACATCAGGACACACCACTTGTCAGAGCAAACAATCGGCACCTCACCTACACTCTCCTCACTTTCCTCCTGCTCTGCTTCCTCTGCCCATTGATCTTCCTCAGTCCTCCAGAAAGAGTGAGCTGCCTGCTCCGACAAATGGCTTTTGGCCTTGTTTTCACAGTGACCGTTTCTTGTGTTCTGGCCAAAACGATCACGGTGGTTCTGGCCTTTGTGGCCACCAAACCAGGATCCCGAATGAGGAAGTGGGTGGGGAAAAGACTGGCAAGCTCCATTGTGATTTCTTGTTCCCTTATCCAAGCAGGCATTTGTGCTGTGTGGTTAGTAACCTCTCCCCCATTTCCTGATTCTGACATGCAGTCTGTGATGAGGGAAATCATTCTAGGCTGCAACGAAGGGTCAGTTGCCCTGTTTTACTGTGTCCTGGGCTACATGGGCTTTTTGGCCATTATCAGCTTTGTTGTGGCCTTTTTTGCCAGGAAACTGCCTGACAGCTTTAATGAGGCCAAATTCATCACCTTCAGCATGTTGTTGTTTTGTAGTGTTTGGATCTCCTTTGTTCCGGTCTACCTGAGCACCAAGGGGAAATACATGGTGGCTGTGGAGATCTTCTCCATCTTAGCCTCCAGTGCTGGCTTACTGGGCTCCATCTTTGCCCCCAAATGCTACATCATAGTATTGAGGCCTGATTTGAACTGCAAGGAGAAGTTAATAAAGAAGAAATAACAAATTAACCTATCATCTCTGTTTATTTGTTCTCTCAGAATATGGGCAAATTAATCTCTCTTTTTCTACATTGTATAACTATGTTGTATCATATCTGTTATAATTCCTATGTGCAATTCCTTTAAAAATCCTCTGTGGTCTCTCTGACAAAGGGATTCCCAATGCTTTTTTGACCTTATTGAAAAACTAAGAAGCTGGCAGAGATATTTCATCTGTTTTTTGCTAGCTAAGGAAGCTGCAGGCATTCAGACCCATGCTTAATCAATTGTTTGAGGCTTCCTCAAGAGTTAGTGCATCTTTTGTTTATTCTCGCTACCTATTTAAAGCAGTGGGAGACATTATAGTGACCCAGAGGGCCTTTAAGTAACTTTGGCACCCCGGCAATGTGCTGTCTGAAATGTATAAGATATTATTGGACTTCGAAACAAAGTATGAACAAGTAAAATCCTCAGTGATACATTGGGCAATAGATATTGGTCATAATATAGATATGGAAGCATTCGAATGATTGTGGAATATGGATATAAAATTTACAGCATGTGAAAGTGAAAATTATAAGTGAAAATTATATGAAAATGATATATTTATGGTATCTAACATTGAGTAAATTGGCAAAAATGTATAAATCTAAATCAAATAAGTGTTGGAAATGTAAAGAGAATGAAGGTACTTTTTAACATATGTGGGGTGGTCTTACTGGGAAATGATATATAAAGAATTGAAAAGGATGTTTAAAATAACATTTGTAAAAAAACAAAAACAAAAACAGAAGCTTTTCTTTTGGGAATTATAGGGACAGAACTTATTCATGTATGGGATTACAGCGGCAAGAATGTTACTTGCCCAAAAATGGAAAGAAGGAGAAGTCCCAGCAAAGGAAGAACGGATTCAAAAACTTATGGAATATGCAGAAATGGCAAAACTTAGCGGAAAAATAAGAAATCAAGATAACAAAAACTTTTTATAAAAGAATGGAAATGGTTCATTGAAAATTTACAGATAAATTATAAACAGATAAGAACACTGGCATGATTATTGTAATTCACCTCTGTGAATGGTGATGGCATTAAAATATCCTGTTCAATAAAAAAGGAAAAAAGGGAAATCAGGGCTGGATCTAGACAAAGCAAAAAAGCACTTCAGGAAAACGTGTTGTAAACTTTATACAGTGGTACCTTGGAAGTCGAACGGAGTCCATTCCGGAAGTCCTTTCGACTTCCAAAAGGTTCAGAAACCAAGGCACAGCTTCCAGTTGGCTGCAGGAAACTTCTGCAGCCAATCAGAAGCTACGGAAGTCACATCAAAGAACATTTGAAAACCAGAACAATCACTTCTGGTTTTCAATCATTCGCAAGCCAAAACGCTCGACTCCCAAAGCATTTGAAAACCAAGGTACAACTGTAATGGCAAATCATGTTGGCGAAAGATGGAACTCCACAGCGACATCTGGTGTCACAGTGTTATAATGCATATAAAACACCTTTTCTTCACCATTGTGGCTGAGTCCCAGATCGTGTCAAAGGTATCTTATTTGGAGATGCTTTTGATTAGTCACCTATGGTATGTGAGGCGTTCTGATATGGCAATGCTCCAGATGTTATTAACCCAAGGCTCTATTGGTATATTAGAGGTTTCCTCCCTTGGGCAATAACTAGTCTAGTTGCTGTGAACAGGAGGGAAATTTATTCTTTAGATTTAAGGGTAGAATTTGGAGTCAAAACTAGTGATAAACAAAGGGAGGGAGGTTTTGGAACTAACAAGGTCTTGTTTTAAAGATTTAAAAGCCTATACTTCCATGTTTACTTTAATGGATATTTTGTGATTTAAAATCTCTGCTGGGATTCTCTCATCAAAGAGTATTTACTTGCCCCAAACCTGGATCCTGGCCTTCAGAGAATTCTCGTTTAATACCTATTCTTCTTTGTCACCAACACAAACCACCTGCGAAACTCAGTCCCTTTCACCATTCTTTTGCCTGTCTTGGTAGGATTCTCAGTAAATTAATGAACAGATGTTTGAGTGGGAAATTTTAGGAGGTCTGATAAATTATTCCACTGGTCAGCATTAATAACAGACCCACTCTTATGTTCTTTTTCATTGGTTAATACAACATGTACTTTTGTTGCCCCAAAGATGGACAGAACGGAACATTACGAGCAGGTTTTCGTGCCATCTGTTTGATGGACCTGATGTGAAGAGCCCTAGTTATTATCTCATCTGTAATTACTACTCTTGTCATTATCCCTTGGATAATGTCTCAATAGATTTCCAGAGAATGCCAGCCAAAGACTAAATATAGGTATAAAAACCCCTTGCTGCCAATCTAGGTAAGGGAGAGGGCAGAGGAAGAGGAAGGATTTCTGCTTTTCTCTTTGTCAGGTTGCAACAAAGGATTTTAATCTGTGAATTGGTGTGGTTCCTGTCAGGCAGAATATTGTGAATATTGTACTGAGCATGGTTCTAGATGGCACTGAGGGTGTGTGATGAGGAAGAATATTTGCCTCAGTATGTTGCTGTTTATTGTGCCCCTTCTCTTTCATCTGCCACATATGGTGTGCAAACATACAAGTTGCACCATCCATGATCGGTCCAGAATTCCACATGAATACTACCAAGCTGGTGATCTTATTCTTGGCGGACTTGCTTCTCACCTCCTTACTGCTTCTGACAAAGAAGACTTCAAGGAAAGGCTAACGACCAGTCAACTTCTTAATACCTTGTAAAGACTTCATATGACACGTAATCAGATGTCACAAAAACATCCCCCAGCTCTGACCAGGCTTACTCAGAAGCAAGTTCCACTGATTTCACTGGGATTTACTTCCAGGGAGAGGTGGGGGGTGGGTGGGGAAATTGTCGCAAAGCTGAAGAGTTGGCTTGGAAAGGGGGAGAGGGAGATCCTAAATCTATGCTTTCTTAGGCAGCAACCCTAAGCAGGGGTATAGGAAGGGGGGCGGTCTGCCCTGGGTTCCATCACGGAGCGGGGGTGTCAAAAAGGAACAATAACTGCCCTACCAGGATGGTTCATAAAAAACTTTTTTAAAAATAAAAGCCTGCTCCAAAGGTCTTATCTTACTACACTAGGTATTATATAGCTATATCTGAAATTTCATGCTTATCAGTTAATATCTTGACCCTCCTCCACGAAAATAACTGTTTCCTTGGCCATTTTCATATGTTGTGAAGGCTGAAATTTCAATTCAGTGGAGCCAAAACACAATCCATCCTGTAGATTTAAGTATCTGTCCACAGTCGCCTCCTTGTTATCAGAGGCCCATAATCCACATTCCTTTGTAAGAAAATATGAAATAACATAAAACTATTTTTGCAGGCCAATTTTCTTTTAACAAATCAATGTGTGGGAGGGTGGTGACAAGAATTTTTTTGCACCAGGTACCACCTGACCTTCCTATGCCTCTGACCCTAAGTATGCTTTCTGCATGGCCTCTGTTGCTGTCCGGGTGTGACTGTCAAAGTTTGAGGCCTTGTGCTCTTAATGTGGTGTAGGGCCATTTGGTGATGGCTTCTTGGTGAGAGGGGAAGAGAAGAAGGGGGGAAAGAGACAATTGCATCTAATATTTATAGGCAGGGCCTGGTTCAGTTACATTCACTCCAATTGGCCCGGTCAACAAATGAAGGTTCTGATCAGTGAAGAAATGGCAGTTAACTGTCAGCTGTGAGAAGGAACATGTGGCAAAGAGCAGAGAAAGCTGAGGTGAAAGTAAACAGATAAGGCTATTTATCCTCAGTGTGTTGATAATATTTTGAGGTGAGCATCAGAACAAATGAGCTGGTGGAAATTTCAGGTTAGGAAGCAGATTTCTTAAATCAATTCAACTGTCCAACCAGCCAGAAATACAACTGGAGGGTTAAGTGGCAATTTGTATCTAGCAGTTGTTTAATCAATCTGTGAGTGAATTGGGCAGGAGTGGAGGTTTAGGGAATCTGGTCAGAGGATGGTGTCAGCAACAGCATCACTTGAATCTCGTTCAGGTACATGTAGGACCCCTAAGTAAATATATGTACAGTGGTATCTCAGGTTAAGTACTTAATTCGTTCGGGAGGTCCGTCCTTAACCTGAAACTGTTCTTAACCTGAAGCACCACTTTAGCTAATGGGGCCTCCTGCTGCTGCTGCGTCGCCGGAGCACGATTTCTGTTCTCATCCTGACGCAAAGTTCTTAACCTGAGGTACTATTTCTGGGTTAGCGGAGTCTGTAACCTGAAGCGTATGTGACCTAAAGCGTACATAACCCGAGGTACCACTGTATTTCCTTATTAGAGAGGGGGGGGATTCAAATCAGTTCACATTTAAATGTGAACCTACCAGATTTCTCATGCTCTTAAAAGATGTTGAAATCAAAAGAGAGCCATCATTTGAAATTCACCCTTCTCCAAATTTTAGTGTACTTCTCCAGCCAAACAATGTATACAAAAATGCGTATCCTGGGGTAAAATGACCCAAAATGCATGTATTAGTGAAAGTGTTATACAAGTGGAATACAATGCATTCTTTTAACAGAACTTGTTTTGCAGATATTTGTATATTAGGGCACAATTTGCACTGACATGCCGAAGAATCATCATGTGGCCCTTAAAAAATGTATAGCACACATTTGATACAATTGCATACAATGATACAGCATAAAATTTTCTGTGCAGTGTGTTGCCAAAGAACTACCAGCATATCCTGGCCTTGGTGTTTGCTGTCAAGGAGATCAATGAGAACCCCAAGATCTTACCAAATATTACATTGGGATTCCACATCTATGACAGTTACTTCAATGAAAGGATGACCTACGCGGCTACTCTGAACCTCCCATCCACACTTGTACCCAACTACAAGTGTGACACTCAGAAACTTCAGATGGCAGTTATTGGAGGACTTGACTTTGAAACCTCCCTCCTAATGGCAAACATCTTGAGCATCTACAAGATCCCCCAGGTAAGATCTCCCACTGGAGACTTTTCACTCATTCACCATGATCTTTTCTATCCAGAAAGGTTTTGTATAGTAAGAAATAGTTGTGACTGACAAAGGAGAGTGATCCTGCCCTCCACAAAAAGTGTTTCCAGTGTGCCTCACACAATTAAATAATATGTTTAGCATAAAGCTGTCAGATAGCATTCCCCCCCCATATATAATTTTTAATAAGTTTTATAATTTTATATTCAACACAATAATCAATGCTACAAAAAGGAACATATGGATTCCCATCTCCCCCACCCTTCTCCCATGACTTCCCTCAATTTCTTCTTCTGGTTCTTTAAATATTTCCTTATCCTGCCTGTCTTCTTCTACCTTGATTTTGTAATCTTTTAATTAAATATTGTTATATTCTTATCGTTTTGTACCATGTTTTTTCCAGTTACCATATTTTTCACCCTATAGGATGCACTTTTCCCTCTCCAAAAACGAAGGGGAAATGTGTGTGTGTCCTATGGGGCGAATGCAGGCTTTCGCACCGACCCCTCTCGCTCTCCAGGCTTCAGGAGAGCCCCACCGCCAGCCCCACAAGCTCGGGGGACAGCAGGGAGGCGGAATGCCACCATTCCGCTGTCCCCCGACCTGGTTTGGAGGCTGGCGGTGGGGAGAAGCCCGCTTCTCCCTGCCGCCAGCCCCGCAAGCTCGGGGGACAGCAGGGAGGCGCAGCGCGCCCAGGCTTAGCTTCGTGCAGCTCTCCGCAAGCTGTGGGAGCCCGGCACTGGGCTCCCACGCTTGCGGAGAGCTGCATGTTCTGGGGGTTGGGGTCGGGGGAAGCTCGGGCTTCCCCCGCCCCAGCCCCGTGCCTGGGGGAAAAATAATTTTCCCCCTTTATTTCCCCCCCCCCCCAAAAAAAATTAGGTGCGTCCTATGGGCCGGTGCGTCCTATAGGGCGAAAAATATGGTACATCTTACACTTTGCTATTTTCCCATTATTACGTCTTCATTTTTATGCTTGTTTTCCTAGTTGTAAGTGTTTACTCAAACCCTGCTAGTGAGTCCACTTCTTTACAATGTTTCTGTAAATACAACATAAATGGTTCCCAGTCCTTTTTAAAGTGTCTATTCTCCTTGTCTCTTAGTTTCCCAGTTAGCTTCACCATTTCAGCATATTCCATCAGTTTTTGTTGCCATTCTTCTTCCGTTGGTATCTTGTCATCTTTCCATCTTTGGGCTAGTAGCATCCTAGCCACTGCTGTAGCATACATAAATAATTTCTTCCACTCTTTTGGCAAGTCTTGGCCTGTAATGCCTAACAAAAACGCTTCTGGTCTTTTAACAAAGGTTGTCTTAAACATTTTTTTCTTTTCATTATAAATCATTTCCCAATAACTTTTGATTATTTTACAGTTCCACCACATGTGATAAAACGTGCCTTCACCTGTCATATAGTATTGACCCTTCAGCAACATTTAAACATGTTTGCTGTAGGTAGGCATTCCGCATCCCCTTTCTTAAGCCTTTTCTCTCTGCTGGGTGTCTGAGCAGTGTATGCTACATGCCTCCCCTGACTCCTCTAGTTAGTCTGGTGTCTCAAGCGCAGTGGATGATGTGATCCTATTTGTTGCATTGAAGTAAGATTCAGTGGCAGCAGAATGTCTGGTGGAACCTTTCTGCAACCCACTGCGAATTGGGGTGCATACCTGAAAATATTAGAAGGAAACCCAGATTGCAATCCAGAATCTTGTGGTGAGCTTCTACTCCTGTTTATTCTGGCAAGTCATCAGACTACTGGAAGGAGCACCTGCAGTGAATGTAGAAGGTCAGTCCGTGGCATCTTTGATTAGGTCTCCTACCACTCCACATAATCAGTGGCGAGCTAGATGGATCAATGGTCTGACACAGCAGTAGGCAACTTCCTGTGTTCATCTGAGGCATTTAGCTGTGGGATGCTTTAATTCACAGCAGTAGGAGTAGCAGGAGGGGGTAGCAGTCATAGTAGGGTGGGTGGGGGGGAGAGACAGCACTATGCATTAAGTGCTTGAGCTAGAATTCATCTCAGGATGCTTCCAGGCTGTTACTGTGTTTGAATAAGATTCAGTCACATACCAGCAAATTCAGGTTATGCAGTTAAAGGTGATCTGGAGGTTTTGTGAGCAAACCCCCCCCCCCAAGTGATGCCAACTTGAAAAAATATGGGGGGGCAGGCAAGACCCCTCCTGCAAAATGACACAGTGCGCACACACCATTTGAATGGTAATGCCCATCACCTGTGGGAGGGGAGGGCAGCCCCCTCAAATGTTTTATTGGGGAGTCCAAGGGACCTCAGGCCCAAGGCGTTGGCCCCTATAGTGTGGCATAACATTTGCTTGATGCCGCGTTGTTCAACCACCTCCTGCATTTCTGTGGGTTCAACTAGATGACCCTTGTGTTCCCTTCCAACTCTACAATTCTAGGATTCTTTGAAACTGCCCCACACATTGTGGCCCTTGAGTGGGACTCTGTGGGTTAGGGGTTTGACAAAGGTAGGGAAGGGAAATTAAGACACCATGAAATGAGAAGGTGAAATGCTGTGGTGAAGCTAGGGTGCAGGAAAGTAGCAGTGCAGGAAAACAAGGAGAACAAACTGGAAAGGGAAAGGGAGTAGGTGGGAGAGGAAAGCAGGACTGCACGGAAACAAAGAGAGGGAACTGGAGAAGGAAAAATGGGGTGGGGAGAGGAGAGGGAAAGAGGGTATGCAAGGAGGCAGAGGCTGACAAGCACTCCATGCAGAAAAGATCTGCCACCCTCCCAGTTTTCCAGTGCCTTCTTTCCTGGGGCAACTGTCTCAACTCACCTTATAATTAGTCAGGAAACGCATGCCCAATCAATTTATGGATTATGCCCCTTTATTTCCTTTTAGCTCACTTATGGCTCTTTTGCCCCAGAGGATGCTGGTCAAAGCCAATCTACCTCCTTCTACAAGATGGTGCCCAATGAAGCCCATCAATACACTGGGATCGTTGAGTTACTGCTGCACTTTGGTTGGACGTGGGTTGGGCTGCTCGCTGTGGATAATGACAGTGGAGAGAGATTTATTGAGACCCTGAAACCTCTGCTCTCCCAGAAAGGCATTTGCTTGGCCTTCTCAAAGAAAACCCCAAAAATCACATATTTGGCAGAGTATTATGATCTGCAGTCCTACTCAATCCAAATTTATCAAGCTATGATGGAAAGTAAAGCCAAAGTTGTTGTTTTCTATGGAGAAACAATCTCTATGACTGACTTGAAAGAAATGGTAACACTCGGTGAATTGGAAAATGTGACCAAGACATCTGTGGGCAAGGTGTGGATACTGACAGCACAGGTGGATTTCACAGCACTGACCTATCAAATGAACTGGGATATGCAAGTCTTCCATGGTTCCCTCTCCTTTGCGGTTCATTCAAATATGGTGCAAGGATTCAAAGCCTTTCTTGAGGTCCAAAATCCTTTTGAGGCAAATGGAAATGGCTTTGTCAAGCAGTTTTGGGAACAAGCATTTCTCTGTTTATTTCCAAACTCCAATACAGAGGAGCAGGCCAGTGGAACCTGCACTGGAGAGGAGAAACTGGAAGATCTCCCTTCATCTGGCTTTGAGATGAGCATAACGGGCCACAGCTATAGTGTCTCTAATGCTGTTTATGCCACAGCACATGCTCTACATGCCATGTTCTTGTCCAGGACCAAATACAGGGCAGCGGTGGAAAGAAGGATGCAGGAGCTTCAGAAATTCCAGCCTTGGCAGGTAATTCCTTTCATGAGATATATTTTATTTGACATGGGCAATGATGTGTAAATCAGCATTCTGAAAATGTTTGAGCACTTTGTGTAGGATCAGATTCTCCCCTTGTTTGCAGAGAAGTTACTCATGAAGGAGTAGCACAGTGTAGGATCAGAGCGTCCCGCTTACAGTTGTTAAGCAGGGGGATCCAATCATGCAGGGTGCTGTGTTTTCGTGAGCAGCTGTCTTTGCAGAGAAATTGTTAGTGCAGGGTGATCCGATCTTGCACTGTTCTGCTCCGTCACAAGCAGCCTCTCTGCATACAAGTTAATCAGAAGATCCGATCCTACACTGAAAGGCAGGCCCACGCAGAGAGTGGAGCAGCTGGGTACACTTGCCCTGTTCATCAAAAAGCTAAGCTGGTCGCGGGGCCCTGCCAGGGCTTGCTGAACTTACACTATCATGCCAAGAACACCGTGTGCATCCCAGCTGCCCCATGCCTCAGACAAGCTCTACATGGGCCTCCTGATCAGAAAAGGGGAGAGTTGGCAAGGCATGTTCTGCAACTGAGGAAAAATCTAGGGAAGAGCAAGCACAGCACCCACAGAGGTTGTCCCTGACCAGCAAAAAACAAGTAATGAAGAGGACTTAGTGAATTTCTTTAAAGCTGTTTTTTGTATCTTAGCTGAGATCATTAGGGAATGTCGTTCTTGTTGGAAATCCCAGGAAGCCAAGACCCAAGTTTTGGGTAAGGAAACCATAGAGATTTAACATGAGAAAACATGCACCGATCAAAGCACAGAAATATAGGCTGTGAAACTTTCAGATGTGCTCTTTCCAGTGAATCCCACTGAAGGTTATAATATAGTTTACTTACAAAATTCTTCAAAGGTAACATTCATGTGCTTTTCCATATAGCAGTCAGAAAAAATCTGCACAGGCAGTAAAACATAACTTGATTACAAAATGGTAATAGTTCCTAAACAATTGGTATAGAAAACACTAGTTTCATATTCCATTCTTGTCTCAAACAAGAGAGGCAGATTAAATCCATGTGACTGGAGGGAGCAGAGAAGTCACACTTAGGCTGAGTAGAAAACAGGATTTGTTGCCCATTTCTTCCCAAAGTGAGGGAGCCTGGCAGGACAGCTTACTCCATGGTATTAACCCCTTCATGCTGAGTATATGAGGCTGGTTGCCCTCTTGCAACAGCGGCAGATATCCAAGCAGTGTGTCCTAAAAGTCATGGATTTTTTTCCTCATTTCTTTTTGTTCCAGAAAGCATTCAGATTTTCTCCATAGGAAACAATAGAAATTGTCAGCGCACTAGGCAAATTCTCCGCTTACTAACCATTTATCAGGGATAGCTTACTTTTGCATAGCAGTATCTATGTGTACTGACAATCTGGAGACATCCTGAGTGCCAGTAAGGAAAGACATTTACATTACTTCATAGTTACTACTTTTTCTTCCAATGCAGCTCCATCCCTTTCTTAGGACTTTCTCCTTTAACAACTCTGCTGGGGAAACTGTATCTTTTGGTGAGAACAGGGAATTAGAAGCTGGCTTTGATATTACCAACATGGTCACTTTTCCAAATAACTCCTTCGTGAAGGTCAAGGTTGCAAGGGTGGATGTGGAATCTGCCCCAGGCCAGCAAATTTCCATTGATGACAACAGAATGGTGTGGCACAGAAGCTTTCACCAGGTGGGGCATAACTCCTACATCCATGAGATACAGGAAAACAGAGCGTTGTTGCATTTAGAGATCATCAGTTCAGCTCATCCCTGGCTTTCAGCCTGATTCAAAACATTTCCCTTTGCAATACCTAAGAAAGTAAGATGAACTTGTGGGGTCAGGCCAATGGCCCATCTTGTCCAGCATAACACCAGTGGCCAGCCTTGGCCAGCATCTGGATATGGCATAAACATGGCTGTTGGGCTGGGGCTTTCTCTGTCCCAGGGTTTTTACATGAGCCTTTTGTCAAGAATAAGGTGTTTGTTACTCAGGTGGGAAGGAAGCAGGGGCCATGGAGGTTTGTGGGTAGCTTCCCTGTGTCACCAACCACAGAATGAGGAAAGGGGCTTCTTAGATTGTGGAAAACTCAAAACAATAAATAAGGGCAAAGGAATAAATAAAATCAGCTGTCCCCCAAGAAGACTCGCTTGGCACCTTCTCTACATATCTTTAGGTACCATGTAAAAACATTCCTATTCTCTCAGGTGGTTATTGTATTGAACTATGTATGGCCAACCAGATGCCTGCTGGTAACCCACAAGCTGAACATGAATGAGCACAAGACCACTCTTACACTTGTAGATCATCCTTGGCACTGCACCTCAGTCCTCTCCAAGAACCATGAGTTTTTACATGTCCTATGACTGGAGAATTGGGGGTGGAGCATGTGTTACGTTATGTATGGAGACAATGGGGGCAGGGCTGGTGAGGATGAGCCCCCAATCCACTTCCCACCTTGAGCCCTCATGCATTCTTTCTGAATGTCAAAAGGGGGCTCAAAGAGAGTCAGTTTCAGCATTATTTTTTAAAACCCTGAATAGCAGAATAAGTATTCCTTATTCTAGCTGGAAGGAAAGGGAAGCCAAAAGTGCTACTAATTTCTCTGTGCTAAACTGTTTATGTGTTTCTTTAAATGGGCAGTTTCCACCCCTTTCTGTGTGTAACCCAAATTGCCCTCCTGGTACCAGCAAGAAAAAGAAGGAGGGGGAGCCATTCTGCTGCTATGATTGTGCTCCATGTCCTCAAGGCAAGATTTCATCTCAGAAGGGTAAGAGACACAAGATAAATACTGTATTTTTCACCCTATAGGGTGCAGTGGCCCATAGGGCACACCTAGTTTTTTTTGGGGGGGGAATAAAAAAAAATATTTCCCTCCCCGAGCTTCCCCGAACCCAGCCCCCAGAACAGGCTGCTATCCGCAAGCCTTCGGAGCCCGGCGGGAACTGACCCCTCTCGCTCTCCAGGCTTCAGCGAAAGCCTGCATTCGCCCCATAGGACACACACACATTTCCCCTTACTCATATGTGAGTCCTATAGGGCGAAAAATACGGTACTTTTCAAACATAAGTTATATTAGAAGTTGTGGAGAACGTTAAGTTAATTAGGTGCATTATGTATTAACCATAAGAGTACCATACTATCAGCTTAGTAGTCACTCTCCAACACGTCTGAAATAAGAATGTATTACTTTCTTTCCAGACATGGATGACTGTGTTGCATGCCCCGAAGATCACTATCCACACAGAGACCAATCGCAATGCATTCCAAAGACCATCAGCTTCCTGTCTTTTAAAGAGCCTCTGGGGATGAGCTTAGCATTGATTGCTCTTTCTCTCTCTCTCCTCACACTGGTGGTCCTAGCCATCTTCATTAAACATCAGGACACACCCATTGTCAGAGCAAACAATCGGGACCTCACCTACACTCTCCTCACTTTCCTCCTGCTCTGCTTCCTCTGCCCATTGATCTTCCTCAGCCCTCCAGAAAGAGTGAGCTGCCTGCTCCGACAAATGGCTTTTGGCCTTGTTTTCACAGTGACTGTTTCTTGTGTGCTGGCCAAGACTATCACGGTGGTTCTGGCCTTTGTGGCCACCAAACCAGGATCCAGAATGAGGAAGTGGGTGGGGAAAAGACTGGCAAGCTCCATTGTGATTTCTTGTTCCCTTATTCAAGTTGGCATTTGCACTGTGTGGTTAGGAACCTCTCCCCCATTCCCTGATTCTGACATGCAGTCTGTGATGAGGGAAATCATTCTAGGCTGCAATGAAGGGTCAGTTGCCCTGTTTTACTGTGTCCTGGGCTACATGGGCTTTTTGGCCATTCTCAGCTTTGTTGTGGCTTTTTTTGCCAGGAAACTGCCTGACAGCTTTAATGAAGCCAAATTCATCACCTTCAGCATGTTGTTGTTTTGTAGTGTTTGGATCTCCTTTGTTCCGGTCTACCTGAGCACCAAGGGGAAATACATGGTGGCTGTGGAGATCTTCTCCATCTTGGCCTCCAGTGCTGGTTTATTGGGTTCCATCTTTTCCCCCAAATGCTACATCATTGTGCTGAGACCTGATCTGAATAGCAGGGAACAGTTAATAAAGAGGAAATAGCTAATTAGCATATCCTCTCTGTTTTTTGTTCTATCATAATATGGGCACCTACATCATATAATTACATTGCATTTTATGACAGGTATCCTTTGGAAATCTATATTTTAAAATTTGTCTATGTGTCCTTTGTTACATCTGAACCAAGAAACTCTTTTGGATATAGTTTTTGTTTTGGACTTTGAGTGGGACATATAGCTTGAGTCACTGGATTCTCCTTTCATCGCATTGTATAATGAGAAGAACATCAATATATTTATATATAATGATGGAAGAAAAACGCCCAAAATAATAAATTGTCTTCAAAAATCGTCAACAGAAGAAAATGCCTGCTCCCTTTGAGAAGGGGTAGAAGGAGCGGTTATCCTCCATGAACTTAGAATAACAAAATGAACACTAGACGATAAGAATTTCTAGTTTGTTTGTATAGAAACAGAAGGATTGCTTGATCAAGCTATAAGGCCCAAGTTTAGAAGCTTGGAGCATGCAGCTCAGACATACTTTCTTGTTGGGGGGGAAATAACGAGGTTTTTTAACCCTTCCTTTCCTGGAACAGGCAATCTTGCCCTGTTTCTGAGGCATTTATCTGTAGAATGCTTTCATTCCCAGCAGTAGCTGGAGGAGGCAGCAGCTGTAGTGGAAGGGGGAAAGAAAGCATCATGCCTCAAGTGCTTGTTCTAGAATCAAGGTGACCTCTGTGAATCTCAGGATTCTTCTGGACTGTCAGTATTTTTGAGCTGAATACGATCACATATCAGCAAATTCAGGTTCTGCAGTTAAAGGTGACTTGGAAAGTGTGGGATAATGTTTGCAACACCCTCCAACCACCTGACAAATGAATCAGAATGAATACTAAATGAACAGCTGGCATTGTCTAACCACCCCACAAACTTTGTAGAAACCAATTCGAGTGAATATTCAAATAGACTATCTGGAGATGCCCTCAAAGCAATATTCGGCTGCTGACTTCTCATTCTTTTGTACTGTTAACAAAAATACCTAGTAAACAGAGAATTGTGTACATTTTATGCAGTGAAATTGTTCGCTATTTGTAACAGTTAATGCACCATGGGCATAATCTAGGAAGAGTTAGTCTTGGCTAAAGCTCATTTAAAATTATGGAGTATGACCTGGGCTACAATTCTGAGACTGCTTTCTTGGCAGTAAGTTGCACTGAAAGAACTTTTGAATAAATAAGTTTTCAGCTGAGCTGCTGCTTTTATTAATAGCCAGTCTTATTGATTTCTGGTATGTGTGTTTACCTAAAATTCAGTGGATAACAACATTGGTCTTTTTGCCAGGCTTGTTTTTATAAGATGGGACGGGATGCATCTGAATGAACAGTTTGGAAAAAGAGCATTTTGAACATGAGTGAAATTCAGCTCCATTTTATTAGGAAATACAATACCACCACACTTTATTTGAAAAAATGTCAAACAATAAGATTGGTAAATAAAAATTAGAATTATATTCCATGACCTGCTTTGGATACTGAATACACCTGGGCAATTGTAAAGTTTCATCTTGATACCTCAAGGATGTTAATTTATCATTTTCTGGCTGTTTGCTATTTAATTTTCATTTATTACATTTATATATCGCCTCCCCAATGAATTCTCTGTATGATTTACATAGATACAGTCCTCCAGGCAGTCTACATATCTCCAACACTGAGGTTCTATCAGAAACATGAATAGTGCAATTTGCAACACGATCCTTCATTTTGGCAGGAAAAACCAGAAAATTATTTTGGGGTGGGTGGGTGGAAATACCTGGATATTCTCATACGAACCATAGGATGAACACTGCAGTTTAATTATGTGCCAATATGGTGTAATGGACAGACTATTGGATTTGGAGCAGGGAATTCTGTGTTAAAATCACTGCTTTTTTTAAAAAAAAAAGAATGCAGAGGGAAAACAAAGAAGGCCACAACCAATATAATGAAATAGGTGGCATATATTGCTTGGATATTTTGAGCTTTCAGCCATCATTTGGCAAGAGAGCTGTGTCTCCAAGTGAAGCTCACAGCTGTTTGTTCTATTTCCAGAACCTTTGCTCAGCCATGAAGCTTAAAGGATGGTTTTAGACAGGTCACAGAGCACAAATGAGCGAAACCTTTCTGCTATGGTGGTTCAAGCTTTGCTTCCCCTTGCCTTCACTCCTCACAGGGCACACACAACCGTTCCCAAATTTAAATCTTTCTTTGGTGCTTTAATTTTTTTCAAAGTTCAACATTTTTGTACTTTTTTTTTTTTTTTTACTGTCGAAAAATTGTTCCAAAAGGTGTGGGTGGTGGCAAGAGCTGCTTTTGTGACAGACACAATCTGCACTGTGCAATCCAGTTTCTGCTGAAAACCAGAATATCTATCTGGTGGCAGGTATGGCAGAGGTGCTCAAATTGTAGTATGCATATTTCCATATTGGAGTTTACTTTTAAATTATGGTCTGTACACACCTTCATTCTCGCTGAAGCTTGGCTCACAGAATTCTCAGGAGAGGGAGGATAAAATGGGATAGATCCAGGAATGTCACTATGAGCTCATTGTAGGGAATGAAGAAATGCAGATCTGATCAGAGCAGGAAAAGGATCGCTCGATCACTTGGCATTTTTCATATGAACGAGTCTGCCACTGCTCATATGAAAGAGCTACTGTGGGACAATTTTCTTTATTGTTGCATTATTTGTGACATTGTTTAATAATCACATAGAGGTAGAACAGGCAAATTAAAGTGGGATGGATGGGACAGATCACAACAGCATGTAAGCAAAGGGAAGGGAAGCTAGATCAACAGGAAGAAAACAGAAGAGTAAAAACAAGACGTGAAATAGTGAGATTGTAAAGCCAATTCACACATTCCTGGCATGGCTGCTTGAAGTGTGTTGTGCTCAGTATCTCCCTGCTTGTGGGGAGTAAATAGTCCACAAACTAAACCCAGCAACCACATTTACATTGCTGGGCTAAGGCACTGAAAGCAAAACCCCATAGTCTGTGCAGTCTGTGCAGTAATTTCAAGCAGGTTTCCAGTAGCTGACACACACCTGTGTCAATTGGCCCAGAGAATGGGAGAGTGTGTGACAGAGAGAGAGAGAGAGAGAGAGAGAGAGAGAGAGAGAGAGAGAGAGAGAGAGAAAGAAAGAAAGAAAGAAAGAAAGAAAGAAAGAGTGTGTGAGGTTGTGCACATGCCAGGACTGAGAAACTGAAGAAACAGACAATAGGCAATCCTGACACAGGGGATAAAAAGAACAGAAAAATATGGACTCCACAAAGAGACAACTGAGCAACTGAAAAGAACGGCCAGGAAGGAAGAGTCAGCAAGAAATAAAAGAACAGAGATAAGCATGTGCAGTTGAAGTGAGAGTTGACAAGCATGCATAAAGGGAGAAGAAAGGAGTGCACGAGAGAAAGGAAGTCAGCAGCAAAGTAAAAAGTGTGGGAGAGCAAGAAATGGAGTGACCCAAAGTTTCTCATTTCAATGAACTGGTCCTTACTCCAGAATATAAGATAACCACAAAAGTACTCACAAAAAACAAAACAGTTTTACAGAACCTTGAAAGATTAACAGATTTGGCAACAGCTAGACCTTCATCAGATGCATGAAGGCACAAGTTTGTCCTTGCTCACGGATAGCCTCCCAATCTAACGTGGCTATTCAGCAACAGGATATTTGCCAAACGCATAAATCTAGGGCCCTGCCACAAACTCAGTTGCTGCCTTTGCTCCCAAATCCACCCAGGCAACATTATAAAGCTGCCAATCCATGGGATGCTATTAGATTCCCTTTTTGTTGGTCCTGTTAAACAGACCAACATGGATACATACTCACAGAAATAGGCACGTTTTCGTCATGTTCCTACACTGTACTGCACCTTTGCTAATGGCTTGAGGAAGCATCACAAGTCAAGCTGGATGGAAAGCAGGGATGGAAACAAACTGAATTTGTGGGTGTACAGTCCTACAGTAGAGGGAGGGAGGAAGAGAAGCTCAGCAGAAAACAAGGGTAATAGGCAGCAGGCAGAAATGAAAGCAGCTAAAGAGGAGGCAGTCAAGCAAAAAGCAAGCAAATAAAACAGCAGTTAAAAAAAAGGAAAAAAGGTAAGCAAGGAGAAATGGCATAGGATAGAAAACAGGATGGGATGCAGGAATTAGAGGCAGGGTGATGGGGGAACAGATGAGCAAAGGAAACTATGTGCTGGTCTCCAACTGGTGGGTTAGGATTCACAGCTGGGTACCACCTCAGTCTAACGATGGGTTCTACCAGTGGCACACTCACAATTTTTGCTTTGCTTAAAAGGGGTTGTTGTCTTTTAAGAGGGGAGTGAGAGGTTGAGAAAAGCAGAAGGAGACAGCAAAAAATAAAGGGGTGAACAAGAGGAGAGAAGGAAAAAGACGGCAAGATCGGCAGTAAGAAATGTGAAAGTGGGCCCCATGTTGCAGCTCAGAGCCAAGTACCCACTCTGGAAAATTTGGTTGAAACAGAGGATGAGCAGAGTCACAAGTAAGAGCACCAACAGCCTAGGCAAGTTAAGCAGAAAACAGCAAGGTACATGTCAGCCCCTCTCATATTTTGGCATCAGGTGTGAATGCTGTTAATGTGGGAGAAGAATTCAGAAGAAATAAAAGAGACATATCGGTCAGTGCTAGTTTTACAGTGGTGAATGCAACAGGTTTAAAGCTGAAAGTGATTTTTAGCATCATGTGTGGAATGCTCACCCCTGGGAGGCTTGCTGGGCACCTTCCTTTAGGCACCAAACAAAACTATTCCTCTTCTCATAATTAGCCTTTGGCTAATTAAACCATCTATGGTCTCTAAAAGTGTGGGGGGGTGTATTGTTTTCGTTGGTTGCCATGTATTTTTGTGTTTTTATGTTGTTAACCGCCCTGTGATTCTTGGATGAAGGGTGGTATAGAAATTTAATAAATAAATAAATAGATGTGTGAAGACAGCTTGGGTAAAGGATCAGTTGCTGAGCAAGCAAGATCTGGAAGCAAAGTGAAGGTGAGGAAAAGGCAGGCAAAGGAGAGAAAGAGGTGTTGCATAGAGAGGATTATTCTGCAGAACAATAGTAGCAACGTTCCCTTTACTGCTACCCTGGCATGAGTCCTGATTGAGCACCAGGCAATTGATAACTGCTCAAACCATGGACAGCCGGCAATAGCTGGTACATTGCTGAAGGACCTGGAGAGAGCCTGAACAGGTCATTTTCTCAACTAATTTCATCCCTAGTGATGCATTTAAAAAGCAAGTGATTGAAAGAGAGGCAAGCAACTTGAAAAAGAAAGAGAAAGAGAGAGAGAGGAAGGAAGAGAGGAAGGAAAGAAGGAAGGAAGGAGTAGTGAGTAAGCAAGCAAGATACTGTGCAAAGAAACAAAGTGAGTATGAAAAATTGCAAATGTAAGTAATTGCATATACAGTGGTACCTTGGTACTTGAACGACTTGGCTCCTGAACAAATTGGCTCCCAAACGCCGCAAACCCAGAAGTGTTCCGGTTTGTGAACGTTTTTTGGAAGTCGAACATCCGACGTGGCTTCTGCAGGAAGCTCCTGCAGCCAATCAGAAGCCACACCTTGGTTTCCGAATGGTTTTGGGAGTCGAACAGATTCCCGGAATGGATTAAGTTCAAGAACCAAGGTACCACGGTACAAGTAAGAGGTAACTAATTCAAGAGGGAAAGAGTGAGCGAAACATGAAATGTGATGGGAAAGTGACACAAAGGAACGTGTGAAGCAACAGTAGGCCATATAAGCAGCAAAAGGAAGATCAAGCGGTCAAAAGTAAGATAAAGATCAGTGGCAGAGCAGAAGATTTGGGCAAAAGAAAAAGATTGTGGGAGAGCAAAGGAGGCAAAGGATTAGAGGATATCATGGTTGCTTCCAGATGACCTGTTTCCTGAGCATTCATCCTGTTTGGTTTGCATGGAGGTTAGGTGACTTTGCATCTGGTACACTTTTCTTACTGTAATACAGCACAATATTTTTGGAGAAGCTGGTTTATCACACAAGGGCTCCAAATCCATTTTAATTGTGCAACCTGAATTTGCTGGAGTTTGAATCCCACCCCAAAATAGGGACAGTCTGGAATTGCCCAGTAAGAAACCATGCGAATAGACACAGTAAGGATGAACTGAGTGAGATGTAAGGCCTTCAGTTATCGATTTAAAGAAGGATCTTAACACCCAAGTGGCACTTCTCAGAATCGACTATATTTCCCTTTCCCCATATAAGGTAGTCTTGCTATGGTGGGACTATTTGACAGCATTTTTGTGGCCCTTTGCAATCTTGCTTATTTGAAACTCTTACTGGCTACAACTCATTTAAGCATCCATCAGCCTTTTTCGGGAGAGAACCAGCCTTTCTGATGCATTGCATGAAGTGTTCCTAGGTTAAGGCTTTATGGTTGCATACAGACTGTAGACACCCCTGCATTTGAGCTTGCTTGAAATTAGGTCTGTGTGCTGCCTTTAACACTAAATCTAAGTGTCTAAAGGGCTCCTTTCTTCTGCCCATTCACCTCCCATTTCTTTGCTCGCTACCCTGAAATCATCTGGAAGAGGCAGAGAAAGCAAAAGTCAAGAGTGATAGGTGAGAAAGCAGAATGCAAGCGAGAGAGAGAGAGAGAGGAGAAGAGGCAACCTAAGAAAGCAATCAAGCTCCAAATCAGGCACCTGCATATTTAACACACACTCACCAGTTTGGCCATAAAGTGGAAGGTGGTAGAGAAGACAAGTCTAGTTATTGTCCCCACTTTCCATTTATGGACAAAAGTAGGCAACTCTCCCTTCACCTTTATAGCCAAATTGCTAAGCATGTGTTTGGCAACAGACATGCAGGCCTGGCTCAGCTCCAAGTGAGCAATCAGAAAGCATGAGAGTAAAGAAAGGAAATGGAGAGCAGGTATGAAACACGCAAAGGGATGGTGAGTGCATGAGATGCATGGAGATGGCAAAGCAAAGGGAGCTGGAGAGCAAAAGAAGACAGAGACCAAGCCAAGGTAAGAGTGAAGCTAGAAAGAAGAGGGGGAGAGAGAGGGGAAGAGAGAGAGAGAAGGAAGGAAGGAAGGAAGGAAGGAAGGAAGGAAGGAAGGGAAAGAAAGAAGGAAGGAAGAGAGAGAGAGAGAGGAGAGAAAGAGAAGGAAGGAAGAAGGAAGGAAGGAAGGAAGGGAGAGAGAGAGAGAGAGAGAGAGAGAGAGAGAGAGAGAGGAGAGAGAGAAGGAAGGAAGAAGGAAGGAAGGAAGGAAAGGGAGAGAGGGAGAGAGAGAGAGAGAGAGAGAGAGAGAAAGAAAGAAAGAAAGAAAGAAAGAAAGAAAGAAAGAAAGAAAGAAAGAAAGAAAGAAAGAAGTAGGGTGATGAGGAGGCAACTGGTTCTCAACATGACCCAAAGACCCATGTGGAACCCTTGCTGAAGCTAAGCAGGTGTGGGTTTGGTCAGCGCTTGGACTGCAGACCTCCCACATGTCCTGTCTTGAATTCTATGATGAAAAGGGGGTAGAATACTAATAAAGAAAAGTGAGGAGCAAAAGGGAACATGGCACTATACAATACCAGTATCTCTACCCTCCACCCAAGAAGGGCTAAATGCAGCTCGGGGAGTCTACTTACATGAGAGTGATAGGGAGAGTGTGTTAAAACATTCTCTCCCTCCTCCCCCAGTGCATCTGCTCTGATCAAAATCAGAGCTGAGGGTTGGCACTTTTAGTGGTTTTTTTGGTTTTGTTAATAAGCAAATCAGGAGATCCTCTCAAAAGTTGCTTCCAGATTGGTTTATGATGAGGTAGGTTCTGCTCATGTATGCAAGCTTTTTTGCGGAGACCGGATGCTGTCATTGGGACCAGAATGTCAGCCTTTATTGTTTTCCCCATATAATCTGGATTTGCCCTTTCCTGGGGAAAATCTGGTTTTGGGTCGTTGTTGTTGTTTTAAAAAACCCACCACTATTGTCCACTCTATGTGAATACACTGCTTGAACTATTAAGCTCCTACCAGGAAGCACCCAGAGAGGGCAAGTACAGAAGATGAAAAAGATTAGACAAGAAAGGTGAGGAGTGGCAGAAAGACACACAGAGAGAGGAAGAGAGAGAGAGAGAGAGAGAGAGAGAGAAAGAAAGGATGCAAAGCAGCACAAATGTAGAGACCGTAGAGAAGGAGGTAGAGAAGAAGGCTAGAGAGCAAAGTCAATGAGAGAGCAAGATACATGCTAATGTTAGATTCCCATGTTCATTTTTGTTTCAGCAAAGCCGCTCACTGCAAGGTGACTTCTGCCATCACTTTCAGTCGGCGGCCCTTTCTTCTGAATTGCAGGAAACGAGAAGAGCCCATTCCTGCCATTCACCAGGACCAGGAGAGTTCTTGACGACAAGAGGAGCAACCAATGATGCCTGTAGGAGGGGAGCAGGCTAGGGTCTCATCCTTTCATGTGATGGCTTGCAGGTATCACGTGACAATGAACTATGAGAAATCCTCAGCTGATACAATAGAGGAAGAGAGTTGGAATAAAGCAACAGAAGAAATGAGAATCACCAAGCAAGGGCGAGAAGGCAAAGACACAAAAGCAGTGGGAAAGAAAGCAAAGGCGATGTGAGCCAAAGCAGAGAGAGCAACAGAGAGGCAGAGAGAGAGAGAGAGAGAGAGAGAGAGAGAGAGAGAATCAATGCAGGGGGCAGAGAAGGGAAGTCAAGAGCAAATGAAATGCCAAGATGCTGAAGGTCAAACCAGAAGCAATGCACAGTTATGTGTCTCTTTCCAAGTGGCACAGCCAGCTAATTTTAGATGCTGGACTTCCAGGTCTTACAGGTGTTGGGGAGGGAGGAAGCCTTAATTTCTCTTCCCTCTTCCCCCCCCCCATGCCATGCTTTGTAACTACTGTACTACATTCCTGATAAATTAGAAGAAGAACAACAAAAAGTTTGCCCACTCTAGTTTTTTAAAGTAAAAATATACTCTTGGGAACGTGCAGTTTCGCATTTTTAACTGACTTAAATCTTAGCAACATCATCACTAAACAAATAAATAAATAAATGGCATTTGCTTCTACTGCTAAATATTTGGGAATGGGCACAATTTTGCTGTAGAAAAGGATAATACTGTATTTACTCAAATGTAATGCACACTTTTTTTGGCTAAATAATGTCGCAAAAAAGATCCACTTGTCGCATACAAAACAGCCCTGGTTGCTAAAGCCGCCCAAAGTATTTGTGCTAGCTGTATAAAAGACAATGCTGTAGACTGTGCAGGCGATTCATTAATACTGACTTATTGTAAGTGGATGTATAGCTCTGGATTTCTTTTAACAGCTTTTAATGGACTTGCTGGATCTGTAATTGAATTTGTAATGGCTTTTAGCCAAACACAATAAATGATTGATTGATTGAATCAGGGTGCACATTAGATTTGATGGCGCATTTACATTCGCCAGCAAATACATTTTGGGGTGTCAAGGTTTTGAAAATTAAGGCACGCATTAGATTCGATGGCACATTAGATTCGCGTAAATACGGTATATTTTTGAAGTAAATGTAGTAATAAAAATGGGCATCTGTGACCATGTACATGCCCGGTCCACCACTCTGACTATAATGTATTTTTTAAAAAATAGGGAAAAAGGATGCCAGGGAGACCACTATCAGCCTTGATGGGCCCTGGCATGTCCATGCTTGCTCAGGTGCCGATACCAGCCTTCCCTCTCTCCCCATCATCTCCCATTCTCAGGTGGTCATCTGGAAGCCCCCTGGACTTTGGCCCTAAGGTCAAGCCCTAGCTGCCCCACTTGTCTTCCCCCCAGTATTTTAAATATATAACGGTAACCTTGGGAGGCTGTGAGTTTAAGTGGGGAAATGGATGGCAATGGCGTGGTGCAGGCACTGCTTAATCTGTTTCCCTCCAGACTATTAACCTGATCAGAAACCACCCGCCTTCAAATTGCTTTTCTCCCTGCAGGGGGGAAAATAGTATTCCCCACCCCCACTGAGTGGACAAACAGAAGGGGGTGACTTCAAGCAAAAAAGGGGGGAGGCAGATGAAACAGGGTTAAGGCATTCCCTCCTTCCCATTTCCTCCCATATCATGTCTAATTTTAATCAGAAATAAAGAGGGACGCGGGTGAGGCTGTGGGTTAAACCACAGAGCCTAGGACTTGCCAATCAGAAGGTTGGCAGTTTGAATCCCCGCGATGGGGTGAGCTCCCGTTACTCGGTCCCTGCTCCTGCCAACCTAACAGTTCGAAAGCACATCAAAGTGCAAGTAGATAAATAGGTACCGCTCTGGTGGGAAGGTAAACGGCGTTTCCGTGCGCTGCTCTGGTTTGCCAGAAGCGGCTTAGTCATGCTGGCCGCATGACCCGGAAGATGTACGCCGGCTCCCTTGGCCAATAAAGCGAGATGAGCGCCCCAACCCCAGAGTCGGTCACGACTGGACCTAATGGTCAGGGGTCCCTTTACCTTTACCTTTAAGCAATAAAAAGAGGACAGAAGCAAAATGGAGATCGCATGCAGGACAGAATGCAAGAGAGAAACAGGGAGCAGGATAGGAAAGGAGAAAGGAGCGTTTGCGAGCAAGCGACAGGGGTTCAAGGGAGAGCAGACAAGCAAAGAAGCGTGAGAGTAAGTGGCCAAGGAGGCAGAAAAGCTCAGTGGAAGGCAAATGCAGATGTGCCACAGTAAGCAAAGGGCTGGGCTAGAATCTTTCTTCCTTGTATTTTGGTTTTCTACATGCAGGATTTAGCTTTTATTTTTGAAAGGGCAATGTTCGGTATCCCCCAGCTGTAGTCCGGGCCTTACCACACCACCCAACCTCTTCATCCAGCTGCGTATGTTGAACCAGACCAAGTCTTTTGTGGCCCAAGACCCTTTAGCTTGACTTTCCAGCAAGATCTGGGGCAAGCAGTGATGCTGAAAGGTGACAGGAGGAGGGAATTGTGGGGTGAATGAGCAGAGAAGAGTAAGCAGCAGGAAGCAAGGCACTGAGGAAGCCCCCATTCTGGCAAAGCACTAAGGAGCCATTTCTCTTCCTTCCTTCCTTGAAAAGGCAAATCCTGTTAAGTTTATGAGAAGCTATGCACTGGATAGCTTCCCCATTAAAACCGCATCATTTCAGGCCACCTGTTCTGCCCACTAAAGAAACTCAGATTAAGTCCTCATTAAAGGCTATAGTCAAGAGGATGTGTGCTGTGTGTGTGTGTGTGTGTGTGTGTGTGTGTGTGTTTTAAAAAAATGAATCTTGGGACAAGGAACTGGGGAAGAGTACCAGAATCCCACCCTAGACCTACAGTCGTACCCTGGAAGTCGAATGGAATCCGTTCTGAAAGTCCGTTCGACTTCCAAAATGTTTGGAAACCAAAGCGCAGCTTCTGATTGGCTGCAGAAAGTTCCTGCAGCCAACTGGAAGCTGTGGAAGCCACGTCGGACATTTGGCTACTAAAAACCAGAACACTCACTTCCGGGTTTCGATCGTTCGGGAGGCGATTTGTTCAGGAGCCAAGTCGTTTGAGATCCAACGTACGACTGTACTTTTCTCAGATCCTGTCTCTGCTTTCTGCAATTTCAACAGGCACTGCTAACATGCATTCAAGCGTCACAGTCACAACGATGAGGAACTTAGTTTCTAAGAAGCAAAAGTTTAGGGTGCTGAATGCTGAGCCTCAGCACTTGCCCAGGGCAACATACAAACCACTCTGGCTAGAGGGAAATCCAGGCTCCACGGTACTGCAAGTTACAAAAATGCAACCAACCTCGTTCCGTTTCACCAGTGGGGTTGGATGACCCAGATTATCCCTCTCCAAAGACCAGCAGGGAAGTTCACGACCCTGTGTTCCATGCTCGACCCCTGTAATCAACTATTCTTAGGCTCAAGGCAGGCAAAACACGCTTAAACAAGTCAAAGTAGTTTTGAGAGAGGAATCGCTTACTATGGTGTATGCAAGTTTCTTTTGTTCCACTGTCACCTGTGAACAAACAGGTTTGGCAGGGTTTAAAAAAACACCTACCAGGCCTGTTTAACCAGAGGCAAAGGGTAGAATGAAGGCACCAACAGCAGTGCTTTTCAGTTAACTCCAGCCTTGCTTTGCTCCTGTCCTTCACTAAACACCCTTGCCAGTTAGGAGCTGAAAGCAAGCAAGTGTTCAGTCACATCCTTAACATACATTCAAAGCACTCTTAAAGTCGTATAAGAGTCATGCTTCCCCCACCCAAAGAATTTTGGGAACTGTAGTTTGTTGGGGGGGTGCTTCAAACAACTCTCCTTAATAAGCTACAGTTCCTAGGATCCTTTAGGGGAAGCCACGACTCTTAAAAAGGTTTAAATGTTTGGTTTGGATGTGGCCTTCATTCCAGACAAGAGGAAGTAGGCAGCAACAGCAACAGAGGAAGAGGAGGAGGAGGAAGAGGAGAAGGAGAAGGAAGTAAAAGAGGCAGAGTAAAAGAAATTAGCCAGAATCAGGATTTTATTACAGTAACAAGGAAACAGTGAAAAAAAGGACAAGCATCTATATAGAAAGGTTTCCCTGAGATATTGCACTGTGAACAGGCACTGCCAGACACCCAAGCCCAGAAATACGTGGAAAGCAAATTGCTAGAAACAGAAATGGCTTCTGCTTTGGGTTCAGCATCCTTCAGAGGAAAATGAATTAGCTGCTGAGATGCACTCCAGTTTTGTCTTTGTTCTGTTTTTAAACTGCCTCGTAACATTCCTTGGGACGCGGGTGGCGCTGTGGGTTAAACCACAGAGCCTAGGGCTTGCTGATCAGAATGTCGGCGGTTCAAATCCCCACGACGGGGTGAGCTCCCATTGCTCGGTCCCTGCTCCTGCCAACCTAGCAGTTCAAAAGCACATTAAAGTGCAAGTAGATAAATAGGTACCACTCTGGCAGGAAGGTAAACGGCGTTTTGATGTGCTGCTCTGCTTCACCAGAAGTGGCTTAGTCATGCTGGCCACATGCTGGTCAAGCTGTACGCCGGCTCCCTTGGCCAATAAAGCGAGATGAGCGCCGCAACCCCAGAGTCGGCCACAACTGGACCTAATGGTCAGGGGTCCCTTTACCTTTACCTTTAACATTCCTTAGGCTTCCACTCTGCACTGAGTTCTTTAATTCCCTTTTGCTTCATCAGAAACTCCTTGTGCTATCAGTTTCTAGGACTTCTTTTTGGATTGTCTCTTTTGCATTTTTAAAATATCAAAATTTCTTTTCCAGCTATAAACATTCCCAGCTTGGTTTGGTTTTTTAAAAAAATGAATGAGTCAAAACCCCAGCCCTCAAAAAAAAAAAAACTTTTTATTTTATTTTTTAGGGGGAAATCCAGGCAAAATTAGGTACAAGTCCTATGGATTTGAATGGGAAACCATTGAGCACATTCAGATCAATGGGACTTGGAATAGTGTCTAACCTAAGTTTGATGCAGCATTGGCTGAGATCCAGAAGAATGTGTGAATATATACATACATGTGCGTGCGCACACATCCTTCTCTATGCACAGATATGCAAAACTGTTGCACAATATGATGTGCACAGGAGGGTCCTGCAAAACAGCGCCTGATTGTTGAACAGGTTCACGTGGCATAGAACCACTACTTGAGTTCATTTGCTTGTTCTGTCCAAGGAAAACTTCTGCTACTAAGCCCTGCACACAAAGCCATTTTGCTGCTTCATGGCCATTAGATATACAGTGGACCCTTGGGTTGCGTTACCTTCAGGTAACTTAACTTTTGGGTTGTGAATGTTGCAAACCCAGAAGTGTATACTCTGTGTGCTTTGCGCATGCACAGAAGCACTCTGCGTGCATGCGCAGAGGCAGCACCTCTAGATGCAGACTTTTTGGGGTACATACAGACCCCCAGAATGAATTAAGTTCGAATCCGGAGGGTCCACTGTGGACAGATTCACAAAATAAAAAACAGGGAAGTAATATTTATAAAAATATACTGTGATTTACCCCTGGCTTTGATAAAAAAATAGTCTCAAAGTTTTCACAGAAAAGTAAGAGGCTGGCTTGAGCCACTACCTATCATGAGCTGATACCCAAAGCAGATCAGAAGTACAGGAGAGCACAAAAGAATACAGTATGAGTGCAGAATGAAGAAAATATATATTTATAAAAGAGCAACCAAAGAGGAGGAAAAGGACAGGGAATGAGAAAGGAAGGGGAGAACTCCAGAGACAGATAGAGACAGATCAGCGCCAGATTTAGGGTGGTACAGGCAGATCCCCTGCACAGGGTGCCAAGGGGGTGCAAAACTGAGAAGATCCAGAATTGAGGAGATCAATTTGGGGGTGCCATTTTTTGGCCTTGCACAGGATGCCATATTACGAAAGGTTACCAAAGTCTACCCCTTGCACCGATGATTCTGAACCTCCGCTGGCTAAACCATATGGCATTGTGGGAACCGCTGGCTAAACCATATGGCATTGTGGGAGCCCTGGGAATTGTGGCCTGAGACGGGCTTAAGAACCACAAGCAGAGAATTCTCAGCATTTTCAAAACTACACTTCCCAGGATTCTTAGGGAAGCCATAACTGATGCACGTGTTGTAGTGAAGGCGAATTGAAATCCAAAACTAGTCTGGAATCCGTTTTTGTTCTCACAGTTCCCCAGTCCATCTGCCAAAATCGAAGAGCCTGAGTATCCTTGGTTGAAGAAATATACTATTCTATACTTGAATCTCCAATCCTCATCAAGGTTCCATAATCAGGCACCGTAACTATTTAAACTGCTTTGAAACTGGTTTATGGATGTGGTGGAAGGACACAAAAGAGATCTACTCTGTCACAGAGAACTCCAGGGAATGGCTTTTGCCTAGGCCCTACTTGCCCCACTGCCGCAAAGTGAACTGGATTTCATCCTATGCACCTTGCCGATCCTGTAACCTAGCTGTGGTTGCCTGTTTTCAGTTTGCCCTGCATCTGAATTGTGTCGACCATCCAACCGCTGGCCTCTGCCCAACAGCAAAACACAGGAGAGGCCAGAATTTGTGAGTAACGACAAAGGCTTTGAAGAGACTGGAGGAAACACCTGAGCCGTCGTCATTTGACTGTCACCCAGAATTAGTGTCCTGCTGGTTGAGAGGTATCTTCACTGATCACCTGCCTGCCTTCCTCTCGCACACATATACACCACACACACAAACACACGCAAGGTTCTCAGCGCCAGGTCCCACCACCTGTGCCATCAGCTCACAGGTGCCTCCAAGATGCTCAGCGCCAGCGCTTGGTCCCTCAGTACGGAGTGAAACGGTTGCATCCTCCTCGGTACAAGCTGGCCTGCCGGAAAGAGAGGGAGCAGGCGTGTGAAGGGAAAGTTGTACAGGAGGAAAAGTCAAAATAATAAGACAGGAAAGAGTTAACAAAACAAAGCTACGTTGACTTCTTAATCCTCATCACCTCCCCATAGCAAAGCCTATACATCATGTAACCCCTCTTGCTATCTTATTCTCTTCCTCTGGTACCTCCTACAGTTTTATTGTTAAACTGGGAACTCTGCAGGGAATTGTCTATTTACATTCATTACGTTTCCGAGCACAATTCAAAGTGTTGGTGCTGACCTTTAAAGCCCTAAACGGCCTTGGCCCAGTATACCTGAAGGAGCGTCTCCACCCCCACCGTTCAGCCTGGACACTGAGGTCCAGCTCCAATGGCCTTCTGGCGGTTCCCTCACTGCTAGATATGGGGTTACAGAGAACCAGGCAGAGGGCCTTCTCGGTAGTGGTGCCCTCCCTGTGGAACGGCCTCCCATCAGATGTCAAGGAGATAAGCAACTATCTGACTTTTAGAAGACATCTGAAGGCAGCCCTGTTTAGGGAAGTTTTTAATGTTTGATGTTTTATCGTGTTTTTAATATTCCGTGGGGAGCTGCCCAGAGTGGCTGGGGAGGCCCAGCCAGATGGGAGGGGTATAAATAATATAGTAATAGTAGTAGTAGTAAAATAAAGTGCAGGTGTCTGCATTGTAGAAATTACATAGGATCCGCAACAAAATGTGGCAGTGTAGAGCACTTCTGTTCAGTATTCCAGCCATGCCCCTTTCCCCAGGTTATTCCACCACCACCACCAGTTTTCTACACTCTCTCCCAGTCAGTTTTCCATGGCCACTGAGCCTGCTAAGTCCTGATTATCTCCTATCCGTGTGTGTGTTGCATTTCTACAAACTTTGGGGTCCCTCTCTAAACCATTCAGTACCTTCCCTCTTCTGCATGGATGGCACTGTTTTAACTAAAGATGGATCTTTATTGAAAGCATTCCCTACTGGTATATGGGATCACCATCATAAGCTATTTTAGCTCTCTGCCTAAAGATAGGAAGACTCACACAATTCATCCCTCATAGATCAACCACATAAATCGAGAATACACCATATGTGAGCACCATGGCACCCTCAAGTTGTTGGGGGTTTTTTTAACCTTGGGTGGGTAACAGAAAGTTAGGAAGAATTCCTCTTGGGGGCTCTCTTCCCCAACGAATAAGGTGCCTGCAGCTCTAGATTATTTGAAAGGAAGATACAGAGGACAGGAAGCCTGAGAGACCCATGCTTCCTGTCTGTCTAGGCTTCCCCTTCACATGCTATACAGAATTCCCACCAACCACCCTACTTTGGGGAGTTGCAAGGCTGTCCTCAGGTCAGAAGTTTGGGCTAAATCAGACACTGTGACATTTCTAATGCTCAAGCTCAACACACTCTTTCATTTCCGTCAGAACTTATTAAGCTGCCAAACAAAGCACCGAACCTCGAATCCCACATAGGAGCAAAAGGAAGAGGGATTGTACATGCTTGTTATTTGAAAAAGTAGAAGACCCTTAATAGACAGGTAAACACTGCCATCTGCTGGGAATTTTTCAGGGACGCAGTCAAGCTACACCCAGAATTGCGATGAGAATTTTCAGATATCTATGATGGTCCTCTCTTAAAACAGCACACCAGAGTTTGGTTTTAATGACTTTAGCTTTTCTGTTTCTGATCCTTCATGGAAAACCTACTGCCTCCTAGTCCCTTGTATGAACAGCTGTATTCTTTTGATCTATTATTACATTATGGTAGTTTATTAAACAGCTGTTTGCTTGTTTGTTTGTTCCTTCCTCTTTTAAAAAAAAATAAATAGCCAAGCCAAATCGTCCCCCACTATGATTCTAAAGCTGAAATTACTGCTCGCAGTCATGTTTGCAGACAATGGGCTGAATCCGGTATGACAGGGCAATCCTATATCCTATATTCAGAAATATATCCCATACAGTTCAGTGGGACTTACTCCCAAGTAAGTGAACACAGAACTTTAACTCCTGTTGCTTAAACTTGGCCCCATTGACATCAGTGGGACAAGTTAGTCATGACTTCAAAGTCCCTCAGATTTCATCAGGAACTACCTGCAGCAAACATGGACCCAGCTCATTATTTACCCCTGTTGCAGCTAGACACAATCTTCTAATCACTGTGTCTTCCTCCTTGTCCTCTATTAGTCACATGGGCAGTGACCGAATCACAGTACAGGCAGTAAATGGAACAATACTGCAATTCTGCATAACCAGTTTGGCTGCAGGTTGACATCATCAAGGGCAAATAAAGCCAATTCAGAAAGCACAGTCCTCACTCCAAACAGGCAGACATTTCCCAACCTTTTTATGAAGCAGCCACAAAAAAGCCAGCTCATCCCCAGGGGATAAATGCCTCACTTGCATTTATCTTCTGAAGCTAAACTGCTGCTCTTGAAGCAACTTCCTCCACTCTGCCTGCTCAGTGCTTACATTGCTGGGAACTAGATCGCCTGAGCTGATCCTGCCTTGCAGCGGGTGATTCCGCACACATGGTCTTCCATGCCCACCCAGCTTTGCGATTCTGTGATGGGGACGCGATACACCTGGCCATTAATGCAGTGACTCACCATGGCACCGACTCCATAGGCGGGGGTCACGGTGTGATGATAGGGGTCGGCAGTAGTGTAGACCCGTCCATACCTGTGAACCAAAAGACCCGAGAGAGGAGATAATCAGATAAGCCTCTAGGGCAGGGATCAGCAAACCTTTTCAGCAGGGGGCCAGTCCACTGTCCCTCAGACCTTGTGGGGGGCTGGACTATATTTTTTGGGGGGGGGATGAACAAATTCCTATGCCCCACAAATAACCCAAAGATGATAATGATGATGATGATTTATTTGTACCCCACCCATCTGGCTGGGTCTCCCCAGCCACTCTGGGCAGCTTCCAACAAAAATTAAAAATACATTAAAATGTCACACATTAAAAACTTCCCTGAACAGGGCTGCCTTCAGATGTCTTCTAAATGTCAGGTAGTTGTTTATCTCTTTGACATCTGATGGGAGGGCGTTCCACAGGGCGGGCGCCACTACTGAGAAGGCCCTCTGTCTGGTTCCCTGTAGCTTTGCTTCTCGCAGTGAGGGAACCGCAGAAGGCCTCGGAGCGGGACCTCAGCGTCCGGGCAGAACAATGGGGGTGGAGATGCTCCTTCAGGTATACTGGGCCTAGGCACTTTAGGGCTTTAAAGGTCAGCACCAACACTTTGACTTGTGCTCGGAAACATACTGGGAGCCAATGTAGGTCTTTCAAGACCGGTGTTATGTGGTCTCGGTGGCCACCCCCAGTCACCAGTCTAGCTGCCACATTCTAGATTAGTTTCTGGGTCACCTTCAAAGGTAGCCCCACGTAGAGCGCATTGCAGTAGTCCAAGCGGGAGATAACTACTCATGTAAAAACATGCTGATTCCCGGACCATCCGCGGGCCTGATTGAGAAGGTGATTGGGCTAGATCTGCCCCCCAGGCCTTAGTTTGCCTACCTATGCTCTAGGGTCATTGGACAAGGCACACAACCTGTCTCAGACTTACCCATCACTATAAGCTGTTGCTGTTGCTGCAGCTGCAGGCGTCTGGGCCATTCTGTAAGCTGCAGGATAACCCTGCAATTCAAAGATTCAATTCAGTTCAATAGCCCATCGTGCATGATTCTTGAAGGCCACTCCATCTCAATTTCTTCAAAGGAAAGCAAAAGACTTCTCCGTGCACCTTCTTCCCCCTTTTCTGAATTGTGATCAAGAGCAACCACTGGAACTCACCTCGCAGTTCAACCCACAGAGAACCCATGCCTATTTTCTGCTTCTTCTTACACAAGAATTTTGCCCTTTGGCCATCCACTAGTGCACTGATTTTGCATTTCGGAGACCTGCCTAGCTACCAGATGTTTGCACAAGGTCTACGCTGTGCACACAGTCTTATGCATGATGTTAGTTCACAAAACCTCTACAGTACATGACACTCTCTTTGTTATTACTGTTAATTTATTAACTACACGTGCATGGCCACACAAGATGCAGTCTCTGGACAGCTCTTCAATAGATAAAATACAGTCTTAAAGGATGGATTCCCACTCTTTCAGGCCCACATGAAACCCCCAAATCAGGAGGAATTCTCATGCTGGATCACCCAGACTTGCACATGGTCAGTGCCCTTTTCCTTCAGGCCAAAATCCCACCCATAACTCCCCACTGCCCCAGCCTTAGAGCAAAAGCTTAGCTCAGGGGGAGACCATCTGTTTTGCACGCAGAGGTGCCAAGTTCCCCTGCCTGAAACCTTGGAGAACCACAGTCAGTCAGTGTAGACAGTAGATGGACCAAAGGTCTTGCTTCTAAAAGGAAGATCCTCATGTTCCTCATTTCTCATGCCATCTTGTTTCCAGGGCAATCCTTCGTTCTACCCAATTTTGTGGGTCCTGCCAGTTTTGCAGGACTATTTTGCTAGCTCACCTGCCCTGAGAGATGCTCCCCCCCAAAGAAAAACCTTGACCTTTGCCTTGCTAAACCCATGAACCCAACCCACTCTGTTTTCTCTACTCGCAGGTAACTGGTGCCAGCACATACCCAGGACCTTTGAACCCTAAAACCCAAAGAAACCCAGGTAAAGACTTACGTAGAGGTCAGAGCCATACAGACTGTCTGGATAGAGCACACTAGGTGGGAAAAGAAAAAAGAAAATCAGCACAGATGGTCCTCTACCTTGCCCATCTTATCAACAGGGGATGATAAATCTGGGTTTTTCTTAGTTATTGTTCTAATCTTAAATTCAGTTTGTCCTATTTCTGCATCATCTTGTGCATTAAAAAAATATCTATTTCCACCTACCCAAAAAAGTGTTTTCAAGCACATTTCTCCTAATACACACATTTGTGCCTAATATACGGTATGCATTTTTCCAAGCCGTTTCTGCTAATATAAGGCATTTTTTGCATGTTACTTTCAGTAACGTACACATTTGTGTGCAAACTTCCCCTTAATAATAAACTTTAATAAACTAAATAATAAACCTAATAAAATTTCCCTCAGTTTTTACTGATTGATTCATTGACAAACTGGATTAGGAAATTTGGAGAAGTACTTTCCATTTTTTTTTAGGATAAGGTTAAATGACAATGAGTATTCTGCCTGCATTCATTTAGATTTCCTCATGGGATGTTTATATGTCTTCCTGTTAAGCCATTCATTCCGCACTTTTCAATACATTTCCCCGTTACTTTCCTAACTACAAGAAGTCCATTTTACCTGTTCTTGCCATTAAGTCAGGCATGGCCAAACTTGGCCCTCCAGCTGTTTTGGGACTACAATTCCCATCACCCCTGACACCTGTTAGCTAGGGATGATGGGAGTTGTAGTCCCAAAACATCTGGAGTGCCAAGTTTGGCCATGCCTGCATTCAGTGGAATGTTATATTTGCATCTGTTTTACTTGATTGAGGTTTTTATATTCCACTATGAAACTGATTGTGATAAAGGGCAGCTTAATATATTCCAAATGAACAGAGAAAAGAAATAACCAAGCTTTTTTCCTTGTTAAGGGCCGTTTTCTCTCGGGGGTAATCTACTGGGGGACACATACCAGTAATGGCCAGGTCCCCAAGTGACTTGGGCTCATTTCTTTCTTTCTTTGTGCAGATTTGAAAAGGAAATGCACATTTATAATGTAAGCATGCCTATTTAATAAAAACGTATTTGCTCGTTGCAAAGATTTTGAGGGGAACTTTTAGCAAAACCTCCAGACTTCAGGACCTATTTTTAGGGCTATAGAAGTTGTCCCCATGAAAACAAACAGAACAGTCTCCGCCTCTCACCTGCCATAGGCTGGAACTGGAGAAGGGGCAGGAGCTGCTCGAATGGGGTTATAGATGGCAGCTCGGCCACGCCCTCGCAGAGCCCCACGATATGCCAGGGCAGCTGGTGCCATCATGGGATAAGGGATGCTCGCCACTAGATGGGATGGAGAAGGATATCAATGCATTTATTTCCAATACTTATATCCCACTTTATAGCCCCGGGAGGCTCTCAAAGCAGCTTGCTAAATATTCTCCACAATAAAAGTCACATTCAAGTCGGGTAGCAGGAATGGAAATGACGTGGTGCCAGGATTATTCAGGTGGCACTTCCTGCCCTCATTCTTGGCCTTCTAAGGTAAAGGTAAAGGGACCCCTGACCATTAGGTCCAGTCGTGGACGACTCTGGGGTTTCAGTGCTCATCTCGCTTTGCTGGCTGAGGGAGGCAGCATACAGCTTCCGGGTCATGTGGCCAGCATGACTAAGCCGCTTCAGAGCAGCGCACGGAAACGGCGTTTACCTTCCCGCTGGAGTGGTACCTATTCATTTACTTGCACTTTGACGTGCTTTCGAACTGCTAGGTTGGCAGGAGCTGGGGCAGGAGCTCACCCCGTCGCAGGGATTCAAACCGCCAACCTTCCGATCAGCAAGCCCTAGGCTCTGTGGTTTAACCCACAGCACCACCCACATCCCTTTGCCTTCTATGGACTTTGCCTAATAAGAAAGAGATGTCCCCAAGACCAGAGAGTGCGTCTAGGCAGCTGGAGCTTGCTCTGTCCATAATGGAGGGTGCATATTCCACTAGGGGCAGAAATGATGGAGGCAAACTTGATCATGAGCTCAGTGGAACTGGGTGACTTAAAGGAGGAGTGGCTGGCCCAAAGCGCTTTTCAAATAAGGAGAGTGACAGAGGAAACCCTAGAACAGGATTCTGAGAAGCCACCAAAGAATTTCAGCCACGACTGAGATTTTCAGCCAGCGTTGGATCTAAGGATATAAGGAGGCAACCACTCCTGTCCCATCCTGTTTTCACCACAATCGGGGCTGTTTCTCTTCCTCTACGGTTCCGCTTTTTCCAACAATTCCCTCGTTCTCCACTGTGGCTGAAACTAGCACAATGAATTAAGCAGCTGATTTCAATGAAAGGAGAATGTCAAAAACACTGACATTTGCATAATGTTTGCAGACTAAAAAGAAAAAAAGATAGCCAAGAACTGTTGCATTCTTCTTGCATGATTTTAGCGCCTTACCTTGCACACACATGCAAACTGCAGCAATTGATGCTCCTGTTTTTGATGAGCTTTCCCCACATCCCTAGCTGAGAGACGCCTCAGGAATGCTAGTCTTGATACTCCTGAGGCCTTAAGAAATTATACACATACACGTTCAAAAAAAAGACCAAACCCAGCATGCTCCAGCTGGATCTCTGTCAGCCTGACAACACAGACTGCTTCAACTCAGCTGGGAAGCCTCCCTAGAGGTACAATAAACAGCAGCGAAGCACTGTGCACGAATCAGGATGGCAGAGCCAAACAACTCTCTGCTCTTCAGCCCCTTGAACCCCAAACGAATGAGAAAATTCCAGGGGTAGAAATGCTAAACCTTGTATTCTGGTTTGGTGCTAGTTAAGTCCACTGAACAGGCACAGAGCCAACCTACAAAATTTTGGAGTCTGAGGCAAATGGTGCATACATCTGACACTATTATTATTATTATTATTATTATTATTATACATATGACTGTTTAGTATTGCTTTATAATGATCACAGAAATCTCATTCTAAGTCATGGAAGGGCCAGTCCAGTGTGGGATTGTAAGTAAATGGGATGATAAAATAGAACTTATTTGATTCCAAGCAAATGCCCTAAATAAATCCGTACAGGATTTGGGGTCTTTGGTAGGTGGTGAATGAGAAAGGAAGGCAGAAATGTGGAACTTGGTGGAAGTTTAGGAGGGGAAAGTAATAGCAAAGAGATGGGGATTTACCTGTATACAGGTCAGGGGCATAGACAGCGCCAACCATAGGATTGATCTTCCATCCTAAATGGACACAGACAAACAAGGAAAGGCTCAGAGAAAAAACTTGTCCCATCTTCATTACTATTTTCAGGTAGTCTTGCCCCTATCCTTAACGAAGCAGTTATGATGATTTTGCTGTTTACAAGTTACAGTGGTACCTCGGGTTACAGACGCTTCAGGTTACAGACTCCGCTAACCCAGAAATAGTACCTTGGGCTAAGAAATTTGCTTCAGGATGAGAATAGAAATCGTCTCCGCGGCGCAGCAGCAGCGGGAGGCCCCATTAGCTAAAGTGGTACCTCAGGTTAAGAACAGTTTCATGTTAAGAACGGACCTCCAGAACAAATTAAGTTCTTAACCCGAGGTACCACTGTATATGTTTTGCTGTTGTTTTATTGTCTGTTGTTTGATTATTGTAAAGGTAAAAGGTAAAGGACCCCTGGATGGTTAAGTCCAGTCAAAGGCAACTATGGGGGTTGTGGTGCTCATCTCGCTTTCAGGCCGAGGGAGCTGGCGTTTGTCCACAGACAGCTTTCTGGGTCATGTGGCCAGCATGACTAAACTGCTTTGGGTGCAACAGAACAACGGAAGCCAGAGCACACAGAAACTCCGTTTGCCTTCCCACTGCAGCGGTACCTATTTATCTACTTGCACTGGTGTGCTTTCAAACGGAGCTGGGACAGAGCAACGGGAGCTCACCCCATTGTGCAGATTCGAACCGCCAACCTTCTGTCTGACAAGCCCAAGAGGTTTAGACCACAGCACCACCCGCATCCTGCATTTTGATTATTGTCAGAGCTGCCTTAAGCATATCTGGCGCCATGGTTCAAAGACCCCTCCGGGCCCCCGTCCTCCATTTTCCAGAGTTGCTCTCCTCCCACGGAGGCTTGGGAGACAAGCTGCACACCCACCAGCCATATGGTTGACAGGGCACAGCTGGCAGGCGTGCAGGGAAAGGGGAGGCCGCCGGCAAAGCCGCGCAGCTCCCCCACTCACTGGGACGCCCCTGATAGGCCAGCGCCCTGGCACAACGCGCCAGTAAGCCCAATAGGAAAGACGGCTCTGATTATTGTATAGTACTTACCCCTATGTATTGGTGGGGTTTTTTTGTTTTTAAAATGCTCTTAAAAATATGTAAGCTGTTTGGAGAATTACTATGTGGCAAGTGAATCATAAACCAAATGTATTGTTGCTATTTTTATTCCAGCTTCTACATACCATTCACCACTGGTGCCGCCGGTGGTTTCTTGGTGACTAAACGGGCTGTGGCGTTGTTGACCTGGATGGGAGAAGGAAGCAGGAAGTGAGGCCATATGCATAACAAGTTGCTGTTAGCTTCTTCTTCTTTTTCTCCAAAGAAGTGGGACAAGTAAATAGATAGCCACACAGTGATGATTTTGACAAGGCTCTTAAGGGGTTTGAATTAAGGTGGATTCGTGTGTGTGTGTGTGTTTTCAGTATTGGGCCTATTTGTGCCTGTGTGGTGTTCCTGGCACGCTCAAAGGCAAGCGAGGACAGGGATTCTGCACCTTTGATAATTGTGCAGAAGAGGGGTTCATGCAGGTAAGGCTTGTCCAGTATCTGAGCACCCCAGGTATTTCTCACATGTGCACATATGCACATTCACACGTAGTTAAACAGGATCCTGCCTGGTGGGCAAACGAGAAGAGCAGGGCCTGTGGCAAATCGTGTCCTCCCTAAAAGAGGGCACATGTTGTGGTGAGACCTGGAGACTGACCCAGTGTGTTGTGGGCGGGTTTGATTGGTTGCCACAACACCTGATTGGTAATTCCCTTGATGTTGGGTTCAATCTGACCAATGGGGCGCAGTCCAAATGGATCAAGGGACCTATTTATACCCATGAACGTGACCCAGAGCTTCCTCTTTCGGCTCATGCATTCGGAACACCCGCCCACCTCTCCCTAATTTTAGGGCTTTGTGCGATTGACCTTGCTATGCTGTCATCTGTCGTTGGGACAGGGGCATGGCAGGAATTTCCCCACTTGGCTGATTGGCTGTTGCCATTTGGGTTTCTCCTGCCGCATAGCAAATCGTCACAACTTGTAAGGTTGCGGATAGGCACTGGTTCAGGTGATAGGAATGGGGGAACGCTCTCGCCATCCCTATGTGAAGGGTATTCCGTTAAAGGAATCCAGGGACTCGATGGTTTGGTCAACCCCTGAGAGAGGGTTGTGCCCGTACCTGAGTCCAGGGGGGCATCTGGATGGTGAACAGAGTCTGTACCCAGCTTTTCACCTTCCCAGGTGTTCACCCTTGGCTGACCTATGCTGGTACCCTGGGTCAGCGCTGCCTGCAACCACTCAATAAAGTTGTGGCCCAAATTCTGCCAAAAACCAAAACTAAAATTTGAGTAATGTGTAAATTTATTTAGGGGGGAGGTCTCTGGGTCTGAACATGCAAACTGCTGCCGCACGGGGTGCTTCTGTTCCAACCACTCCATTCTACCCCTCACTTGTTTTTTTCTGGGCCCTCCACGTGCACTGAGCATGCTCAGTCCTTATTTATTTAAGGAGTTGCCTTCCGCATGAGCAGGGCTGGATTTAGGTTTGATGAGGCCCTAAGTTACTATAGGTAATGGGGCCCTTTATATGTCCAGCTGTCCTTTGCCAACAACAAATTGTCGCTGTTTTTTATGTTGAATATATGCTATATGGTAATTTATGGAGCTAATACGTATCTAAAGCCATTTGCACATGAAGAATGTAGGCACCCAATATATAGAAATAAGCAAACCAGTGATATTTTAGGGAGCAGGCTAGCAGGTGGGGCCCATTATTTACATCATAGGAGCCTACACAACACAAAACACTGTTGCTGTGTGCAGGTTTTATTTTATTTGTTTTTTATCTTTTATTTTGGAAATTGACATCCAGTTTTTTTTTCCTTTACACTTTTGGGGGGCCCCCAAGAAAGTGGAGCCCTAAGCTATAGCTTGTTTACCTTATACGTAAATCTGGCACTGCGCCTGAGTCCCAAGGCAGTTTACATAAACTCGACTAAAATAACATTAAAAACACTACACAACAAAACAACAACTACTAAAGATAGGGTTTTTTAAAAAATTGTTTTTAAAACTAAGGCTGTGGGGGATTCTCCAGAAGTATTTTTTTATATATACCTCTGCAAAAAAAAAACCCGCTGATATTTCCCTTTTGTATGTGGATGGTACAAGTACTAGCACTTGGAAAATTTAGTTCAGTATTAGCATATATGGTATTCACTGATCAAGGGACCTCCTTTTTTTAGGGACTGAGCATCTTCCCCTTCCAACAGCTTAAGCTCCCAGGCAAGAGCCCATAGCATGAGGGTACTGAAATGACCACAGGCATTTATGCTGAGAACACGGTAAATTCTTACCTCAATCTTCCTTCCTTCCACAATGCTGCTGTTCAGCTTCTCCCGCGCCCGGTCAGCATCCTGACTGTTTTCAAAGGTGACAAAGCCAAAGCCCTAAGAGAGAAGATTCTTCATGATCATGGTGTCTCCCCTGCCAGGTAAATATGCCGCCAGGATGCTTTTAGGCCAGCGATGGAAAGACAGCAAGATCCCTACCAGAATGTTAGAATTCCTGCTCCATGACTGCAGTCATGGGATTGTTGTCTATTACATGACAGTGCATGTTTTGACTCCACAGAGTGGGAAGTGACGGAGACAGGATGTTTGTGTTACTGTGCTCCATGAAATGGGACTATTGTCCTTTTTTCTTTTTCTCTTTGCTGTCTGATGCTAGAGAGAAAGGAAGCCATGTTGCAGTGCTCCGTGTATGTTTATATGTAAATAAAGTAGATTAGCCAACATGCTGAGTTGCTGAGGTCTGTCACGCGCATGCTGCGCAAACTCTGCGGATCCCTAAGTGTGTCGGTGTCGGTTGGCATCGGTCACTGTGATGTTCAGGTTGAAGAAAGCTTATGAAGCTCCCAAACGATCGACCAGGAGGGACAGAACATGCCAGTCGGGCATGTGTCTCTGCCAGGGTCCTACTCGAAAGTAGGCTGAAATCCTGACATGATCTTCATGATCATGGTGTCCCCCCTGCCAGGTAATTATGCCGCCAGGATGCTTTTAGCCCAGCAATGGAAAGACGGCAAAGTCCCTACCAGAGTGGAATGGCAGACCAAGTTGATGGACTACGCAGAGATGGCAAAAATGACCGGGGAAATCAGAAACCAGGAAGATCAAAATTTTAACAAAGAATGGGGGGAGATTTATTTCGTATTTGGAAGGCCACTGTAAACAGCCAAATTCATTAGCAGGACACTTGTAATGTAACAAGGACTTTGGATATAATGGACCAGGCATATGCAAACTCCGGCCCTCCAGATTTTGGGACTACAATTGTAGTCCCAAACATCTGGAGACCACTGGGTCCTGTTAGCTAGGGATGATGGGAATTGTAGTCCCAAACATCTGGAGAGCCGGCGTTTGCCTATGCCTGCAATGGACAATCAAATAATTGGAGTGACTTAAAATATGCAGTAGAAAAGGATAAGTACGGAACCCAGGGAGGGGTGGAGGGAAGTCCAAAGATTTGGGAGTATCTTGTGTATTTGTTTTTATTTGTGATTTTGAATGTTAATTTTAATTTGTAATACCAAATAAAAATTAATTTGGAAAAAAAGGAGAAGATTTTCATAATTTACCTGGCCCTTGAGATTCCAGACTGCACACCCGTTACCAACCCTGCTTTGTCCTCTCCCCTTGAGTGTTTTTGCCTGGCTGGAATGTGTTCTTGGATTCTGTTAACGCCTCTTGCTCGTCCAGATGGAGGACATAAGGAGTTTGAGAAACACTGCTTTAAAGGGAGATTAGGGGGATTAAATGGGATGCGGGTGGCGCTGTGGGTTAAACCACAGAGCCTAGGACTTGCCGATCAGAAGGTCGGCGGTTCGAATCCCCGCGACGGGGTGAGCTCCCGTTGTTTGGTCCCTGCTCCTGCCAACCTAGCAGTTCGAAAGCACGTCAGAGTGCAAGTAGATAAATAGGTACTGCTCTGGCAGGAAGGTAAACGGCGTTTCTGTGCGCTGTTCTGGTTCGCCAGAAGCGGCTTAGTCATGCTGGCCACATGACCCAGAAGCTGTACGCCGCCTCCCTTGGCCAATAAGGCGAGATGAGCACCGCAACCCCAGAGTCGGTCACGACTGAACCTAATGGTCAGGGGTGTCTTTACCTTTACCTAGGGGGGAAAATGTGGAATAGGCGGCTATCAGTGGCTCCTCTGCCATAGGGGGTATATGGAGCCTCCATGTTCAGAGACAGTGTGCTACTAGATACCAGTTGCTAATGGGGAGAGGGCAACACAGTGTGCTACCACATTCTAGCTTTGCTTGTGGGCTTCCCATAGGCACCAAGTTGGCCACTTGATCAACACCAAATCCTGCACTTGTACAGTGTGTTTGTGAGACCACTGACTAGGGATGGGGAAGCTGTGGCCCTCAAGATGCTGTTGGACTTCAACTCCCATCAGCAAGGCCAGTGGCCAGGAACAATGGGATTTACGGGCCAGCAATGTCTGGAGGGGCAGAGGTTTCCCATCCCTGGCATAGAAATTGCTCAGCTTTGCCCAGCAGACCCTGGCTTTCTTGTCCACACACCTCTCCACCCCTTCTTGGCAGCTAGCATTTCCATACCTTGGAGCCACGCTCATTAAAGATGATCTCCACGTCCAGGATCTTTCCAAATTGCTAGGGGGGGAAGGGGAAAAGTCAGTCTTTGACATAGAGAATACACAGCCTGTTGCCCTAGAAACCGTGCGTAACGAATTTATGACAGTGTCTAATACAAAACTTAGTGCTTCCCCTACAACTCAGCCATCCTCCAGCATGGCCGGATACATAACTTTTCCCTGAGCAGAAATATGGCACCTGCATCTCCTTATGCATTCCATGTGGCAACAGTGGAGAACCTGTGGCCTTCCCTATTTTGTTGGTCTACAACTCACATCACCCTTGGCCATTAGCCATGCAGCTGGGACTGGTGGAAGTTGGAGTCTAACAGTATCTAGAGGGCTACATATTGAGCCAGTGACATAGCATTGGTTGCCAGTGCCCAAAGCCACACAGTGGAGGGGAGGAAGCAGACTATGCATTCACATTCAACTGCCTAACAGCATCCACGTCACCCAGGAGATCGCAGCTGCAGAGATAAGAAAAGAAGAGCTGTTCTGTTGTCTGAAGAGGTCACTTCCTGGTTTGCATGGAGAAGCCATTTTCGACGGAACCCAGCAACAGAAGAGCACAGCACCGAGTATTGATATTTTGTGCCCCTAACAATTTTGCACCTGGGGAAACCGCTCCTGGGGAAACCTCCCCCACGGTATGCCACTGGATTCAGCCACCCCTGCAATATGACCATGCCACCCCAGACCTCCAAATCCAGCAAAGTGCTGGGGTTGGCACCACAGTGTCAACATCCAGCAATGTTGGGCAGCTGCCCGGGGCCCATTGATGCTGAAGGGCCCTTACACACCCATTCCAGACCAAGCCCTGAACTTTCCCTACTCTAGAGACCCGCAAGGAGGATGAATTAAAGATCACTGCGTACAAAAAGCATCACATGACACAACTCAGGTTGGAGGGAAGCAGAGTAGAGGAAAGACTCACCCCAAACATCTGCCGCAGGTCTGGGTCACGGAAGCGGAAGGGGATGTTTGACACATGCAGGCGTTTGGGCTGGGCCTTGTTCTCGCTGCTTTCTGCTTCCTCTGCCTCGGGGGACAGCTCAGGTGCAGGGGCTTCTTCCGGCTGCTGTGGGGAGGGGTGGGGCAAGGAGGAAAAGAAGCAGGATCACAAACACCACTGAGGCAACCCTCCCCTTGCAACACCTGCACAGAGGGCATGGAGCATAACACTCGCAAGTCGTGCCATGGGCAGAACAAGGTGGTCAGAGCTGGGCAAGTTCCAACAATGGGCATTCTCCCGTTCATGTGCAAGTGGTCTTGAGGATGTGCAGAGACTCGCAGTGTGGTAACGTCAGTCTATGGAGTCTAACTGTTGCCAAGATGGGGTGGGAGGAAATTGGGTACCATGGGGTGGGGGGATATTCAGCAGCATCTTCGTAGCACGTTTACTCTGTTGCTCTGATCTCTGTACAGGAGAAAGCAAGCAGGTGTAGCCTGTGTATATGTGTGTAGTGAAAGTGGTGTCCAAGACATCAGATGCCAGCAACCAGCATCATCCCAACGTTGAGCATCTGAAGCTGCCTCACACTGAGTCAGACTATTGCTCTGTCTAGCCTTAGTACTATCCATTCTTCTGACCAGCCAGAACATAAGAAGGACCATTTCTGAATCAGACCAAAGGCCCATCTAGTCCAGCATTCTGCTCTCACAGTGGCCAAGGAGATGTGTAATGGGTTCAGAGTCCTATCATCCTTGACCATTGGCCATGCTGGCCGAAGCTGATGGGAGTTGTAGTTCAAAGTATGAGGAGGGCACCAGCCTGGGAAAGGTTGCTTTAGACAAAGCAAGGGCCAATCTGCTCATAGAGAGAAATCATGAGAGACTATGAAATCCCCAAACTGACTTATTTATTGCTTCCTTCCCCGTTCCTCTTTTCCTTTTGCACTGTTTGTCTATTACCTTGTATACCATTATTTCAAAACAGGAACCACCTTGAGTGCTTTAGCAGAAAGGCAGTATAGTAGATGAATACATAACCATAATAATGGTGCAGTCTTCCTGGGACAGCACCATTTCAGGTTTCAAGTGGAAGCTCCTTAGATGTATGGGTGTTCTCTCAGATAGTTTAAAATCAAGAACTGGACTCACTCCCCTTGGAGGGGAAAGCAGATCAAAGAGAAGCTTTTTTTTTTTTTTGGCCTGCTTTTCTGCCTGGCACGCCAGCACCGCATATGCAGATAAATTTTCTTAAATGGAGGGGGTAAGTCAGTCATGAACTCCTTTGCCCTTGAAACCTAAAGTGGTGCTGTCCAGCAAGAGCTGGTATATTTATCTGCAGAAGGATTCATGTGAAACTGGGAGGCCAACTCAATGTGACACCTGTCACACATTTTGCAATTGTGTGAATAGCAAGTGAGAAAGGGCAGAATTCATTTCTGAAGCTCCCCTGCCAGAATTCTGCTCAGGACTGGGCTCCCCCATCTGCTATATTTACTCTTAAACAATTCACACAATTGCTAATTCCACAAATTCATTTGGTCATTTTTGTTTATCTTGTCTGTTGGCATGAAAGTTCAGGAGAGAGAGGGCCAGATCCCCACCTTGTTTCCTACACAATCCCACCCCCCAAAATCAGATCCACTCTCTTTGCAAGGAAGATGGGGCCAATCTTCTTCTTCCCAAACTTCTCCTGGTCAACCAGAAGGGGAAAAACAGATGTCCCAATGCATCAGCAAAACATTCTGGCTTGGGTTAATGGAGAGGATGGACACAAACCAACACACAGAAGGACATTAGTGGAGACAAGAAGCAGGGCCAGGTGAGAGAGGGCACGATTCACAGAAACCTTGTGGAGAAGATTGGGGGACCCCAAACCGGACACCACCACCCCTCTTCTCCATGCAGATGGTCCCCCTCGACTCACGATGCAATCACCACGATGCAACATTCCAAGGCCACGGCCGAGGTGTGGGCAGCCTCTCTTGCAACGTCTTTTAAGTGCCAAAGGGTGGGGGGGAGAGAGAGAAGAGCCTGAGAGAAGCAATTAATCCGGCAGGGGGACAGAGTTGAACTTGTCTTTGAAATTCCTGATACAGCCTGGCAAAGAAGGCCCTGTTTGGGGCATGTGCTACCACCCAGAGCCTCCTTGCGATGACAAGGAAGGCAGGAATGTCCAAACAGGCTTGGTGGAGCACGAAGTCTCACTGTTGACCTGCTAATCGCCAAAGAAGCCTGGGCTCTGTGGCTTTGTTCTTAGAAACGGCAGATAAGTCCGTAAACTGTGTCTGGACTCTGCCATGTCAACGGCGCGTGATGGGAAGCTCCCACATGCAATCTTGCACATTAAGAGCAATGCATTCATGCTCAAAGAAAACTAGCCTGTCCAGGGGGGAAGGAAGTCTAGGATCCTTCTTCGCAACATTGAACTTCCTCTGTGTGGTGATTTGTTGGGTTTTCATAAGCATTCCATCATATGAGCTCCTCGCTGCCATCTACAATGGTACAGTCCAGACACAGGAAAGGGGTACAGGTGACACCCCCAACGCATTGGAAGAACATGTGGGGCACACAACTTAGACTCTGTCCAGCCATTACCTATACCTTTGGTATACCAATTGAGCCCCTTTAAAAATAAAATGAAAAGTAGCCCTGGGAGGCTGTGCGTTTTGAGTGGAGAAAGTGCTGAGGAGAGGCTACTTTCGCCTCCCCTCCATTTCTCTCTACTAAGGAAATGCTTCCCACAAGCTGCCTTTCCAGCTTGGTGGTGCTCAGGAAAGTTTCATTCGAGCACAGTCCCTGGGAATCAATGGTGGTGAGGGAACTGGGCTCAGATAAAGATTCCTCTGAGCCCTTTCTCCTGGCCACTTCTGTGGCCGAAACCTCCTTTTGTTTTCAAAGCAACTGGTCTCTGAGACAAAATGCTAGAGGGGAACAATCTTCAGAAGCAACAAGGAAGAAGCATGCATGTACACCGATGCCCAGGGACAATTTTTGCTAACGTGCGTGTCTCGCTCTGACCCACTGCTCTCCACCCCAGTGAAAGTTAGGAGTCTCTGCTGGCAATGATCCACGCCCTCAGCCTGTCCACATGCAGACATTCCATTTTAGGGACAAGAAGCCTTAAACCGAGTGTGAGCCATTGGTGCATCTAGGTCAGTGATGTCTACCCTGATCGACAGCGGCTCTCTCGGGCAGAAGTCTCTCTCTGTGCTGCTTGGAGATGTCAGGAACCGAACCCAAGATCACCTGCACATGAGGCAGATGCTCTACCGCTGAGCTGCAACAGCCCTTCCAAAATAAACAGTGATATCTGTGGGACGTGTGGAGAGCTCTACAATACGCCCGCTCTGTGTTGGCATGCTTACAGGGAGTGTGCCGGCCTCTGAGCATGCCGCACCCGCAGCAAGGAGCACCCTCATGTTGCTAGTAAAAAAAAACCAAGACACGCGATTCCAGCCACTCACAAATGCAAACGATCCACCAGGCAGTAGCCAGTCTTCCATCTTCTGCTGCTTCATCCCCACCCACAACCCTCTGCCATCCCACTCCCCCACCCTGGCAATGCACTCCACAATTTCCCCCCCACCCAAAAAAGCTGGATGCATCCATCAAATGCTACGCAGACTCTTTGCTCATAAAGACAAGTTCAACAGGGATTAAAACCTCCCCGATTTTGGCTGGAAGGGTCAAATGCACAGGTGTGGTAGGGGCGGGGAGGTGTCAGGCTGAGAAGACAGGCAGGTGCAGTTGCACAGTGAGTAAGAGGTTAACTATTCATATGTATTAATGAGAGTAGAACAAGAGAAACGTGATGGATGTCCAAGATGCCTGGGACAAAAACCTGAGCTTGATGGGAGAGGTCCACGAACCGTCGCTGTTAACACCCCCAGGAAAAGGCCCTAGTCCGGGAAAGACACAGTCATTGAGTGGGGGGTAGGAATTGCTACAGACCAGGAATCCTTTGGCAGTTGGCACTTAGCAAAGGCTTTCCAGCAGAGGGAGAGAGAGAAGGGAGGGGAAGGGGGGGGAGAGAAGAGAGACACATACAGACATTAAAGCAGGGCTGGGGAATCTCATGCCCATAGGGTAGTGGTGGCAGCCTCTGTTTGACCCCTGGGGATATCTCCCAGGGCTGCACCCCTCCCAAACAACACTTCCCCTCCCCAGACCACATGGTTCACCTGCCCTGCTCCACATTCTCCTCAAGTACTTTTGGGATGTCCTGGAACTGCGAGGCTGCCTCTTGCTTGGCAGGGTGAGGGCTGGAGAGACACCGCTTTGACTTTTGCATAGACGAGAGGTTCCCAAACTTCTTTGGCCTACCACCCCCTTTACAGGGGAGGGGGGGAACCCGCTACTCAGCACCCCCTCTTAAAATCCAACTTTTAAAGCGAGCAAACAATGCCGCAGTGACAAATTTGCGTTCTTTTATGTATCTATATTTCTACCTACAACACAGTAAAGAAAATGTTTCGTAAGTAAGACACCTTGAAGCTTGAAATCGAAAACCCCTTGACTCCAGCGCAACCATCGGACCCAGGGGAGACGCTGTCACTGTCCCACAACGGCGCCCGACCTGGCAGTAAGCGTCATTACGCAACAAATGAAACATGTACGAACGTTTTTCAAAATTTTCTTCTCTTCTTTATGCTTCCACCACCCCTATATTTTTATTCAATGCTCCTCAATTGCACCTGATGCTACTAATGCCCCCGGATGGTTCCAGCGCCGCCCAGGGGGCATAATAAATAATAATAATAATAATAATAATAATAATAATAATAATAATATACCCTGCCCATCTGGCTGGGTTTCCCCAGCCACTCTGGGCGGCTCCCAACAGAATATTAAAAGCACGATAAAGCATCAAACATTAAAAACTTCCCGAAACAGGGCTTCCTTCAGATATCTTCTAAATGTCAGATAGTTGTTTATTTCCTTGACATCTGATGGGAGGGCATTCCACAGGGCGGGTGCCACTACTGAGAAGGCACTCTGCATGGTTCCCTGTAGCTTCACTTCTCACAGGGAGGGAACCGCCAGAAGGCCCTCAGAGCTGGACCTCCATGTCCGGGCAGAACAATGGGGGTGGAAACGCTCCTTCAGGTATACTGGGCAGAGACCATTTAGGGCTTTAAAGGTCAACACCAATAATTTGAATTGTGCTCGGAAACATATTGGGAGCCAATGAAGGTCATTCAGGTGTTATGTGGTCTCGGCGGCCGTCTTCAGTCACCAGTCTAGCTGCCGCATTATTACCCACTTTGGGAAATACGGGCATAGACGGAATGAATCGTACTGTGCCAAAAGTGCGACCCACAGCCTTGGCTCCACCCACTTTTGTCTCTGGCCCCACCCATCTCCCTCCTATGCCTCCCACTCTCGAAGGCTCTCCACTAGGGAATGAGCTAAAAAAAAAAAAAGCTCCCCACTCCTCTAATTTAGCCTCTGTGTTGCTCACCTTGGAAGTAGAAGAGTGGAAGCACCTGCAATTGAAGTAAGGTGAGCTACAAAACATATACATGGGGTGGTAACAACCCAGAGCTGGACACAGTAAGCAATGTGAAATTGAACATTATAATTCAACATCAGATAATGAAATATGTCCTAAGGCAGGTTTTGGACTACAATTCCCATCATCCCTGAGCACTGGTCCTGTTAGCTAAGGATCATGGGAGTTGTAGGCCAAAACATCTGGAAGGCGGCAGATTGAGGGTGCCTGTTCTAAGGGCTCCTTCAGAAGGCAGGTATTGTCAGGCTGAAGACCAAAGCAGCCATTAATTCTTATTATTATCGGTGCTTTTTTCCAAAAACCAATGTTTAGGGGGTACTCTCATTTTCCTACTCTATTGAAATACTGCCCCTCAATGAGGCCGAACTTAGATTCACAAAATGAACTTAGATTCACAAAATGTTTAGGGGTATACATATCCCTGTGTACCCCCAGAAAAAGCACTGATTATTATTATTATTACCGGCTTCTATGTTGTGCTCTGATTTGATGTGCAGGCATTAGGAGGTGACAAAGAACATGCAGGCTTCACCTGATGGCTGCTGCATGCCCAGCTGGCGTTAAAGGCAGAGGAACAGGGCTATAGGGGGGACCCTATAGCTGTGGCCGAGGAGGGAAGCTGTAGGCAGATAGCCAAGCAGGATTAGAGTTTGTGGGATAATTTGTAATCTAGGTTGCATGAGAGAACCATAGATCAAGGTTTGCCTGGACGTGAAACAACCAGACACAACCAGATTGACAAGTAGGGCTGCCAATTTATCGGCCCCAGCAGCTGCGTCCTAAACAACAGTTTGGTTTGCAGGAATCAGCAGGTGAGGGTGGGTTTTTGGGCCCTGGAAAAACTTCACCTGTTGACTTCTGCAGCTTCTGCAGTTGTTTAGAGGCCAGTTTTTAAAAAAAGAAATTCTGGACAGATGGCAACTTTATTGGGGGCGGAGGCAGGGAATGACGGCACAGGACTCTGTGAGGGAGGGCATTTGTTAGTCCAGCCCTACTCTAAGGCTTACCTCACGTGGTAGATTTTGGGGTGCCATTGGAAAGCAGCCAACTGTCAGTTTGGAAGCTAAACTTTAGACAATTGGTGGTGGTGGTGGTGGTCAATAAGAGCTACTACTACTACTACTACTACTACTACTACTGCCACCACCAGGGAACGGAAAGGGAATCCGTCAGGATTTATTTATTTTTTTGCCTCGGGCACCAAATTGTCTTGAGCCCTCTCTGTTTACAGTCTCTTGGAGGGCACAGTGTCCTTGATATGAGGCTCTCAGCAACACACCACTTGTCTCCCATGTGGAGATAAACAGCTGCCAGCAAAGATGGTGAAAGTTGAGGGCGGGGTGGGGGGGGAAGGGGAGAGAGAGAGAACAGGGAATCTGATAGGGGGTGTGGCGCAGCTGTCCTGGCTGGCGAAAAATCGTGTTACCCAATATGGGCAGAGAGGCCATCTCTTTGAGGGTAACTGGCTCAGGCGAGAGGAGGGAGGAAGCCATTGCCCTGAGGGTGGGGGAAAGAAGGGCAGATCCATCTAATGCATATGATGGGAGAAGTGGGCCTCACCCTGCTTCCTTTGGAGCAAGAGTCAGGAGTTGTTCTAATCTGAAATCTTCCACAACAACGTCCTGCTCGCGTGAGTCGATTTCTGCATGAGCAGTAAGGCCGGGTCTACACATGCAGAGGAAGAAGGTGGCATAATCCTGAGGTGCCAAAGTGGACCATACTAATTCAGATTGCGGGGTGTGGGTGTCATTTTGGAGTGCTCTCTTTTATTAAAAAGGAAGCCATGCAAATATGAAACCTAGCACATCGAAGAGAAAAGACCAGGCAACTTTTAACAGTGCTAATATCCTACTTGCAGGAAGGCATTTTGTTATTTAAAGGTAGGTTTTCCTCTCCCCGCTGCCCACCTTCTCCATAAACGTATGTGGTGGAGTCCATTCTATCGCCTCAGAATGACTGCCAGTCCAGCATTCTGCTATGTGTGGGCACTAAGCATGAGAGCTCACATAATATGAAACAGTTGTGCCATGTACCCCCTTCCCCACCACTTCTGAACAGCATCCAGCTACCCTCAGGCCCTGTTGTGCTCCCAGTCATGGCTCCCCCACAAAGAATAATGGGAACTGTAGTTTGTTAACTCTGAGCTCCCTTGGCAAACTACAGTTCCCATTATACGGGGCGGGGGGTGCGTCATGACAGTTAAAGTGGTATAAGAGTGATTTGAAGGTATGGTGTGGATGTGATTTATAATAGACCTGTACTTTTCTCTACAAACCTGGTTACATTTTGGGGTTAGTCTGGAGAGAGCCAAACCACGAGTTCAGGTTCAGAGGCACGCTATGCCAAACATTGGCTTGGTTCTGTGTGGCATAGCATCAGATCAAATGAGGAGGAGCAAAGCAGCTGTGATCTCCTCTCACACACCATACACAATATTCCCCTCTCTGCAGAGCAAATTCTATTCTCCACAAAGAATCCTGGGAACTGTAGTTCACTAATGGTTCTGTGAGTGTAGCTCTGTGATGGGTAAGCTACTGTTCCCAGGAATCTTTCGGCAGGTGCTTTGAATGAGTGGTGTGTACCCAGGTGAATAATAAAGTGGTGCCTCGGGTTACATACGCTTCAGGTTACATACACTTCAGGTTACAGACTCCGCTAACCCAGAAATAATACCTTGGGTTAAGAACTTTGCTTCAGGATGAGAACAGAAATCGTGCTCCGGTGGCGCGGCAGCAGCAGGAGGCCCCATTAGCTAAAGTGGTGTTTCAGGTTAAGAAGAGTTTCAGGTTAAGAACGGACCTCCGAAACTAATTAAGTACTTAACCCGAGGTACCACTGTACTCCTGTTTCTCCTGTCACAGTAAAAATTGCTACCAGATTTGACCTCAGCTTGCTGTGAATATGGTGTTTCCTGCTTGGCTAAGCCATCTGGGTGATTTCGAGAGAAGCGAGAGAGAGTTTAGGCAAGACTAGTGAAACATCTCAGGAAGGTTCAACACGGTGCAATTGAAAACATAAACTCGGGAGTTTCTGCCATGTCAGAAAGATATTACTCCATGACACACCTCTCCATGAAGAAACTCCCCACATTCGGAATTTTATTACTTTCATCCTAAATGAAAAGTAAGAAACCAATGAGGCATGGTGTGATTCTGCAACTGGGGGCAGAGAAAGAAAATGATGGCCTTCGTCTGCAGCACAGATTGGTATGAAAAGAAATGGAAGTCATCAGTAGAGAGTCCATGTCTCTAGCCCCTATGATCACCTCACAACTCCTCCACACATGCCTAAGGAGCATCAGAGAGACAGTGGGGCAGAGGGAAACCTCCATTGTTCTCAGTTATTATCTAGATGAAGAGATGACTGTGTCAGCATCTCTGTGTGCAAGTGCTTTTTTTTTTATTTATTAAAGCCTCAGGTCCACCAAAAAAAGAAGAATATCCATTGGTCTCTCTTCCTCACGCTAATCTTATCCTTCCTCAGAAGTCTAACTTTGGGAAATTCCAGTGGGAGAGCTATGTTACATCACATGATATCTCTAAAAGACATGTTGTTATTTCAGGAAGAAGCTCCTCCAGTATCTGGAGGGGAAGAAGTGGCTCCCTGGCATTTAGGCCCAACATCAGGACATGGGCAGCAATTAGCTGAACTAATACCTGCCCAGGGCCACCCACCCACCCCAGACGGCTTGGAGCTGCCATTTTTAATTTCCCTCAATGTCCTGGAATGATGCTACATCAGGGGCATCATGGGAATGTATAATGGCAGCCCCAAACCACCTGGCGGCGGCTGCCAATATCAGATAAGACCATCAGGGCCAACCAACATAAGAGGGGGCTTAGCAGAAGACATTGTGCCTAGGGCCACCTCAAACCTCAGCCAACCTTTACAGGTACTGAGGTAAATTCCAGTCCTGCACTCAGGTGCAATGCAGCCATGAGGGAGGAGTAAAAATTGAGCACTTACAAGATGCGAAGGGCATCGCTGCAAGAGAAAACCAGGGAAAGCAGATCTATAAGGAGCTACTAAAATGGGTTTGGAAAAGGACCATAGGTAGAGTCTTGATAGGACACAAACTCGGCCCTCCAGATGTTTTGGGACTACAATTCCCATCATCCCTGACCACTGGTCCTGTTAGCTAGGGATGATGGGAGTTGTAGTCCCAAAACATCTGGAGGGCTGAGTTTGGGGGTGTCTGGTGCAGGTAAAGGAGGAAAGGGCAGTGGTTATTTTGGGGTGGGGGATAACTATTAGGTCCCATGAATCTGAATTTCTCTCTCTCTCTCTCTCTGCTGTCAACAAGCAGCAGTTGTTCAGTAGTTGACCAAAAGCACATTCTACATATGCTCAGAGGCACTTCTTCTTGTTTGTTCCAAGATTTGGGGGCTGTGGCCAAGGGAAGTCCAAACAGATGAGCACAGAAACAAAAACGCACAAAACCTCTTGTAGAAATCCGGTGCCTCTCCTGTGTTTAATTTTTCTAAAATGAACAGCCTCAGTGTTTGAGCCTGTCCCATAAGATTTATCCTTTGCTTTGGGGGTCCATTCTCCCCCCTCTAACTTTTCAGACGTAGGAGTTGGTAATGGTTTGCTTCATGGCGTGAGGGTGGAATAAGACGCCACTCTCTGCACATGGTTAGGGATGCTTCACAGGTGTCAGGGCTCAATCCTGAGAACCCAAAGGGCTAAAAGCAGCCCCTGTGGTGAACCATGACCATGCAAAGTCCTGCAAGCCCAGCACACACCCGTCTTAAATCTACTCTCCTTCTAAAATCCCAAGATCCCCCTCTCCTTTCAGAAAATCCACCTGCCGAACACCAAACCCCCAAGAGATGTCACTCTTTTCCCAGAGAACCCTGGAACTGAGGCTCCTGAAGAAAAATCAGCCCTGCCCCACACAGCTTCTGTTGGGGTGCAAGATGTGGAGGCAGGAAGGAAGAGATGGAAGTAAAATGCAACTCTTTCCTGCATTCAGGTTTTGTCCTATAACAAAAAGGGGGCTCCAGATCCTTGAACCAGCTCCTGAACAATTTCGGAGGAATGCTACAAATGCAATCAGGGCCATTATGATGCATGGTACCCATAACACACCCCTCGAAATAAAAAAATACCGTACCCCCAGACCACCCACAATTCCCCATCCATTTGCCCAAGTGAAGCCAGCCAGACCTTCAGCCATCACTTACCGCAGGCGGTGGGGGCAGAGGCAGGGGCTCTGGCGCAGCCGTTCCCTGTTCGGGGAAGATACGAAGGCTGTGATCCGGCGCTGTTGGGGATGGGTACTCTGAAGGGGTGCTGTGGAGATGGTATTGCGGAGGCAGCCGGGCCTGGGGTGGCGGCGGAGGGTACTGAGCTGGGAACGTCTGTGTCATGGCATCCGCTGGCGGTACCGCTGCATCTGGGCTACCCTAAAGGCAGGAAGAGCAGAAAGACAACAAAGTTAGGAGCTGCGAGCAGTGAAGAAGAGGGGAGCAATCGCTGCCATTTTGCAGAATCAAGCAGGACTGGGGATAGAGCTGGCTCAGCCACCAATCTCCATCCCCGCAACTGCTAAGCACCAATTCCTCTCTCACAATACGTCCACCCACCTTCCTAATACGCTGCTCTCCTTTCCAGACTTTTTCAGTATCCTTTGTCCTAAAGACAATGTATCAGAATAGTATGTAGCTCTCCTCCTCAGGGACCTATAGACATTGTCTCAATAACTCTTACAACACCCCTGCGAGGTAGGACACTATTATAATCCAAAGCGTGCAGGAAATGGAAAGAGAAAGGGGGAAATGCCTAAGGTCGTCCAATGATATGGGTGGAGGCAAGAGCTGGATCAGGCAGGTCCCGATCATTCATCCCCAATACCCTAAAATCCAGCACTAATAAATCCTTTTCTCCACAATTCTTGTTCACAGGGAACCCAGGCCTCCATTTATCCTGACTAGTTGTCTTTCCAATAGAGGAATAAAGACATACTTTTAACCCACCCCTAACCTGATAAGCAGGGATGCGGGTGGCGCTGTGGGTTAAACCACAGAGCATAGGACTTGCCGATCAGAAGGTCAGCGGTTCAAATCCCCGCGACAGGGTGAGCTCCCGTTGCTTGGTCCTAGCTCCTGCTAACCTAGCAGTTCAAAAGCACGTCAAAGTGCAAGTAGATAAATAGGTACCACTCCGGCGGGAAGGTAAACGGCATTTCCGTGCGCTGCTCTGGTTCGCCAGAAGCAGCTTAGTCATGCTGGCCACATGACCCAGAAGCTGTACACCGGCTCCCTCGGCCAATAAAGCGAGATGAGCGCCGCAACCCCAGAGTCATCCGCGACTGGACCTAATGGCCAGGGGTCCCTTTACCTTTAATCTGATAAGCAGCCCACTCCTTCCTCCCAGAGGACCCCGGAGTCTCATCTCGCTGCTGCTCTTGCCTGAACCAATTACACTCTTCCCCCCCTCCCCATATGGGAGCTCAGGCTCTCAAGCCAAACCCCACCCCAATTTATCATAACAGCGAGGCAGCCTGCAAGATTTCACTCACCTACGCCAACGGGCCCCATCCCTTGGCACCTTCCAGAGTCTCTGCCGGGATAAGATGCTCAGGAAAAATGCGCACACCCTTTCTCTCCTTCTGGCCCAGGACTATAAAGGCATCCCTTGTGCTTCCCCCTCCGCCAATGGGGAGAAATCGCGACAGGCGCAGGCTCTCCCATTGGCCAGCCTCTTATCAACACCTCCTCAGCCCTTATTTGGAGTTGCTGGACCGTCTCTCTTTGTCTTTCAGCTGTTTGGGGGCTTTTGAAAAAAAAAAAACCCGGCTGCAGATAAAGAAGAAAGACAGCTGCAAGATTTCGCTGGAATCTGCAGTTTGCAGGCAGGCTCAGCCCCTGTGGCCCACGCACCTGCCCCACCTGTCCCAACGGCAGGGGCAAGGATTAATCTGAGCCCAAGGGCTTAGTCCTAGAAGGGACCAGGTTGTTTATGCATCGGTAGTATGAAGATATTAGGAATCTGAGGGTGTGTACTGGCATCTCAGACTGAAGAAAGCAAACGATACTCCTGTTAGCACAAAGGGCATTATTCGGGCTACATGCTTCAGCTTGCTTAATTAGGAGGATTAATCAACAAAAGCTTGAGTTGATTAACTGGCGGGGTTGAGAGTTAAAGTCACATGTATTACATTCTAATCTTGTCCCACCCTTTCTCCAAAGGGCTTGTGTATCTTTATAATAGGGTGAGAGTGAGTGGGAGGGCATGCTTCAGAGCTGTGGGGATTTGAACTCAGAACTTCCCTGTTCTGGTCCCAAACAGCAGCCACTACACACACATACACAATGGTGCTGTTTTGGTTCTGGTGCACCACTGTGTCAACCGGCATTCGAAAAGGAACTATTGAAGGTGGAATTTCCTTCAAGCGTTACGTGATAGCTTTTGTATGTTATCTCACATTTCTTTCAACATCTCAAAAAGGCATTTATAGAATCACAGAACAGAAGATTTGGACGGGACCACTAGCATCACCTAGTTCAACTCCCTGCAATGCAGAAATATTTTGTACTGAGGTTCTGGTGAGATGCAAATGTATTTACACGTATTCAATTGGTTAAAAAGATAATTGATTGACAAAATCCTTGGCGGGAGGCTCTGTTTTGACTATGGGTCCCTGATGCCCTCATACAGTCCCTGGAAGTTGTACAACTGTTGGCAGAATTTGCATTAATGCACACACAAATGTGCTGTGATTTTTTTTCTTTCAGAAATCAACATATCAGATAGAATAATCAATACAAATTAAGATGACATAAAAAGAGTAAAAATGACTTCCCTACACCTATATGTGACTTTTCCTTTTAAATTTTACTTCTCTCTTTGTGTTCTTGTGCTATCTTATACCACCGTTTCTGTTATGCCTATTACTCTGTCACTTCTCCTTGTGATATCTTAGACTTCATATCAATATTTTACTACCAAAACAATGTTTTTCCATATATTCCTTTACGTAACTCCATTCTTTCTTTATTTTTTGATTTGATTTTCCTCTTATAATTGCGGTCAATTTTGCCATATTTATCAATTCACAAAATTTGCTCTGCCAATCCCTTATTGTTGGGGCTTGTTCCCCTTTCCAATTTTTTGCGATCAAGGTCCTGGCAGCTGCTGTTGCGTACAGTATAGGAATATATTTTTCATACTTTTGGGGATATCTCCCGTTACTAAACCCAGAAGGAAAGCTTCTGTTTTTTTCTTAAATGATATTTTAAATATGCTGTGAATGGTAGGATTTGTCTGCCAACATGATTTTCTCCTGTGAAGAAGAATGCTTGAGGAGGGCTGAAGCACAAAATCCTTGCATCAAATCAGGCTTTATCTTCAAGAGCCTCAATTCCCACACATCTCCTTTGCTAGAGCTTGCGACAGATGGGATGGGAAGCTTTTATGTGAACATGCCACTGTCCTACCAAACAGTAGGGCCGGCCCAATGCATTTTGGCACGTAGGGCACCCACTTCCCTGCCAGGGAAAAAGGGGTGAGTGAAGATCTGCATCAGGAAGGGGGGCAGGGAATAAAGATCTACATCGGAATAAAGATCTACATTGTGATCTGCTACCCCTGTGGATCCTGATGCCTGAGGCGGTCACCTTACCTTGCCTCATGGTTGGGCTGGCCCTGTCAGACAGTGTAGAAGAAACCGAGACCTTTGCTGATCTGCCCAGCCACGGCCATAACTGGATCCTAGCCACAATTACCCATGCTCTCGCTACTCCCCATTTAGTTTCTTGCAATGCGCTGTTCGAAAAAGGTGTGGAAACATCAGGTGGTTCAAAATAGGGCTGCAAGATGGTTTGCTTGGACTGGCCAATTCCTGTTGGAAGTGGATCAGCAGGGATCATTCAGCTTCTTACATAAGTGCTAATTCTGTTAGTGTTAAAGACAGCTAACCAAGAGGGGTGGAAGTATTGCTTAGCAACCCGGCAGAGTGACATGAACTTTACTGGGCTCAGGAAAGCAATACCTCAAGGATCGCCTCTTTCCATATGAACCTACCCAGACCCTGAGATCATCTTCTGAGGCCCTTCTTCGTGTGCCTCCTCCTCAAGAGGTGCGGAGGGTGGTAACATGAGAGCGGGACCTTCTCTGCAGTGGCTCCCTGTCTGTGGAATGTTCTCCCCAGGGAAGTTCACCTGGCGCCTTCATTATACACCTTTAGGTGCCAGCCAAAACCGTTCCTTTTTAACCAGGCCTTTGGTTGATTTGATTGACATCATATGCCCTTCTAAAATGTGGTTTTTGGGGGGAGGGGGTTATTGGGTTGTTGTTTTTATTTTGATTATATATTTTGTGGTTTTATATTTTGATTTTGTTCTGTGAACCGCCCTGAGACCTCCGGGTATATAGGGCGGTATATACCGTATTTTTCCATGTATAAGACGCCCCCGTGTATAAGACACCCCTTATTTGTGGGGACTCAAAATTAAGAAAATGCACTATGCCCTATCCATGTATAAGACGACCCCTTATTTTAAACTTCAAAAATTTAGGAAAAAATATAGTCTTATACACGGAAAAATACAGTAAATTCAATTAATAATAATAATAATACCACCACCGAGGTAGCACATACTCTGACTGCCTATGTAGTTCCGGGAGGGTTTTCTTCCGTATGTTTAGTTGAATGTCTTCATGCTATGTACAAGGCCTGAACTAAGAAAGACAAAATCTCTCTTTCTCCTCGAAACATACACTGGTCTTTTCCCCTCCCAGCTTTTCAGTTCCTCTGAACTTTGCTTCCTGGACTCCATCTGTGTTATTTAAGTGACTTTGCTCATATCTACATCACATGATGACACCAACATTTTATCAGCTTCCATGGCTCTGGGCCCAATTCAAAGTGATGATCTTAGCTTTTAAAGCCCTTATTGATTTGGAGCCAGGATGTCTGAAAGATCGCTTTGGCTCACTTATACCTACCCTTAACTTGAGATATTTAAAGAGGCTCTCGCCTTCTTTATGGTCATTCTAGGTGCCATGTGGGAGGGGTTGACGTGCATACCGAGTGCACAATTGAAGTGGATTAAAGCGCTCTGTTGCTCTTGCACAGCAAATCCACTTTTTAAGATGTTCAGAAAAAGATGGGGAAATGCACTGAAAAGTATGGAATGAATGAATGACTTAAGAAGAAGACGTATAAACAACCGCACAAGCAAATCAGGATGAATGGAGGATGAAAGCTCATTGTCACATAATCGCCTCATAAACAAATCAGAATGGCTGCTTATTGCCAGGTGACGACTATTTTTATTCTCCCAAGCCTTAAAAACAAACTGTGATTTTCATGCACCGAGGCTCGGTTTATGTGCCGTGTAAATTTATTTATTTTTTTTAGTCATCTGGCTTTATTCTCTCTGCTGAAAATGTTTAGGCTGCAAGTTATCCTTTTATGATTTTGCTATTTTATTCCATTGCATTTTGATAGCATTTTATCGTTGTATGTTAGTGAGCTATCTGTAGAACAGGGTTACTAGCCAACCTTACATAAATATAGCAAATAAATGAAGAGTTGTCACTGGAGTGGGAAATCTGGGTCTGTGCTGCGGCACTGAAGACAACATTTGGGGGCTCAATAACTGAACACCCCTCCGTATCACACATATACCAAACTCGTAACATAGAAAATTCCCACAAGCATCTGCTTGGCTTGATGAGCCATTGGCCTGATCCAAAAGACTCTTTTTGTGTTCTTAGATCAGACCCTCCAAGTGTCGCTGTTTTCCAGGGACATCCCTGACTTAGAGAAGCCATCCCAGTTTCTGATTTGATCCCAGAAGGTCCCAATTTTCCTTAGGATGTCCCTATTTTCTTTGGGGAAATGTTGGAGGGTATAGAGTCATCCAAGCCCCTGCCCCTCAACAAGCCATCTGAAGGCAATCCTGTATAGGGAAGGTTTTTTTAAAAAAAATGTTTAATGTTTTATTATGTTTTTATATAAGTTGGAAGCTGCCCAGAATGGCTGCAGCAACCCAGTAAAATGTGTGGGGTATACATAGTAAAATTATCGTTAAGGAACGGGACATCCCTATCTTCATCGGAGAAATGTTGGAGGGCGTGTTCGGTATCAGAGAGATCTTGTAATAATAAAACAAGTTATATAGAAAGCAGAAGGGGAGGCATTTTTAAAAGGAGGGCTCTTTGCCCATTGTCTGAAGCAATATACTCTCCAGATGAAAAGAAAACAAAAGTTCCAGCCAATGCATTTTGTGGGACTTTGGTTACAGCTTCAGAAAGAGATGTCAGGCCCAAGAGTTCAGGAGAAGTGCTAAATTAAAGAACCATATACAGTGGTACCTCAGGTTACATACGCTCCAGGTTACATACGCTTCAGGTTACAGACTCCACCAACCCAGAAATAGTGCTTCAGGTTAAGAACTTTGCTTCAGGATGAGAACAGAAATTGTGCGGCGGCGGCGCGGCGGCAGCAGGAGGCCCCATTAGCTAAAGTGGTGCTTCAGGTTAAGAACAGTTTCAGGTTAAGAACGGACCTCCGGAACGAATTAAGTACTTAACCCGAGGTACCACTGTAAATATAGGTGAAAATGAGCATTCTGCTGTTCTTCTGAAGAGGGAATAACTTGCAAGATAGATGGGACTCCAGAATTTCCATTTGTGTGAGAAACTAACTGGTGCCTCAGCTGTATCACTATCGGGCCAAACTACACTTGCCTGTATCTTATGTTTTTCCTCCTGTAGGGTAAATAGCAGCCAGGGGAGGGTGTGTGTTAATCCTTGCCTCCTCTCACACCCACAACTCTGCAGTTTTTACATTACTTGGAGTGCACTTTCCCTTTGTTCTTTCGCTTTCCATCCTGCATTAACATTCTAAAATCACGGGCAACTTTTCAGATATTGTTTTAGGCTTTCCCACTCAGGCTGATGCTTTGAAACAGGAGTGGTTAACCTGTAGAGCTATGCTAGTTGGGGCTGATGGAGTTGGAGCCCAACAGCCTTGGAAGGACAAGTTATCAACCCCTGCTTTAAAATTGCCTTAAACACGCTGAATGGGAGGGAATATGTCCAGCTCCCTTGAACAGCATAGAGTTCGGTAGCATCAAGAGATAAATCTCCCCTCGCCATGAATTCCCCTCCTCACAGCTGAAGGAGCTTAGGGCATCCTATGCCATCTAGCATTGCAATAATTAGGACACTTTTGACAGTTTTGTGAAAGTTTCCAAGACTGGGTGCCCTTCACTAAAAACCTGAGTGCAAAATATTTTTTCTTCCCTTCGGAGCTAAAGGCTTGAGCTGCACATGAGAAGACATGTCAGAGAGAGTGCTTCTAATCTGAGGAGCAGATTACTCATGTGTGTGTGAGAGAGAGAGAGAGTCAGGCGCTTTAAAAAGCCACCTGTCTCCTATGAAGTTCTTTTCCTCATTTAGGAAACAAAGGGAGTAAATAACCAGCTGAAATTTTCCAGCCTTCCAGCCTGTTCCCTGGGTTTATGCGCTACCGTCCTGTCCCGTCACTGCGCAAATCACAGACACTCGTCACCACCACTGGGTGGTTTAAGCAGCACCCGGGAGGCCATTGCTTATCAATGCTGGCTCCACTTCCAGGTCTTATAAATAGCTCCACTTCATAAACAGCACCTTCTTGTCAGTCACGGCCCAAGAGGGGCCCGAATTGGGGGGTGGATCATAAATAGATTTACTCTCCAGTCCCAAGGGATCTTTCTGAGGCCCAGGAATTGCTGAGGTGCCTTTGGCAGGAAGCCAGGTTAGCCTTGTATTTTAAAAACAAAACAAAACTTCTGTAGATAGTTTCTCCTCTAGCCCCCATCCCAATGACGGGGAACGAAATACAATGCAAGCCACTTTTGAGTTTCTCTGAAGTTAATAAAAAATAAGAGTAATAATAATGAGGAGGAGGAGAAGGAGGATAATGCTATTATTTGTACCCAACCCATCTGACTGGGTTGCCCCAGCCACTCTGGGCAGCTTCCAACATATATACAGTGGCACCTTGGGTTACAGACGCTTCAGGTTACAGACTCCGCTAACCCAGAAATAGCACCTCGGGTAAATAACTTTGCTTCAGGATGAGAACAGAAATTGCATGGCGGCAGCAGGAGACCCCATTAGCTAAAGTGGTACCTCAGGTTAAGAACAGTTTCAGGTTAAGAACGGACCTCCAGAACGAATTAAGTTCTTAACCCGAGGTACCACTGTGAAAACATAATAAAACATTACACGTTAAAAGGCTTCCCTATGCAGGGCTGCCTTCAGATGTCTTCTAAAAATCAGATAGTTTTTTTATTTCCTTGACATCTGATCGGAGGGCGTTCCACAGGGCAGGGGCCACCACCGAGAAGGCCCTCTGCCTGGTTTCCTGTAGCTTCACTTATTGCAATAAGGGAACTGCCAGAAGGCCCTTGGAGCTGGATCTCAGTGTCCAGAGGGGGAACTTAAAACGTAAGATTTTCCCCCATGGCAGAAGGTTTATGGGTTTGGGGCCTATGAAAAGGGCCACAGCTCTGCAACAGAGCATATACTTTGCATGCAGAATTTCCCTGGTTCAACACCACTGATTAAAAGACTCAGATAGCAGGCAATGGGAAATACCCTTCTCTCTGAAACCCTGGACAGCTGCTGTTGCCAGTCAGAGTGGACAATATTTGTTGAGCTAAAGGCAACTTCCTATGTACCGTGATGCTAAAAAGTGAACAGGGTCTCCCACGAACTGTCAACAGCTTTAAAAAGGAGCAGCAGGTTATGTTCACATGAAAATTACTGTTATTTTAATATGACTTTTGCAGTGGATCTGCAGACATAGAACTGGGCACACCTGGGTGGTGACTCCTCACATCTTGACATGTTAGCTGCAACTAGAGCCTGTCACAACTGGTGCACATTTCAGTAATCCAGCCAATACATTGGAGCTGACATAGAAATAACGTCGAGATAATTTTTTTTGCCACACCATCCAGTACTTAAATCACCTGGGGAAACTATAGTAACCCCACTTAGACTCCTGTCATGGACAAATATGGTAAGTTGCAGTTATTCAGCTTACAAGAGACCTGGTCCCAAACTATTGAGGTTCAGGGCTTTAGTATGTTTTCTGTGCCCTAAGAAAGGAAGGAGAGGAGGTAGCCTTGCTTTTGGTGTGGCTGCTAGCCTACAAAGTAAGGGCTCAGCCAACTGATACTAACTCAACATTTGTCTTCAGACTACTCACTTGACCAGCAAAAAGGCTCTGGAATTAATATGCAGTGAATCAAACCAGAAGGGGAATTTTCTGAGCTGTTCCTCACAGCCACACCAGGGGAATATGGAAGACCTTAAAGCAGGCATGTCCAAAGTCCGTTTTGGGGGGCTAATTCGGTCCCCTGGCAGGTTTTATCCGGCCCCTGTGGCAGTTTCTTTATTGGGGTCAAATCCTAAAAAACGCTCAACAACTTCGGTCAGCCCTCACGCACGTTCACTTAATCAAATCTGGCCCTCTTTGAAAAAAGTTTGGGCACCCCTGCTAAAGGGAGGCCACCAGTCTTGTTCTCATAAAGTCCTTTATTTGCTATACATGAAGCAGCAATCATTAGTTGCTTCCTTGAGAGGTCTTGTGAAGGCTTGCCCTTTTGCTCAGGCAGGCTTGGACCCGGATTTACATGTTAGAACAAATTAAACGCAAACAGCAATCGACATCTGTGAGGGGATGTACTCTTAATTGCCTGCATAGGCCTGGCAGAATAGGAAAGTTTTCAGCAGGTGTTTACAAGTTGGCACAGGGGGCACCCACTGAATTTCAAGTGGCAGTGTGTTCCACAGGACTGAGCCAATGACACTAAAGGCTTAGTTTCTCATTGTTGTCAAAGGAGCTTCACCAATTCAGGGAATGAGCAAAGATACTCCTGCAGATGATCTCATGTGAAATCATCATCATCATCATCATACCCCGCCCATCTGGCTGGGTTTCCCCAGCCACTCTGGGCAGCTTACAGCATATATGTATGTGTTTGTAAATTGTTGTCTTAATTTGTTTTAGGTTGTGTTTTAATACTTTTGATGATATAGTCGTTGGTTTTCAGTGTGTGTATATGTGTGTGTGTGTGTGTGTGTGTGTATCAATCCAAGTTTTTTGAAATGTTAAGCAGTTTCAAAGATAATAAAGAAATAAATACAGCAGTCCCACTTTGATTTCTACAGCTTGTGATCATGCCTTGTTCATGCCAGATCCATATGTGCAGAGGTTCTACCAAGCTGTTAGATTTCCTTCTTTTTGACAAAGCCCCAGCCTGCATATCATCTGGAACACTTTTTATTCCAGCCACGGATGAGCACTGATGTTTGTATCAGCTTATCCCTTGCCAAATATACTTCAGTAGGATTTCCCCTGCAATTTTTCCCCTGAATATTTTCGCACCTCTCACAATATGTGTGAAATGACAGATGCAAATATTTAGAAAGCTTGTCAAGATTCTCTGTTCTGCCAGCTTTTCGGTTGGCAATTAGGGCCGTCTGAGATATTATGAATGCATGAGGCAGAAAATCACAAAGCGGGTGTCCTGTCCCTCTGCCTATACTAAAGCAACAACTGATCATTTGTAAACTTTTAATGGCACACGAAAAGGGGGCCTCTCAGGTCATGTCTTTTGTGGGGGGGGGGGGGGGTTTACTGGCAGCAAATACAGTGGAACCTTGGCTCCTGAACACCTTGGGAGGCAAACGTTCCGACTCCCGAACAATCGAAAACCAGAAGTGATTGTTCTGATTTTTGGACGTTCTTTGGAAGCCAAACATCTGGCGTGGGTTGGCGTGCCTTGGTCCCCAAACCATTGCAGAAGTCGAATAGACTCCCAGAACAGATTAAGTTCAGGAACCAAGGTTTTACTGTAGTCAATTATTGATCAATTATCAATCGTGGCATTGATTACCATCAGCCATTTGGGTGTCGTTGTTGTTGTTTTGCCTCAGACACCAAAATGCCTCCGTTGCGCCACAGTTTATCATTGCTGCTGTTCCAAAGAGACATTCATATTCTGCTTTTGTTGACTCGTGACTCGTAGTTTTGTTGTCTCATTTTTTAAGTTGTGTCTTTTCATGGGTTTGAATCTACTACCGTCTAGTGTTCAAGGTTGCTCGTGAAACAAGTCACTTCTGTGTGTGACTTTGAGCACTTATTACAGCTGCAGTGGAAAAGGTGGGCTAAAAAAACATAGTTACAAAAAGGGGCACCGACTTGCACGCCACATTGAGGCAGCCCAGAATCCCACCCCCTCAAGCGCACGAGCCCCCGCCTGTCGGTGGCGGGGGAGGCTCAGCCCCCTGCCCAAAAATATTGAGGGGGCCAGGGTCCCACCCTCTATAGTTGTTGCCCCTGGTTACAAAAATAAAAGAAAATAAACTTGGGAGTTTAAACTTCTTTCACATGTGGTGGACATGCAGAAAAAGTTAAAGAATATTGGGAGATGATATATAATGAGATGAAAAAATTGTTTAAAACAATGTGCCCCCCAAAAAACAGAGGCATTCTTGCTAGGAACGACAACAGCGGCTCGGATATTGTTAGCCCAAAAATGGAGGGTGAATGAGGTCCCTAGTAAGGAGGATTGGCAACTTAATATGATAGAATATGTAGAGTTAGCAGAATAAGAGAGCAAGAAGAACAGGTATTTAAAGAGGGGTGGAATTTTATTTTATTTTTAGTAAGTGGAAAATAACTGTACACAGTTGAAAACGCTGGCAGTATTAAGGTAAATTCAGCAGCTTAACATATTTAAAAGGGATGTAAAATGGGGTAGTGGTTTAGATGGATATATAAGAATATGCAGGAATTATGGGTAAATTAAAAGAACCTTGGAAGGGGAAGGAGGGAATGTATGTGTATCATGAAAGATGTTCATGTGGAAATGTAAAACCTGAAAACCTCAATAAAAATTATCTAAGAAAATAAACTGGGAGTTCGGCTGCACTGTTCAGCAGATGAGGGTCACAGAGAGAAACTGTCAGCCACAAATCATTCTGCAGGAACCTCAGCTTTGTCATTTTGGCCACGCACCTTTAAATCCTTTGTCCCTTGTGCACCAACGTTCATAATGCACACAAAAATCAAAAACACAGAGGGGAAAGAAGAAGCGAAAATATGGAAGCTGTGTCATTCCTCTCAGTGTGCAAAATACAGAGGGCCTGCCCAGCAGTGCATGTAGTTGCTGAGGGCAGCCATGTTGTTAAGGGCACCAGTGAAGTAGCTCAAAGTTCATGTGGTTGCACCTCAGCATAACCATGTGGGATCTTAAGGGGCACCACCCATGTGGTGAAACCAACCAGGTGTCAAAATATCTTTCACTATGCCTGCAAATGCCACTTCATTTGCTCAGTAAAATTATTATTATTATTATTATTATTATTATTATTATTATTATTCACACGTGTCCCACCTTTCTTCCAAGATATTCAGCCTGAGCAGGGATAAAGTCTCTGGCTGCTTACTACACACCACACATTTAAAGCACATTTGCCCCCCAAAGAATCCAGGGTTCTGGGAATTGTAGCTCTATAAACTACAGTTCCCAGGATTATTGAGGGGGGGAGCTTTAAATGTATGGTCTGTACCCAGCCTATGAGGGAGATTAGAGCATTCATGTTAACCTGTGTATTGTTTCCTACAAGAATACAGTGGTACCTCGGTTTACGAACTTAATCCGTTCCAGAAGTCTGTTCTTAAACCAAAACCATTCTTAAACCGAGGTGCGCTTTCCCTAATGGGGCCTCCCGCTGCCGGTGCCCTTCCACCATTCGGATTCTGTTCTTAGACCGAGGTAAAGTTCGCAAACCAGGACACTACTTCCAGTTTTGTGGAGTTCGTAAACAGAATTGTTCGTAAACAGGGCTGTTCTTAAACTGAGGTACCACTGTACCAGAAATGACCCTTCACTCAGAAGGACTCAGATATGGCATGACATTATAAAGAACCTGGAAGCCACCGTCAGCTTAGGGGGCTTAAGGCTTGTGGACATAACCAGAAGGCAGTGAGCCCCCAAGAGAGAGCCAGTTGCCAGAGTTTGTCCCTTCTCTTTATTCACATGTAATGTCTTCCTCTCCTTTCGGATTTATCTGGCTGCATCCACCAAAGTCAGAGGCTGTTTTATGACACCACCATTTTAAACCGGCACGTAATTTAAATCCGCGGAGACTTCTCCCATTAGGTTTGCAGGGCCTTCCCGCTGACAGAGTCCATCTGCTCTACAGAACCCACGGAATCAGGTACAAAATGGATTGATCTCCGTGTTTCCCACCGGAGCCGTGAATCTCTCTCCCCTTACAAGGAAAGGACTTTCTCTCTCTTTCTCTGAGCAATTCTGTAAAAATAACTCGCCGGGAACGAAGGGATTTATCGTTGCGGGAGACTTTATCAGCTGTCCCCCCTCAAGACCACCAGCCAGCCGCAGCTGGGCCCTGTCAATGACACAAATCTCACTCCATTTCTCTCTCTCTCACACACACACACACAAACACACTCGCATGCATAGATAGGAAGACAAACATTCGTACCTGAACCAGCCCGGAGTAACACTGGGGTGCCGGCGGGTAGACAGGCAGGCTGTAGGGGTGCAAAACCACAGCTGGAGGGGAGAGCATGGCACATAATAAAGTCAGGGCCCAACCACCCAGTCCCAAAAGGAGTCAAAAGCACCTCTGTCCAAACGGCTTTGGCACCAGCTGAGGGAGTGCTGAGTGGCAGATGGGACGGTGCCATTGAGAGACGCCAACAGCTGTTGAGAACACAAGCTCCCGTCACAAACTGCCTGGGCAAAAAGCATCTGCCCTGGGATACGGTCTCGCCAGGGACGTGCAATTTTACGAGGCACAAAGTCAACACGAGGTACGGAGGCAAACATGGCCTTTCCATTTATGTGTCGCTCCGCCACGCCGATGCTGCAAGTTCCACTTGATTTGTCAAGTTTTTGAGGGGTTGCTTATGGGTCATTTGTACAGCGGTACCTTGGGTTAAGTACTTAATTCGTTCCGGAGGTCCGTTCTTAACCTGAAACTGCTCTTAACCTGAAGCACCACTTTAGCTAATGGGGCCTCCTGCTGCAACCGTGTGATTTCTGTGCTCATCCTGAAGCAAAGTTCTTAACCTGAAGCACTATTTCTGGGTTAGCAGAGTCTGTAACCTGAAGCGTATGTAACCTGGAGCGTATGTAACCCGAGGTACCACTGTATTGGGATGTTTTGGGATGTGCTGGACACTGTAGAAGAGGGGTCAGCAAACTTTTTCAGCAGGGGGCCGGTCCACTGTCCCTCAGACCTTGTGGGGGGCAGTACTATATTTTGAAGGGGAAAAACGAACAAATTCCTATGCCCCACAAATAACCCAGAGATGCACTTTAAATAATAGGGCACATTCTACTCATGTAAAAACACGCTGAATCCCAGACCGTCAGCAGGCTGGTTTTAGAAGGCTATTGGACCGGATCCGGACCCCAGGCCTTAGTTTGCTTACCCATGCCTTAGGCCAGGGGTCAGCAAACTTTTTCAGTAGGGAGCCAGTCCACTGTCCCTCAGACCTTGTGGGGGGACGGACTATTTTTTTTTGGGGGGGGACGAATTCCCATGCCCCACAAATAACCCAGAGAGGCATTTTAAATTAAAGGACACATTCTACTCATGTAAAAGCACGCTGATTCCCGGACCGTCTGCATGCCCGATTTAGAAGGCTATTGGGCCAGGTCCGCCCCCCGGGCCTTAGTTTGCCTACCCATGATGTAGAACCTCTTCTTTTCGACTGTCCACTGTATAACCAGCTACGTAAACACATGTTACCCTCCCCACTTTGGGTAGTTTAACACCATGGCACAATGAAAATATCAGATTCTACCCGGAGGTAATTGCAAGGGTGGCTGAGTTTCTGTCAATAGTATCTCTTAGAGTGGCACTGTTTAGCAGGAAGACAATTCAATGAAAACTCCTGTTACTATATATCTTATATGGCTGTTTCTTTGTATATATGTTTTTAAAAATTGTACAGTCAAACCTCGGTTGTCAAACTTAATCCGTTCCGGAAGCCCATTCAGCTTCTGAAACGTTTGACAACCGAGGTGTGTCTTCCGATTGGCTGCAGGAGCTTCCTGCACTCAAGCGGAAGCCGCGTCGGACGTTTGGCTTCTGAAAAATGTTTGAAAATTGGAGCATTTACTTCCGGGTTTTCATCATTTGGGAGCTGAAACGTTTCAAAACAGAGGCGTTCGGGATACGAGGTTTCACCATACAGTGGTACCTCAGGTTAAGTACTTAATTCGTTCCAGAGGTCCATTCTTAACCTGAAACTGTTCTTAACCTGAAGCACCACTTTAGCTAATGGGGCCTCCTGCTGCAACCGTGTGATTTCTGTGCTCATCCTGAAGCAAAGTTCTTAACCTGAAGCACTATTTCTGGGTTAGCAGAGTCTGTAACCTGAAGCGTATGTAACCTGAAGCGTATGTAACCGGAGGTACCACTGTATTTGGATGTTTTAAGATTGTCTTTATCTGTAATGCCTATTAAAGGCTTGGAGGAAGAAAGGAAGGGAGGGAGGAAGGATTGGGATTCATTTGAAGAAGAAGAAGAAGAGTTTGGATTTGATATCCCGCCTTTCACTCCCTTTAAGGAGTCTCAAAGCGGCTAACATTCTCCTTTCCCTTCCTCCCCCACAACAAACACTCTGTGAGGTGAGTGGGGCTGAGAGACTTCAAAGAAGTGTGACTGGCCCAAGGTCACCCAGCAGCTGCATGTGGAGGAGCGGAGACGCGAACCCGGTTCCCCAGATTAGGAGACTACCGCTCTTAACCACTACACCACACTGGCTCTTTGCAGTTTATAGTAGTAGTAGTAGTAGTAGTAGTAGTAGTAGTAGTAGTAATTTATTTATACCCCGCCCATCTGGCTGGGTTTCCCCAGCCATTCTGGATGGCTTCCACTGAATATTTAAAACAATACAGCATCAGACATTAAAAACTTCCCTAAACAGTTGTTTTTTTAACGTAAAATAGTTTATTGCCTTTACATCTGCTGGGAGGGCGTTCCACAAGGCATGATTCAGACAACATACCCTCCAACATTTCTCCAATGAAAATAGGGTCCTATTCCATGGTGGTGATGGTGGTGGTGGTGATAATTTTGTTATTTATACCCCTCCCATCTGACTGGGTTGTCCCAGCCACTCTGGGCGGCTTCCAACATGTATAAAAACATAATAGAACATTAAACATTTAAAAACTTCCCTATACAGGGCTGCCTTCAGTTGTCTTCTAAAGGTTGTCTAGTTACTTATCTCCTTGGCTCAGGAGTCACATAAAATTAGGGTTGCAATACATCTGTAATTTCCCAGACCTATTCTGGTGTAAATCTGCAAAAATGTCTCGACATATAGCGGCCTATGTTGGCAGAGCCACTTTTCCATAAAAATAGGTAAAAAATTGCCTTTTTTGTAATTTTCCAAAAAAGCTTAACAGCTTTGCCAAAAAAGCTTGAAATACGGCAGCCCTACATAAGTCCATACCCTCCAACGTTTCTCCGATGAAAATAGGGACACTTGAAAATGCTTAAGGCCCTCCAATTCCAACGTAAGCCTCAGACTCTTGCATAAATGTCAGCCTTTGAAATCACTGGGACCCACAGCTCAATTCTTTTTGTTTTATTTATTTATAGAATTATTTATAGACCACCCTTCATACAAAGTATCATGGTGCCGTACAACAAAACTGAAGTTCAAAAAGCATAAAACAGAAAATAATACAGAATGATTCTACAAATGAACCTCTATTCGGAAGACCACTGTGCTCAGTAGGACTTACTGTACCTCTGAGTGGGGATGGGGGACAAATTTGATTCAGTTAGCATTTAAAACTGAATCTATCCAAAACAACATGAGAACTGAAACACAGCCCTCCTTAAAAAATAGAAATACTAATCCCGATTTTGTCATGCAGTTCTCCAAGTAACCAAAGTTGACAAAAATTCATATATTAGGGGAGAATGTGCATTAAAAAAATGAATAGATTAGTCAAGTAATACACTGAAATATATTATATTAGGGGAAATTTCTTGCAAAGATATGTACATTAGTCAAAACTGCATGTAAAAAACATGTGTTTTTAAGGGAAATTCACACTAAAATGCTAGCAAATTTTCATGAGTATCTACAAAAAAATCAACAAATTGCTGCAGAATATTTCTTCAGTGGCTCCCCATCTGCAGAATACTTTCCTCAGAGAAGCTTACCTGGCGCCTTCATTACATATATTTAGGTGAGAAGCGAGAACGTTTCTCTAAACCAGGCCTTTGGATGACTAAACAATCTATGGCCTTTAAAAGTGTGTTTGTGGGAGGCAGGTTATAGGTTTGTATTTCTGTTCTTCTGTTATGCATTGTATGGTATCTTTTAGTATTTTTATATGCCCTGCGATCTGTGGATGAAGGGCGGTCTACAAATTTAATAAATACAAATAAATAAAAAATAAATAACTGTGGAGAACCAGTTTTAAGATTGGGGGGGGGGGGAATGAGAAGCTGAGTGAACTGACCTTGGCACCTTTATCCCATAAACCCAAAATATTGGTATCCGTGTGTTTTATTATCCAAGAAATGGGGGACGCCATGCAAGTGGAATAGGCTCTTGCAGAAGATGACGGATTCCCCTTTGTTGGTGGCTTTTAAGCAGAGGCTGGAAAAGTCACCTCTCATGGGTCCTTTAGGAGCAAGATGACCTCTAAAGTCCTTTCCAACTCATTGATTCTACCCCACCCTTTTATTTATTTTTAGTCCATCTCCTCATTATATATATACCTTCCCACTCTAAAATCTGGTGACGAAAATCTTCCATCTGGCATGCTGGCAGCCACTGCTGAATATGCTTCTTTGCACTCCTGGGAGATCTGGAGGCTTGTTTGCTTCTTTTGAAAGAGAACAGTTAAGGCTTTCCCCTCCCTCTCCACAAACTTTCCATTATTCTTATCTGCTTTATCGCTGCTGCTTTAATGCCAGGTCTGGGGTTTGTTACTGTTTTCCCTCCATTGTTTTATTTGCTGTTTTATCACTGCCTGATTTTATCTGTATTGTTAATTGCACCCCGTTTGGGAAGCTGTTGGAGTGAAAAAGCAGGCTAAAAATTGCCTAAAACAAACAAGCCATTCAGGACAGCTAACACCGTAATAGCTGTACAAGGTTTCCACTTTTTCTTTTAAGAGATCTTTGTATCTAACCCTTTGTTCCACTCACCAGGTGGTGGTTAATTGTGTGGCCAGGAAATCAATCAGCATGACTCTCTGCTGCCACCTCAAGTCAAATATGGATACTAATAAGTTCATAAGAAAGCAAAGGAAGCTGTCCTCTCTCTTTTTGGAGGGTCAAACAAAATATCAGAAAATAATGAGCAAGGTTTCGCGTTCTTCTTCATGCTGGGTGCTAAGCAGGGCAAGAAGAGAGAAAAATATGGTGATGTTGAAGTCACAGGCAGGCATAGGCAAACTCAGCCCTCCAGATGTTTTCGGACTACAACTCCCATGATCCCTAGCTAACAGGACCAGTGGTCAGGGATGATGGGAATTGTAGTCCCAAAAAACATCCAGAGGGCAGAGTTTGCCTATGCCTGCCACAGAGTCGTCACAGTCTTAATAAAGGTAAAGGTAAAGGGACCCCTGACCATTAGGTCCAGTCGTGGCTGACTCTGGGGTTGCGGCGCTCATCTCACTTTATTGGCTGAGGGAGCGTACAGCTTCCGGGTCATGTGGCCAGCAGGACTAAACCGCTTCTGGCGAACCAGAGCAGCACACGGAAATGCCGTTTACCTTCCCGCCGGAGCGGTACCTATTTATCTATTTGCACTTTGATGTGCTTTCAAACTGCTAGGCTGGCAGGAGCAGGGACTGAGGAACGGCAGCTCACCCCGTCACAGGGATTCGAACCGCCAACCTTCTGATCAGCAAGTCCTAGGCTCTGTGGTTTAACCCACAGTGCCACCCACATCCCTCACAGTCTTAATAATGGAGACTAAAAATGCAGACTTCGTGGCTGACATCAACCAGATGTCTCTGTCCTTCTCTGCCCCTTAAACATCTAGTCCAAAGAGTTCTGAAGATCTCTACAGCTAGCAGACCCTCCAAGTGTCCCTATTTTCCAGGGGCCAGTCCCAGATGCACAGAAGCCACCCCAGTTTCTGATTGATCCCACAATGTCCCGCTTTCCCTTAGGATGTCCCCGTTTTCATCGGAGAAATGTTGGAGGGTATGAGGCCTACCTGTTTCTCTTACTTGCTTGCAGGAGAAGGCAGCTTTACTGCTTCATCGGTGAAAGGTTTTGTTTTTTGTCTTTCTGTGTTTTGTTTTACCGGCTGCAGGCGACCCTGACAAGAGTGGCTGCGCATGCAAAGTCCCTCCTTCCCCCAATACCCCATGGCCCACATTTGCCAGTACCCAAGGCCCACTTTTGCGAGGTGCAGAGCAAGACAAACTAGCAACACAGGTCTCCGGAGAAGACCAAAGAGCCTTGAGGACCAGAAGAAACTCCAGTTTGTTTGGTCCTTCTTGTTACCAGCCTGGGGGCCCGGTTCTGCGAAGAGGTTAAGACACTAACAGCATTATTCGCCTTTCTTTTGACCTGGTAACTCTGAATGTGTGCACTTGCTGCCCACCTGCTGCTGACCCCACCAGCATCACCACACCAATCAAAACACCCAGGTACTCCAAGTGACCCTTTCATAAATAGGGGGAAGTTTTTGTTTCTTGATACTTGTGGCTGGAAAAATCCCTCTCAGTTTTGTTCATTTTGCCTTCTGGGGAAGATACGATATACGATATATCTTTATTGTCACTGTCCCATGCAGGACAATGAAATTGAAAAACTACATAAAAACTACATAAAACATTCAAAACCCCCTAAAAACTCTAAAACCCCATTTTAAAATACACTATACTATAGAACCCCCTTATGCTGCGTTTAGAACCAGAATTGCATTTGCATAGAAACTGTTTCTCAGGCAGCTAGTCCTGGCCTTTATAACCCTATACCTTCTTCCAGAAGGCAGAAGCTGAAAGAGATCATTTCCTTTTTCAAAAACAACGATCACGAGTGTTAAGTTGTGGGCAAACATATCAGACGACAAAGCGATTCTTCAAACAGCTCTTCTTTATTCAGATGCCAGAACAGAACTAAACTGAGGGGCTCAGTCAGCCTGCTTATATAGAGCTCCAGAACAATGTAACTGTTGCCATTTTCTAAAACTATCCAATCACTGAACGTCACTTTTCGATCCTTCATTTGCATACAAAACTATCCAATCACTGAACGTCACTTTTCGATCCTTCATTTGCATAACTATCTACAGTATCCCCCTGCTGGCCCAGGGTGAGAACTTCAGTACATAACAACGAGCATTCATTCAAGTTAGTCAAGAATCCAACCTTCTGTGTTTTCAAAAAGTTAAGCAGCTGATGGAAGAGGGCAGACATCCCTTGGCCTCTCAACATTCGCCACATGTAAATTGGTGCATAGGGACACAGATCTGCTCCCTTCCACCATGATAGAGGAACATGTAAATTTGCGGGTTCTGTGTTTCCCATTTTTCCAATCTTAAATTCAGTTCTCCACATCAATTTGCTTTTTTTAAAAAAGAAAAACCTTCATGAAACTTCAGAAGCAGTTTCATACGAATTTCTCTTTATACCACTGCATGCAATTTTGACTAATATACAATTTTTTAAATTTGCCGCACAGCTTGGGGCAATAATGCTTTTTAGATGTTACTTTCACAAACAGATGCATTTTCACGTGCACCTGATTCTGTGTATTTGTGTGCACAATACTTGGCTGGGGAACCGCATTGCAAACTTTGGAAAACCACACATTGTGAAGGACGGTCATGTTTCAAATTACATCTTGTTTTGAAAACGGCGAATGAGGTGGGTTCGCCTTTAAACGAGAACGGAATGAAATTACCCTGCCCCCTCGCCAGCCATAGCCATCTGTCCCCAATTCTAACATATTGCTGGATGTTAGAACTGTAGCGTTTTGCAATTACGTGTATAAACAGATTCAGCGAGTGATTAAAGTGTTCCTATATTAGGATGCAGTTAAGGTCACCTTGCTCCTACACAACACAGGAGGAGGAAGGGCAGAAGAGGCTACCGCAGAATCATGGAATCGTTGAGTTGGAAAGGGACTCTGAGGGTCATTAGTCCAATCCCGGCAATGCAGCCCACAGCCGTCCCTGGGTGAGCTCAAACCACCAACCTTCTGGTTAACAACCAGATCCAGTGACCCACTGCACCACAACAGAGTTGGAAGCGCCCTCATAGAGCCTTAAGTGGCGTGATGGGAACATACAGTCATATGTGGTGGGATTGTCCATTAGTTAATGAATTTTGGAAGCAGATTGGTATACAAATATTGGGAATTGTGGGTAGGAAGGTGGGAATATCTAAATTAATGGTTCTTATTAGTCTGAGTAGTACCGAGTTAAAAACAAAAGAGGAATGTAAATGGGTAAAATTGATGGTAACTGCAGCCAGATAGGTTATAGCGAGTAATTGGAAAAACGCAGAAGAGTTAGGGGTGAACCAATGGAGGAAAAAACTGAATAATATTATAATTTTAGAATATCTAACTGCAAAGATACACAGAATGAAAGGGTTTAAGGTCAGTGAGAAAGAGGAAGTTTGGTTTGAGAAGATATTGAATTATTTGGGTAGGTTTGAACAATTTGGGGCAATTAAAATGTTAAAAATTAAATAAACCTTGGGGATGGAGGAGTGTTAACGTATATAAAATTGTACATATGGTTGATTTGAAGATGTTATTATTGATGATGTATACCCAATGTACCAGCCGCATGGGGGGGTTTTCACTGTTTGTGTTTTGGGTGTTGGTAAAAAAAAAAAATATTTTAAACATTTTTTTAAAAAAGTGGGGAAACTCTGGCCCCTCACACCAAATTTGGCCAGTGAGGCTGTCTCAGGCAAGGCAGGCCCACTCACCAGGCACTCAACATAAAGCGTGGAACTCTCACAAACCCAAACCCGGGTCTAAGCGGGATGGAAACCCCCGTTAGAGCAAAGTTCCCTCCCCGCCGCCTTTCCATTTCAGAAGCAGTTTCAGCACAAAACCCCTTCCTCCATCGGCAAGGGGCTTGCACTAAATCCTACCAAAACCGAGGGATTAAAGTGAGTTTGGACTTCAAAGCGGCTCAGAGGCAGCAAAATAAAAAGGGTCTTTGCTTTCGCAGCTGTTTCAAGGCAAAACCTCTTTGGGACTTCAAAGCACCAAATCCCCTGATGCCACCAGGTGATTGATAGGCAGTGGAAGGGGGGGAGCCTCATAAATATCTGGCCTGTGACCCCAAAAAGGTCCCCATCCTTATTGGGGGCCATCCAGTTGAAGCTCCTCCTCGACATATAGCTGCCCAGACTTTGCCAAAACACCTCCAGCCACCCCTCTCGTTTCATTGTAAAACTGCTCTTCCCAGTTAAGAGCATTTCTCCCAATGGTCATTCAAAATCGGCACTCCTGTAACTTAAGCCCATAAGATCTAGGCCACATTCATGCCAGGATACCCTCCAAGTGTCACGATTTTCCAGGGACTATCTTGGAATTACACAGCCTCTGCTGCCAGCCTCCTTCCTTGGGAAGGTTGTAACAGGTCCTGGAGAGCAGGCGAGGAGAAGACTGAGAAATGTCCCTATTTTCACCTGAGGAATGTTGGAAGATATGGCCCTACATTTGTGAGATGTAGTTTGTTCAAGGTGCTTAAGAGTTGTTAGGACGCGGGTGGCGCTGTGGTCTAAACCACAGAGGCTAGGGCTTGCCGGTCGGAAGGTCAGCGGTTCGAATCCCCATGACAGGGTGAGCTCCCGTTGCTCGGTCCCTGCTCCTGCCAACCTAGCAGTTCAAAAGCACAATGTGCAAGTAGATAAATAGGTACCGCTCCGGAGGGAAGGTAAACGGCATTTCCATGCACTGCTTTGGTTCGCCAGAAGCGGTTTAGTCATGCTGGCCACATGACCCAGAAGCTGTACGCCGGCTCCCTCGGCCAGTAAAACAAGATGAGCGCCGCAACCCCAGAGTCATCTGCGACTGGACCTAATGGTCAGGGGTCCCTTTACCTTTACCCTTTAAGAGTTGTTGGGTGACCCTTATTCCCCTGGCAGAGCTCCAAATTCTCTGGGAATCAAAGCTCTAGAAGAGGAATAGGGGCCACCCAACAACTCTCAGCATCCTTAACAAACTACAGCTCCCACAATCCTTCAGGAGAAGCCATGACTGTTTATAAAGTGATATCACAGTGCTTTAAATGCATGGCATGAATGTGACCCTAGCTTTGCCTTCTGGAAAAGCAGAGACCCACCCTTTGACCTCTTCTGTATAGTAGCTCTTCAGTTTAATAAACAAATGCAATAGGTAAGGGGGGGCAGGAACAGGCTAAGCCAATGGTAGCGACCAGGACCCCATGATCATCACCCGAGGCCCTTCCTCGTGTGCCTCTTCCGCAACAGGTCTGGAGAACGGGCCTTTTCTGTGGTGGCTCCCTGCTTGTGATATGGTCTCCCCAGGGAGGCTCGCCCGGCACATTCATTACAGATATTTAGGCACCAAGCAAAAACATTCTTCTTCTTCTAGACATTTGGCTAATTGAACAATCAATGGTCTTTTAAAATGGGGGTGTGGTTTTTTTAAAAATATTTAAGCGTTTTTGTGTTTTGGTATTGAAAACTGGCCTGACGTCCTTAGAGGAAGAGTGATATAGATATTTTAATAAAGATACATAGGGTTGCCATACGTCTGGATTTTGGCAGCCCATGTCTGCAGTGAGGATTTTGCCATTTATCCATAAAAATAGCTCAAAAACGGCATTTTTTAAAAGTGATTTTGCGCCCCCCAAAAAGAAAAAGAAAAAGCTCAACAACTTTTCTGTCCGGATTTTCACTGTTTGAAATATGGCAACCCTAAACGTACATGAATAAATAAATATACTTTGATGAAAAAAGAGGGCTAGCACCAGCATACGAAAAGAGTGTCTCTGTTTTCATCTGTGAAGCGGTGGGGACACACAAACACTCACTCACTAATATAATTAGCAACACAGAACTGGTTTCTTACCTGCAATAGGCAACCTTTCCCACTCCACTCATGCATTCCCCGACACAGTCACAGTGACTCTTCCAAAACAAGAGGCTGACTCTCCCTATGCAAGCAGGTGTGACTCCCTCCGCCCATTCCAGGGAAGAAGAAAAATACATTCCACGCGGAACAATCACAAACTCCAGCACACGTTTTATTGGTTTTGCATCATTTAGTTTTTCCTTCTTTTTCGGTTTCCAAGAACTTAAAAAGGTTCTTGTGTTTTGGAAGAGGGCGGATATTTTCCTTGTCAGGAAAAGTACAGCACACATTGCTAAACAAAGCATAAAGACTGGAAGGATTATTACGTGGGGGGGGGGGGCGAGAGAGAGCTGGGCAAGGTACTAGCCTCACTTCCTGACCGCTGCGGAAAAGCTGCGCAGCTCCCACTCATTTCTGACCTACTGCAAGGGACGCCATGTACCCCTTTGCAATTTTCCTCCCGGAGGATGAGAAACACACCTTTTTCCTTTAAGAAGACTCCCTCCACCCACAAAAACAAAAACAAAAACCTACCTCTTCCCCCTACCCCAATCTAACCTGTGCTTTGGAACAGGTAGAAATCCAACAGACAGATTTTCCCCAACACCTAACATTGTTGGGAGAAGCTTCCTGGTTGAATTTATGTTAGCCAGCAATTACGGGCCCAGGAGTTAAGTGCTTGCAGCCCTGCATCTCTGTGCAAGCCAATCTGCGACTCCAGCCCAATAATTCCTCTAGCCAACTTCACCCCGGTTCCCCAGATGTGCTAACAAAATTGCACTTTCACACTCCTTTTCTCCCTCTTTTTCCAACTTCACTCGTCAAGACAGCCACTCGAGAGTTCTTAACCCCATATATCATTCCTACGGCCTTCTGCAGGAAAAAAGAAAACGAAATGTCCTGCAAATTGCCCCTCCCAATATCCTCCCTTTGGAGGCACCCGGCACCTCACCCCAAAATGAAGAGGCGGCAGATTTAAGGCAAAAGGCAAAGGAAGTCCTCACTTAGCCCAAGGAACTCACTGTGATGCACTAGCAGAAATGGCTTTTCACGAAAGGGATCACGTATAAGCAGAGAAGAGAGGTCTGCTATGCCATAGTGGCTGGAAGCAGAACCGGGTAGTCAGACACATTTATATCATCGACTGCCACATGCCAGGAAACGCACAAGGGTTGGACAGAACCATCATAGCCTGCCTGTAAAGCTAGACACATATACACACACACACACCCTTCAAAGATCTGGCTGGTCGCTGTTGGAAGACATAGCATGACTCATCTCACAGGTCTTAACTGGTCGCGCCAGGAGACCTGCCACCATTTGGGCACTGCATCCTTTATTCCACACTGTCCCAGGACAGGCCAAGTCTTTAAAAAGCAAGGGGGAAGCTGGGGACTCCTATTTCCTGGAGAGGGGAAGAGGACGGATCTCGTACTGTCACTCCCAGACTGGCAGTGTAGAAACGGGAGGACGTGCAGCTTCTTCCTCCCCCACAACGCATGCAGCAGCCAGCACAACAGGGTGGGGCAGAGTGCTTCAGGGCAGGCCCCAACGTGGATCCATAGGCACCAGGGGTCACCTGACTGTGCTCAGCCAGTTCCCAGCTTCGCTCGACTCATGGGGCACGACCAGCAGCAGCTCGCAAGGGCCCTGGGACAGTATTTCCTGCAGGAACACCCTGTGGTGAAGAAGAGGGAAGGAAGAAGAGGTCACGGACAGGAATGTAGAAAGCTGCCATTGGTCTCTCTAGCTCAGTACTGTCTATACCTGAAGGAGCGTCTCCACCCCCATCGTTCAGCCCGGACACTGAGGTCCAGCTCCGAGGGCCTTCTGGTGGTTCCCTCGCTGTGAGAAGTGAGATTACAGGGAACCAGGCAGAGGGCCTTCTCGGTAGTGGCACCCGCCCTGTGGAATGCCCTCCTATCAGATGTCAAGGAAACAAACAACTGTGATGGAACCTCTACTCACAACCACAATCCGTTCTGGAGGCCCATCTGGAAGTCGAAACGGGTTGCTGGGAGGGGCGCCGTTGTGCGCAGGCAGCAATTGCCCGCTTCTGTGCATGCGCGAACGACGATCGACACTCCTGCACATGCGCGAATGGCGGCAAACCTGCTGGTTACTCCCGGGTTTGCCGCGGACGTTAGGCGAAATGGACGCGAGCGGAGGCGGACGTAAGAAGAGGTTTGACTGTATCTGATTTCTAAAAGGCACAAGCCTTCTAAGACATCTGAAGACAGCCCTGTTTAGGGAAGTTTTCAACGTTTGTTTTATTGTGTTTTTAATACAGCGGTACCTCAGGTTAAGTACTTAATTCATTCTGGAGGTCCGTTCTTAACCTGAAACTGTTCTTAACCTGAAGCACCACTTTAGCTAATGGGGCCTCCCGCTGCCGCCGCGCCTCCAGAGCATGATTTCTGTTCTCATCCTGAAGCAAAGTTCTTAACCTGAGGTACTATTTCTGGGTTAACGGAGTCTGTAACCTGAAGCGTATGTAACCCGAAGTACCACTGTATTCTGTTGGGTGCTGCCCAGAGTAGCTGAAGAAACCCAGCCAGATTGGTGGGGTATAAATAATAATTAATTAATTAATTAATTAATTAATTAATAATTTATTATTACTCTTGACTAGCAATAGCAATTTGGGGGTTTTGTGCAGGGGGCGATTGCTGGAGACACCAGCAATTGAATATTCTGGGATATTCTGCACAGAAGGCATGTGGTCAAAGGTCCTTCCCCAAACAGGATCTCGCAGGGTCTCTCAAAGCGAACTCCAAACACCCATTGACGGAATTCCAGTTGCAGAACCGGCGCAGCACAAAATAGCCGTGGCTGTTTACCAAACTTCACCCTTGCCTTGCTGCCAGCTCACACCAGAAGGAAACTGCTCATTTTGCCTGGCACTAGTAAGACTTCCAAGTGGGGTGTAGCGTTTCAAGAGGAGGAACAAAATTCCAGGAGAGTTACTGGGCTGGTCTTTATCAAAGGCCAAAAGGCACTGCAGCGTCTCTGGGGAGTAGCTGGCTTACCGTGGCTTTTGAGGGCAAGAGGTTATATGCTTTGATGCTGTAGCAGCTGTTTAGATTATGGATGACATTCATGTCTCACACCCCCAGATGAGCAGGCTGTGTTCTCCACGTTCCTACCATCTTGTGCCTCCTCGCGTGGTTAGCTTGGTTGATCCTGCAATGACCCTTTTGCTCAGTGCACACCTCAATTTTAACACTCTATTCCATGAATCCGATGAAAGAATGGAAAAAAAAAAAATTGCCTGCACGATCTCTGGCTACAAGAAGTCGGTCTGGTTTTCTCAATTTAGTTCCTCTTTAATGACTTGCCTTTGCACCATCAGGTTTTCCACGCAACTTACAACCCAAAGTCAGTCACATACATTCTGAAAGTGGAACACACAGCAACAGAGCCAGCAGCGCCACAGCCTAGTGACGGAACACATGTGCTGCTTGCAGAAGGGCCTTTAGGTTCAATTCCCAGAATATCCAGGTAAGTACTGGATGAGATCTCTCTCTGAAATCCTGGAGAGCTTCTGGTGGTCAGTGGAGGCCGGGAAGGGGGAACCTGTAGCCCTCCAGATTGTTGCTGGACTACAACTCCCATGATTCCAGACAACTGGGTTGATGGGAGTTGAAGTCCAACATTCTGGAGGGTCACGGTGTCCCCATTCCTGGTGTAGACGATACAGTGGTACCTCTGGATACGCACACCTCTGGTTGCGTATTCTTCGGGTTATGCACGCGGCAAACCCAGAAGTATTTTTCCAGGTTTCGCCAGGCGCACATGCGCAGAAGCGCTCTACGCACCGCACACATGCGCAGAAGCGCTCTACTGCACATGCGCATGTGCAGAACAGGCACCTCTGGTTGCGAATTCCTCGGGATCCAACTAGAGCTCCAGAACAGATCCCATGCGCAACCGGAGGTACCACTGTACTTAGTTACATAGACCAATGCTCTTATTTGGTGCAATAATGCTAGAAAAATGCAACCTGTGTTGCTGATAGAAGTAGTGCGACTCACGCAACACGTTGGCGATTAATATACACAGAACAATAATGATACATACTTTATCAACCTTCTGAGAAAAATACAAAACGAAGCCACAAAGACTTGCAAACTACCCAGCCTAAAATGAACTTATAATGTCTGGTTTCAATAGATTTTTCAAATGCTTAACTCAGACTTTTGAATAAGTTCATGAAGATACCAACAAAAGGTAAGTTCGGTGATATTCACGAGAGATGCTAGTAGAGTTGTAGACAGAGACAGGGTGTCGGTGTTTTGCACCTGTTTCGCCCTGGCAGTCCAAGTAATCAAAAGGCCACTGTTCACCCCCAATGGGGCCCTTTAACTGGGGCTTGCAGGTAGCACACTCCCAAGATAGTTTTCCGGGCTTCTTCAGTGGTCTAATCTCAAAGTCTTGGTGCAAGGCAACTTATTTGGTGCAAGGCAACTGCTTGTGATTGTAACAGGTAGGAAACAAACGACCTATCACATTATTATTACCTGTCAAAAGTTCAGCAGAATGAAATTGTTTTTAAGTCGCTGCTGGACTGACATCTTATCCTCTTGAAAAGCCAAGGGCTCCCACTCCATCAGATTTCTTTTCTTTACCATTTTTAATACGTATAAAAATCGTGGGTGGCAAATGCCACCTTTAAAGCAATTACCTGCTGTCCGAGAAGAGTAAATGCCTGCTCTGTGACACATCCACCTTGTGAAACGAAGCACTCCAGGGCTGCTGCTATTTCCTCATGAGCAACTGGAATCCATATGCTAGCCTGCCCCTTACTCGGAAGCGAGTAACACTGTGCTCAGCTGGTGCTGCTCACAAGTAAGGACGCAAAAGGACTTCACCCTCAGAACTCTTTAGCAGCCTGAGTTTTAACACAGTGTCTGCAAACTGGGAGGATGGTTGCCAAAAGACTCGCTGGAAAAAATATCCCCTAAGCTGGGGCACTACCATGAAGACAATTTATCTCCAGTGACCACCCATCTATCCTCCCTGGAACCTGGAAAACAGCCTCAGGACCTCAGGGAAAGGGCAAGTTCCTACAGGAGAAGGTGGTTCATCATCATCATCATCATCATCATATGCTGCCCATCTGACAGGGTTGCCCCAGCCACTCTGGGTGGCTTCATTAAAACTTCAAAAAAGCCATTAAAAACTTCCCTGAACAGGAGTAGGGCTGTCTTCAGATGTCTTCTAAAAGTCAGTCAGTTGGGCATTCCACAGGGCAGGTGCCACTACCAAGAAGGCCCTCTGCCTGGTTCCCTGTAGCTTCACATCTCACAATGAGAGAACCACCAGAAGGTCCTCAGAGCTGGACCTCCGTGTCCTGGCTGAACAATGGAGGTGGAGCATTCTTCAGATACTCTGGCCCTAAGCTATTCTGAGCTGGTTTCAGGCGTTGCCTCTCATCAGTGGCAGAAACAGAAGCACCTCTTCTGCAGCATCAGTAGTTGCAAATAGAAAAATGGGGCAACATTATGGTCCCTCTGGTCCATTTCCCCAGTCTAACTCTGGCTTAACCCATCATGCAAAGGGTATCATCAGACAGATACACAAATGGGGAGTGGAAGAGACCTGACTGCTTTCCAGAGCAAGACATTGCAAAGTACCTCGGGGCTGGCTTCTGCCTACCCATCCTGCAAAGGAGCCCTACTTTTTAGCCTCATTTTAAAATGGCTTTTTGCTCAGGATTCTGGGCGCAGTCTTCATCGAGGAAGATGTTTCATTGAATCAGTTCATCTTGCCACCTGTGTGTCTGATGCAAGACTGCATCAAGGTCACAGTGACTGTGCAGAAATCCACAGAGCACATATTCCAGCACATAACCCTCCAGAGCTGGTGTAATATGTTCCCGGGACCCAACAAGCTGACAGAAAATCTACCCTTCTGTATCCAGGCAGTTTTTGAATTATTTATTTTTTCAAACTGGTTTTTGACCTGGGTCTAACAAATCCAATTTGGCTGAAGCATCATAAACTGCAAAAACCATGCATGCCTGGATGAAATCTACTAGTGAGGTGTGTGACTCTAATGGTTGGTATTAGCGTGACACAAGCTGGCTTTGCCATTTTTTATTCTGTACTCCCAATTCCCAAATGCAGTGGACACTCGGGTTGTGAACGCGATCCGTGCGGGATGCACGTTCGCAACCCGCATCTGCGCATGCGCAGGTTGCGATTCAGCGCTTCTGCGCATGCGTGACTGCTGAAACCCGGAAGTAACCTGTTCCGGTACTTCCAGGTTTTGGTGGTCCGCAACCCAAAAAAAGCAACCTGAAGCGGCTGTAACCCGAGGTATGACTGTACACCATATACTGTTAAGCCCGTATTTTATTGGCAAAGGGTTCTTACGCTTATGTTATACACTCCACTTGCAACCATGTTTACATGGGTCACCACGTAATTAATAAATTAATTGGTCCTCTCTTGCTCAGGGCTGCTGCTCAGAAATGAGCGGGGGAAGGTGTGCCGGGCAGTGGCCCTCAATATGGGAAGACTCGGGAAAGGCTGGGCAGTGATCCCGAGCGACTTCCAGGCAACAGCTGCAGCGGCGTATATGAGTCTCTTTCTCTCTCTCCTCCCCACACGCCCTCCCTATTGAAGTGGGGTGGTTCTCCACTTTATGCAATTTCACTTATGCGTGCGGGGGCCCAGAACACAAATCCCGCATAAGTGTGTGGGGGAGGGGGAACACCTGCAACCTTCTGAATAAAGCATTGCGTTTATCCTTGCACAGCTGCTTGAAGTGAACTTGGTTCTGAATCCCATACCTGCCTGCTTTGTCACACGCTGCCGAGTTCCCTTGTGTAACTCAAAAGGCAGTGAGTGGGCTGTTTGGCTCGTGTCTTTGTGAATCCCAAAGATGTCCAGAGAACAACGTCAGTTTCCTCTGAGCTCAGGAATGGGGGGGGGGGGCTACAGAGGTGGTGGCAGTAACATCTCCCAAATATATCTCTCTCAAATATGTCTCTCATGCTGGCAGCTCAGAGTAACAAAACCATAATAGTAATGATAAATTTATTATATAATGTATTATTTATACCTCGCCTATCTGGCTGGGTTTCCCCAGCCACTCTGGGTGGCTCCCAACAGAAGATTAAAAGCACGATAAAACATCAAACATTAAAAACTTCACTAAACAGGGCTGCCTTCAGATGTCTTCTAAAAGTCAGATACAGTCATACCTCGGGTTACAGCCGCTTCAGGTTAGGTTTTTTTAGGTTTTTAGGTTCCAAAACCCGGAAGTACTGGAACGGGTTACTTCCGGGTTTTGGCGGTCGCGCATGTGCAGAAGAGCTAAATTGCACTTTGCACATGCGCAGAAGCGCAAAATCGCAACCCGCGCATGCAGAGACGTGGGTTGCGAATGCCATGGGTTGCGAACGAGCATCCCGCATGGATCACGTTCGCAACCCGAGCATCCACTGTAGTTGTTTATTTCCTTGACATCTGATGGAAGGGTGTTTCAACAGGGTGGACGCCACTACCAAGAAGGCCCTCTGCCTGGTTTCCTGTAACCTCATTCTCGCAGTGAGGGAACCGCCAGAAGGCCACTGGAGATGGACTTCAGTGTCCTGGCAGAACGGGGGTTGAGACGCTCCTTTACATGTTGGCAGTGGCGAGATTAAAACTACACAAACTTCTTTTGACCACCTCGAGTATTCTTGGGACCCGTGTATCTTCAGGCTCCTCCTCCTGTATATTCCTTCTCCATCTCCACCTTTGCTCTCTCCCACTGCCGAATGACATACCATGAACAGCTACTAGAAGCCAGGCTTTTTTGATAACAGCACCAACCTATGGACTCTCCTTCGTTGGTGGTTTTTAAGCGTAGGTTAGTTGGGCATCTGCCATGGAGGCTTTAGCCAAGTTCCCTGCATTGCAGGGGGTTCGACTACATGACCCTTGGGGTCCCTTTCCAACTCTACAATTCTGTGATTCTATGAATAACTTTCCAAGGAAAGCTTGTCAGGACCCAACGCTTCATACTCTTCTAGATGCCTGGCAAAGAGAAGACAAGACTATGCCAGAAGCCTTTGAACTGAGTTTTCTGATGCTCTTGTTATTTAAGCAACGTTTACCTGCAAAACTGGTGGTGTTTCGTTTTCCAATAAGTTTATAATGTATTTCTTATTTATTGCCGAATAGCCATCTAGCAGGAATGCTATGGCAGTGGATTCCTTTAAATCAGCAAAATGAGCTTTAAGGTCTTCTTTCTCACACTATAAATTCTATTCCATTGCACAATCTGCTTTGGTGTAAGACAACTCTGATTTGCTTTGGGGCGCGAGGAAGATAATGGAGGCAGGATATAAAGTATTTAAAAATAAATCACTGGGACTACACAGTAAAGGTAAAGGTAAAGGGACCCCTGACCATTAGGTCCAGTCGTGACCGACTCTGGGGTTGCGGCACTCATCTTGCTAATTTGGCCGAGGGAGCTGGTGTACAGCTTCTGGGTCATGTGGCCAGCATGACTAAGCCGCTTCTGGCGAACCAGAGCAGCGCATGGAAATGCCGTTTACCTTCCCGCCGGAGCGGTACCTATTTATCTACTTGCACTCTGAGGTGCTTTCGAACTGCTAGGTTGGCAGGAGCAGGGACCGAGCAATGGGAGCTCACCCCATTGCAGGGATTCTAACCGCCGACCTTCTGATCGGCAAGTCCTAGGCTTTGTGGTTTAACCCACAGTGCCACCCGCGTCCCTGGGACTACACAGTAGTCGTCCCCAAACCAGCCACAGCAGCAGTACCTGAGGTCAGATTCACCACCGATTGGAGCCGGCCCCTTCAGCTTGGAGTCAAGGTTGTAGTAGGTGCCGTCAAGCTGGCGCACAGCGATCCAGTGGCGGCGCCTCACTGGGAGGGACAGGAAGCCCAGACACACGTTGGACGGGACATTGATGATGAAGCCAAGAACCCCTTCCAGGGAGAGCTGCTCTAGGGGCCTAAGGCACAAAGGGAGATGAGACTTGTCAAAGAGGATATGATTCTAGAGAGAGACACAGATTCCTCAAGTGACTCGTAGAAACTCAATGGTGTCGAGCTGTTAGGAAGCTAAAGCAGGTCTCAACCAGGGTGGATTTCATTTAAATCACTAGTCAGTAAGACTTGATTTAAATCTTTCATTCTTTCTTTCTTTTTACAGAAAGACTAATTCTTGCTGGTATAATCTTAATATTTACAACCAGGTTTCAGTTTTGGAATAATGAATTTTCAGAGTTGTTTTTACAGTTATATAAAAAATTACTGAGTTGGTTATACTATTAGAAATACACAGACCGATAATTACAAAATTATTGTGAGGTTTAATAAGTTAACTGTTTATATATGGACAACTTTTCTACCGTACTTTATTGGAAGGAGTAAAATAATCATTTCCTGAATAACAATGTAAACAATTTATTTAACTAAAACAGTAACATTATAGCACATGTATCCATGTTTGTTAACTGATGTGGTTAAACAATTAAAAAAAAAAAACTTAGACGGAGTTTTAGCACACATGAAAAACTTAAACATGTCCTTATTTCCTGATGAATAGCCTTTGGACTATAATGTAACTTAAATACAAAACGATCTTTAGAAAGATTTTTCCTCCAAAAGCATTTTATTTTAAAAATCTGATATATTTTTTTAATCCACCCTGGTCTCAACACAGTCAGTCCTTGGGAGAGGAGGAGATTATCTGGGAGCAAAATGTCACTTCCACATTCTCCAGAATTCCAGGTCCAACTTTTTAAATGGGAACAATTCACGGTAGAGGACAACAACAAAAACACCATATGGCAGGCATGTCCAACTCCCAAGAGACTGCAATCTACTCCCACTATAACCAAACTGTTAGCGATCAACCCATTGGATTGACCAAAGTTGTTGAGATTTTTAGGGGGGAAGAAGACCAGGGACGCCCCGCGATCGACCGGTAGATTGTGATTGCCCTGTTGGACATGCCTGCCCTATGGGGACTGCAATCATATCAAAAGAGCAAATGGTGGGAGATTTCAGCGGCTGCCTCTAGTTCCATGAGACTTTGGCCTTCCTTACTCAACATTGCAGTGCAGACCAACTTACCTCGGGTGCTCGCAATTCATCTCCATATGCACAGGTAACATGGGGAGGTGAAACGCGGAGACTTCCTGCTGCCTTGAACCAGCAAGAGCCCCTCCATAAGCTCAGCTGACGCCAATTGGCTGCCCTCTTTCTCTCCAAACGCTCTCATTGCAGTGGCCACTCCATCCAGTTATTAGACCTGAAGATGCTATGCAACTCTGCTTAGTTTCCTTCCCCCCTCCCCGCCTCTCCCTTCACTTCTCATTTTGCTTTCCTTTCATATAATAGAATTGCACCTTAGATTGCCCCCAGCAATTTGGCAGAAAGGCATCCCATAAGCATAAGAAAGAAAGAAGCTAAACGAGGAAGGTGGAAGAGGATCTGCCAATGGGAGGGAGAAGAACAGGAGCGTGGCAAGTCGGCCACCGTAGCAGTGGCAAGCTGAGAGATGATGGGGAGCCTGCAAAGTCACCTGCGCCAGGGGAAGCAGATACACAACACCAGGCAAAGGTTGCTGCTCTCCTCACCTCCGTTTGTCCCACCAGATGGCTTCTAGACCCACACTCTGAAGAGCTGCCATGATGACGTTGACATCATAATTCCCGGTTCCCAGAAAGCTGCGGTGCGGGTTCCACCTGGCATCTGGGGCCAGCCTGTTGGAGGGAAGGAAGGAGGGACTCGCTGTAAGAATCAGAGGGCTGGACACCAGTGAAAGAATAAGGCACAGGGAAATTCTTGGGATCAGAGTAGGACCCATATCCGAGAATTACTGTTTCAAATTATTATTGTGTACCCCACCCATCTGACTGAGTCGCCCCAGCAACTCTGGGCGGCTTGCAGCATACAGTGGTACCTCGGGTTAAGTACTTAATTCGTTCCGGAGGTCTGTTCTTAACCTGAAGCACCACTTTAGCTAATGGGGCCTTCCTGCTGCCTCCGTGCTGCCGGAGCCCGATTTCTGTTCTTATCCTGAAGCAAAGTTCTTAACCTGAAGCACTATTTCTGGGTTAGCGGAGTGTGTAACCTGAAGCATATGTAACCTGAAGTGTATGTAACCCAAGGTACCACTGTATATAAAAGCATAGTAAAACATTAAACCTTAAAAAGCTTCCCTATACAGTGTTGCCTTCAGATGTTTCCTAAATGTTATATAATTACTCATCTCCTTAACATCTGATGGCAGGGTGTTCCACAGGACAGGTGCCACTACCACAAAGGCCCTCTGCCTGGTTCCCTGTAGCTTCACTTATCGCAGTGAGGGAACCGCCAGAAGGCCCTCAGAGCTGAACCTTAGTGTCTGGGCTGAGCAATGGGGATGGAGATGCTCCTTCAGGTATACAGGGCCAAGGGCATTTAGGGTTTTAACCACATCATGTTGTCTCTCCTCAATACCCACCTTCTCTGGTCAGTACAACCCCTTAGTCCGTATGTATGATTTAACCTAAAAACATCATTACTGAATTACATTGCAAACTCCCCCAGCCCCATTTCCATCTTCCTCTGTCAGATGCTATATTGTATTCTCCAAGAGATAGTCCTTTCTTTCTTCTATTCTGTAAAAGCACCAACCCAATGATGTTACTATGTAGCTGTTGTAATTTCTTTTTTATCATCCTGCAAATTTACTCATTTATTATCAACCTGCAGATTTTTGGTTCTCCTAAGTTTGTGCCGAATAAAATATGTGCATTTCACACATCCTGTTCTCTTTCTGCCCGTTTCAAGTTTGTAGAAACTTGTCCCCAGAGAGAGTTACCCTCAAAATATATCGAGAATAAAGGATGTGTACTTCTTTCTATTCAACTGCCTCCTCTGCTTTTCCAGAGAAATATTATACCCCAGGGAGGAGTGCTTGCCCCGAACAATGTTGTATAAAAATGAACAATCAATCAACAGATCTATACGGCAAAAGAAGCAGTATTTCAGATGCCGACTTTACACCTGTTCCATCCGCTGGAGTGGCTGCCGAGTGCAAGATATATATCTGCACTGTGCTAATTAAAGTACCGCGATGACCAGTGGATTTAAGTGACTAAAGGAAACAGCATCTCCCGCAAAACACCTTGGGAGTTGCCCAGTCCATCCATCAACTGTCAAGGACACAGGTGAACCATCCCTTCGGTGACAGGCATGCAGAATTAGTGCCCTGCCCTAGTCCAGCGCTCCTGAATTTAAAGGCGCACTGGCAGGTCCATGCCAAGCGGAAGGGGTGATGCGCCACCATGTGCCGATGCAGAACCGTGTTTTAAAGATGATTCACTGAAAGCTAGTTAAGCACAAGTTATGCCAAACCTCACACGCAGTGTTCAAAATTAGCCATGGCTTTCGACCACCTTTGACTTGGAGAAGATGCCTGGGAGCCAGGATGATGCCTGACACGTCCACCATCTGGAGGCGGATACCTGGGGATCATTGGATCGGGACTGTTTCTTTCACCCACTAATGCCCCATCCTGTAGAATTCCATCAGTTGTTTTTTATCCGCACAAGGAATGAATTTCTGGAACCAAAATGCTTTTTCTGGGCAGCCTGGGCAGGAACAGTTACCATCAAGAAAGAGGTTGGAATCAGCCTATATATATATATAGGGACACGGGTGGCGCTGTGGGTTAAACCACTGAGCCTAGGACTTGTTGATCAGAAGGTCAGTGGTTCGAATCCCCACGACGGGGTGAGCTCCCGTTGCTTGGTCCCTGCTCCTGCCAACCTAGCAGTTCAAAAGCACATCAAAGTGCAAGTAGATAAATAGGTACCGCTCCGGTGGGAAGGTAAACAGTGTTTCCGTGCACTGCTCTGGTTTGCCAGAAGTGGCTTAGTCATGCTGGCCACATGACCCGGAAGCTGTACGCCGGCTCCCTTGGCCAATGAAGCGAGATGAGCGCCGCAACCCCAGAGTCGGTCACGACTGGACCTAATGGTCAGGGGTCCCTTTATCATATATATATATATATATATATGTGTGTGTGTGTGTGGACTGTCCCTGCATCAAGGTACTTTTCTTCTTTAAGTTCTCAAAGCTCTTAACCTAGCTCAAGGTTGTCATCTGATCTAGCCAGATCTATAACTGAGAATCAATCACAGTCAGTCCATCATTTGAAAAATAAGACTTTAGAGCTGTCTTGCCCCAAAATGGCAATGAGACATTCCATTATGGCAACTGTAACTTTGGTTTAAAGAGCTGTTTGGCACCTAGCTTATATATCTGCGTTTCTAACACTGCTCACATGCATTTCATGGTACTGTGGGGGCTGTCTATGGGGTTCTCCAGCAGCCAGCCTGGAGGTTCTAATCCTCAAGGCTGCCAGATTTGGGGGGCACAGCAGGAAATATGAAGGAGATACAGCCTTCGCCTTCCTCTCCCCCTCCCTCCTTGAAAAAACAATTGACTGTCGGGGAATTTTAAAAGGCGACTCTAATAAGCCATTTACAGAGCTGAAAGGCTGTTAGGGCATTGATAAAAGGATCCTGCATGCAGAGAAAAGTCTCCTCTGGGAATCTTGAAAGCAGATACAGAGGTATTAGCAAGAGGCGAAAGCACAAGACGTTCCAGCCACTCACTTCTTGCAGATCTCATCCGCCGCCTCTTGCGTGAAAATTCGTTCCTGCAGGACGTTGTTGAGGGCATGGACGGCACACAGCTCCAGCCGCTGCCGCTCATGGTAAACCCCAGGAGCTTCGTTTCGTCCGGACCCGGACATCACATCTACACAGGTCCAAGAGGTTCTTCCTGCAAGAGATCAGCCCTGCAAAGAAAGTCCAATGATGAAATCACAGAAGACAGAGAAGGCAGGCAAATCAATGCAATTGCATTAGTGAGCTACTGCCTGGCTGGTAGTTTCACATCAACTATGTGTTCCCTGGCCTTTCTCACATTGGCCCCTTCCCTCTTTGCCCGTTCTGTCTCATCATTTCCCTTACCCTCTCAAGCAGCTTACTTTGGTCTTCTCGGCTACCCCTTTACCTACTCTGAACCTCTTTTAAGTTGCCCTAGGCCTAACACCTTCTCAAGTCACCTGCCTTCTCTTCTACTCATCTCCAAGGCATTCCTACCTGCCACACCCCCTCTCTTGCATCACAGCAACTCAGCCAATGGCAGCCAGAGACTCTCCTGCCTGCTCCCACCCGACTCCAGCATCAGGGAAGTCCCAACCAATCACTGCTGAGACTTCGACCATCATCAACAACACCACAGAAGCCACAAGTGCATAACGACAAATGTGAACTTCCATGGCAGAAAGGCAGTATCTGAATTCAACAAATAACATGCCCCCTCAAAAATGAATACTCCTAAAGTCTAAGAGATGGAAGAGAACGAATCAAAACGCATATTACTAAACCACACAGAAATCAAATATTTTAGCCACTAGAGCAGTAAAAAAAAAAGAGTGCTTAAAGAAATCACCACCAAGATGCATTTATTGGTGAAATTTATTATTTATTGATGTATTTTTATACCGCCCTTCAATGCAGCAGTCACAGGACAGCAGACAACTAAATAACATACAACAAAATATAATACATGATACAATCGTTACGATCAAAATTCACATAAAATTCACGCAACTAATGTAGCTGCAGCATTAAAACTGACTTCACCGAAAGCATTTTGAACCATTAGGTATAAAACAGTCATTCCTCCACAATATACAGCAGAACTCTGTCTACTCTGATGTAAGTCGTATTGAATTCAATACTCCTGGGTAAATAGTGTTAGGATTGCAGACTAAAGGCACTTAACGTTTAAAGATCAAAACCGTTTTCCCCCTTCCACCCTGCTTTATTTTGTTTTAACAGGAACAGAAGAGCTCTACTGCAATTTGCTAAAACTATAATTGCCCAAACCAGTCCTCACTAGCTAAGTTCCCCGGGCAAGCAAGGTAATGCCAGCAAAGCAGTGCCAATTCATGTCACAACTGTACTGGCTTTTTAAAAAGGTCCCCTAAAATACAGTAGCTACCAGTATACATGCTAAGAAGAAAGACACAGGGCTGCTGCATTAAAACTGAGAAAGCAGGTCCGCAGAAGCTAAGGAACCCCCAAGTTACACCTGCCTTTTAATTCCAGTGGTCCTACTCTGAGTGAAGACTAGCATGGGGAAGGGAGGTATATTGGTTCATTTCGTTTTGTGTTTCCACCCTGTATTTTTATGCTGTAAACCGCCCTGAGATCTACGAACGAAGGACGGCATCCAAATTTAGTAAATAAATAGGAAGTTGAGATAATTCGAACCTGTTTTAGCATTTTAACTTCGTTACGTTTCAAAGCGCCTGGATTTTATTGCCTGATCTTCTTGCAAAGCACTTTGAGGGCTGCTGTTTTTCTTTGAAAGCAAGCAGCGTATAGATTTTTAGCTAACTAAACGAATAAAACAAACAAACAACATCGAACCCCCTGGACAGGAGAGTTACCGGTAATTCCCCATGCCCAAAGTGTGTTTCCAAAAGCAATTATAAACATATTATTAAAAAGTCTAGCGGCCTACATGACAGCTGGCGGCTCACAGTCTTCTATTTCACCAGGAAATTTTTCCTAATCCCAATCATAGATACAACCATATTACTTTTGTATATATTTTTTAAAAACCAGAGAGAGAGAGAGAGCTTACAGCTCACAGTCCTTTCCTTTTCGCTAGAAAACTTTCCCTAATCGCAATTTAATAGGTTGCTGCACTGGGGGGTGCTGCTGATCCTTCCCTGGCAGGCTGGCAGCACTCTGTACATGCTCTAAAGCGCAGTTGTTTTAGTTAATCGTAAAGCCCCCAGTCTTAAAAGAAACCCTCCCCTGTTGTTGTTGTTGTTGTTGTTTTTAAATCCCCTTCCCCAGTCAGCTTAATAGCCTGGCCAACAATACCCAGACTTCCCAGGAGGAGAAAAATAACAATAATAATAACAATAAAAGCATCTTACCCTCGCGAAGCTGGGACTCCAGCAACTAAAACTCCGCACCGTGCCCATCCCCGGGAGCCGCTTCCTTTGAAGGCCAGGCTGACAGTGCAAAGGGCGTGGGCGGCGAACTACCATTCCCGGCGAGCATCGGGAGAGGGCGGCGGGACTTCAGCTCCCGGCATGCCTCGCGGCACCGGCCGGAAAGAACGCTGCGAAACCTCCCTCCCCCCCCATCTGCGCCGGTGACGTAGCCACGTGTGGGCGGAGACGAAGTGAAGGCGCCGTAAAGCGCGCTATGGCAACGGGGTGGCAATGCAGTTGAATGGCCAATAAGGCCAAGCAAATGTAAAAATGAAAATAAAATTAATATAATATAGTCTAGGAGAGTGAAGAGAAAGAGTCAACGCCCGGTCAGGGGCAGAAGGGCAGGGCTTCTGCGCCGGAGGGTTACGAGCACCTTTGAATTTACCTTGCAAATTCCTCATTTGGAAATAGCTTGGGCAGGTGCATGTCTATAGAGACAGTGGATAGTGCAAACCGTCAGGTGCGCTGCTGGATCTTAGCTGTCAACTTTTCCCTTTTCTTGCAAGGAATCCTATTCAGAATAAGGGAATTTCCCTTTAAAAAAGGAAAACGTTGGCAGCTATGTGGTGGATCAGTGCTTAATGGTTATTGTGTTTGTTTAAAAACAATAAAACGGGGGGAGGTTTGAAATAATTTTTATTTGATTTAATACGACCATATAAATCCACATTTAAAGATTCCGGATTTACGTATAAGATAAAGAAGCTATAGCTTAGAGCCCCACTCTCTTGGGGGCCCCCTGCAAAATTAGGAGTCTTTGTAAATTGTGTTTCTAAAGGAACGTTTGTTATTGCCAAATGCCAGTGGGTTTGCATTATTAAGTTTGTTATGAATAAAATATTTGAAGTTAGAGCTTAATAATTATTTCACTATTAATATACTTCTTACAGTGGTACCTTGGGTTACAGACGCTTCAGGTTACAGACTCTTCTAACCCAGAAACAGTACCTCAGGTTAAGAACTTTGCTTCAGGATGAGAACAGAAATCGTGCTCCGGCAGCACGGTGGCAATGGGAAGCCCCATTAACTAAAGTGGTACCTCATGTTAAGAACAGTTTCAGGTTAAGAACAGACCTCCAGAACGAATTAAGTTCTTAACCAGAGCTACCACTGTAGTTGTATTACAGTTCAACAATTACTTTGATAAAATACATATTTTGTTATGTGCAAAATGGCTTTAGATACCTATAGCATATATTCAACACAAAAAACAGTGTCAATTTGTTGTTGACACAGGACAGCTGGACATATAGAGCCCATTACCTTCAGAAGCTTAGAGCCTCATCAAACCTAAATCCGGCCCTGCCTCTGACAGTAACAATTAGGAACAAAACAAGCCAAAAGTTCACTAAGGAATGGGAGTGCTATAAAAACTTATCTAGAAAAACATTGTTCTCAAATAAAACCTTTATTCTGCTTTGATTAATTTTTGCAAAAGACAAAAACAGTTATTATAACCAAACAATCTAATACCAAGAAGTGGAAAACATCTAAAGAAGGCAGTTAAGGAAAAGGAAAAATTGACTCAAATTGAGGTGGTGGACGGAAGTGAACCCAAAAGATTAGAATATTTAAGGTTTGATAATTAAATATAATAAGTATGAGGAACGGGTGGTGGGAAAGATATTTAGTGGCTATGCAATTTTTTCTTTATCTCTTTTCTTATGTAACTGTTTATTCCTAGGTGTAGCTCAAATTAAGGATGGAAGATGTATATGGATGTATGCAAAACAGAACTTAATAAAAATTATATATAAAAAAAGATTCCTCCAAACCTCTGGACTTCCCACCTTCCCCACTGTGGGTCCTATTATTAACCTTTTCAACTGCATATTTTTTTCAATAGACCATATTTAATACAACTCCATTATCTCCATAGTACTTGCTACATTACAAGTGTTATTGCAATCCCGCTAGTGTTTTCATCTGCTTACACTGGTCTCCAAGATAAAGGTGTTTGTCAGTAGCAGTCTTGGAGCCTCTCCTGCTTAAATTCCCTTTTCTATGCAGCTGTGGGTATATTAGGAGCCCTTGTCCTCCTTCTGCCCATCTGCCCATCCTAATAACACGTTCCTGGAACGGAGTCTTCATTTGTGCAATTTCCAGCCCACTAGCAGAAATCTCGGGGGCGCGGGTGGCGCTGTGGGTTAAACCACAGAGCCTAGGACTTGCCGATCAGAAGGTTGATGGTTCAAATCCCCGCGACGGGGTGAGCTCCCGTTGTTCGGTCCCTGCTCCTGCCAACCTAGCAGTTTGAAAGCACGTCAAAGTGCAAGTAGATAAATAGATACTGCTCCGGCAGGAAGGTAAACGGCGTTTCCGTGCACTGCTCTGGTTCGCCAGAAGGGGCTTAGTCATGCTGGCCACATGACCCGGAAGCTGTACGCCGGCTCCCTCGGCCAATAAAGTGAGATGAGCGCCGCAACCCCAGAGTCGGTCACGACGACCTAATGGTCAGGGGTCCCTTTACCTTTACCTTTTAACAGAAATCTCATGCTTTTCAAGAGCTCTGACAGACAGAAGTTCCACAGGTGCAGCTCATGCTACCGCTGCACCTTTGTTAGCAGAAGCTGACTGTTGGTGGGCGCCTGTCCGGAAAGGTGGCAACACTTAAAACTTTCATAGAGCTCTGAAAGGCCAAAATTGAGGCACATCTTCCTAACATCTGACATTACTGCCAACTATATGGTGTGGATTTGGCAAGAAGGAACTAGCAGGCACACTTCTTACTTTCCGCAGTCATTCCTTCTTGGCTGTGCACTGCAATGTCCGACATAACCAAAACAAAAAGGGAATTCCTTAACTTCCCATGGACTTCTCTCCTTTGTGGGTCCTTACGTTAACTTTTTTCCTCTGGCATCTTCTCTGTTAATCCAATTCTTCATTCTAGGCAACTGCAATTTGTTTAATTTTTAACACATTAGCATAGCATGTAACATACATACGTATTATCAGAATAATAATATGTCTTACAGCAGGGGCAGCCAACACGGTGTCTCTGGATTTTTGGACTACAACTCCCATCATTCCTAGCTATTCACCATGTTGTCTGTGGCTGATAAGAGCTGTAGTCCACAACATCTAAAATACCCCATTTTGGCTAACCCTGCCTTACAGAGCCACTGTCGCAGAGCTAGCGTACCCCCCAAACAATGTTTGAAGATCTCCAGCATCTCCACCACTCCTGTAGCCAATTGGTCCCATGGCTGAGCAGGTTCAGTCTCAAGATTCAAGCTTCAGCTAGATGGGCCAGAGCTCTCTAGCTTGGTACAAGGCAGATTCCTACATTCCTACAAAACCTATCCTCCTGTAATTTAAGCCCATTTGATCTAGTTCTGCTTTTGTCTTTGTGACAGTTCTCCAGGTGTGTGTTCTAATGACCACTCAAGATGACCATCCCATTTTTCTTCGGCCATTTGTAGATACAGAGCCTCACAACCCGCTGTGTATTCAACAAAGCGCTCCTCAAAATGCGCTCTTACAATGGCATTCTAAAGGCCCATTATGAAATTTAGTGTACCCTGATGTGGCCATTGAAATATATTGGCTTCCCCTCACTTGGTGCTCTCCCAGCCCAGTGAGGGGCAGCCAATATATTTCAATGGCCATTCTCAGTCATTCGTTTTAGTGTCTCCCCTTCAAATGTAGTACAGTGGTACCTCGGGTTACATACGCTTCAGGTTGCATACGCTTCAGGTTACAGACTCTGCTAACCCAGAAATAGTGCTTCTGGTTAAGAACTTTGCTTCAGAATGAGAACAGAAATCATGCTCCGGCAGCAGGAGGCCCCATTAGCTAAAGTGGTGCTTCAGGTTAAGAACAGTTTCAGGTTAAGAATAGACCTCCGGAACGAATTAAGTACTTAACCCAAGGTACCACTGTATTTCATCCTCCTACAAATGTGAGGCAGTCTTAACTGATGAATCAGGCTGCATCCCATATTATTAATAATATTATTTATTTAACTGCAGTTCTATCCCACTATTTTTCAATCATGGAACCCCAGGCAGCATAAGATTCCATGATCCTGTAAGTGTGGTTCCCTGCTAGTGACCCATCCAGCCATTGATCAAACCCAGACCGCTTATCTTCAACAAGATGGTCTCCTTATGTGCCTTCAGACGATACCCTGGACCCTGCCAATAAACTAACAGCGTGAGCCTAAGCATATTTTACTCTGGGAGTAAGTGCCATTAAATTCAGTAGGCCTTATTCCTCTGTGAGCCTGTTTAGAATTGTAATGCAAGTCTTCCTAAGTTGGGTGGTAGCCTCTAATCAATAATAAACAGTGCCACGTAAAAAAGAGAGAGAAATTGAAGTATTAATGAGTATTTTTTTTAAAGGGAAGGGGAAAGGGGGGGGGAAAACGAGCCAGGTTAAGAGGCTTCTTTCCTCATATATTCTTATAATTAGATATTTAGTATAACAGTTGAGGAAGGCCAGTCAGATTATCTTGCCTGGTCTTTCCCCACATCTCTTCCATTTTCTCTAATTGACAATAATATGTGTTCCGCCTGCTCCTCAATCACCGGGGGATATTTTAACTCGCCAGTGTTGCAGCAATATTACCGTGAGTGGCACTTGGAAGAGCCCTTCCCTGTTCCTCTAAAACACCCTTGAATCATATGAAAGACTCTTGAGGGCATCTCTCTAATAGGCCAAATGGGACTTGCTCCTAAGTAAGTGTACACAGGACTGCAGAATCCAGATTGCTTGTGGATGGCGGGTGCGAGACAAGAAGGCTGCTGGAAATGGAAGGAGGCAGAGATAGATGGATGTTTATAGAGTTGATGGATTAAAGGCGTGCAGGGGGTTTGAAGCTGGTATGTCTCTTCTTTCCCGGCCTTCTCAGCTCCCTACAACTGAACCTCTGGCACCCACAGAGATCGTCTGGGAATCCTCTAGAGAACAGATGCAATAAAGCTCAGCACAGATAGACTCGGCCTCCGTGGCCTTGGCACACTGTGGAAAGGAAAAGAAAAGTCAGAGCCCAAAGAACTGCCAAACCCCATCGCCCAACAGGGCCACTCACGATGGAGAACAGAAGATGAACCGGGCAATTCTATACACTTCTGCTCAGAAGTAAGTCCTATTGTGTTCAATGGAGTTTGCTTCCAGGTGAGCGGATGGAGTTCGCTGTTCCCATGCTCAGGGTGAGTCCCCCCCCCTTAGGGCTTTCCCCCACTAAAAATGATGATGATGATGGGTGCTGCAAACCTTGGGTTCCCCCAAGCCTGCAGATACCTCCCTTTTTTGTGCACGGAGGGTTCTGCTTTGGCTACATAAGCTTCACAACATAGAAAATGAGTTTGCTATTCGTATATAACAGGGATGGGGAACGTTTTCCAGCCATGCAGAAGTCATCTGTTTCTAAACACACAGCCCTCCAATCCAGGCAAGGAAGGGGTGTCATCACAGTCGAAGAAGACATTCTACAGCAGCCTTTCTCAACCTGTGGGTCCTCAGATGTTGTTGAACTACAACTCCCATCACCCCTAGCTAGCAAGGCCAGAGCTCAGGGATGATGGGAGTTGTAGTCCAACAACATGTGGGGACCCACAGGTTGAGAACCACTGTTCTAGAGGTTGTGGAGCAGGGACAATGCAAGCTGTGGTCAGGGGAGGAGATGTGGGCTGGGAGAGCACCAAGCAAGGTGTGCAGACAAGCATTTGGCCTCGGAGGCCCCAGGATCCCCACCCCTGGGACATAGAATACCACCTGCATACTTTCCCTTAGATCTCTGTAACGGAAAGAGCCAGAAACTGGCTCTGTACAATGCTACAGCAATGGATTGACGATGCAGTTGGCATTAAGAGCAGATGCTCCAAGTGTCCCTATTTTCCAGGGACAGTCCCAGATTTACAGATGCCATCCCGGTTTCTGATTTGATCCCACAAGGTCCTGCTTTTCCTTAGGACTTTTCCTATTTTCATCAGAGAAATGTTGGAGGGTATGGAGTTATGCAACCCCCAAGCCACACGAAGAGAAGTTGTTTTAAATGTTTAGTGTTTTATTAGGTTTTTATGTATGTTGGAAACCACCCAGCATGGCTGGGGCAACACAGTCAGATGGGCAGTCTTATTCTTACTCTTATTCTTATTCTTATTCTTATTTTTAGTATTGAATATGACTTCCCTATTTTCACTGGAAAAATGTTGGACGATATGCAATAGTGTAAATAGTAAATAGTAAAATTATTATTATTATTATTATTGATTAAAGTAAAGGTAAAGGGACCCCTGACCATTAGGTCCAGTCGTGGCCGACTCTGGGGTTGCGGCGCTCATCTCGCTTTACTGGCCGAGGCAGCCGGCATACAGCTTCCAGGTCATGTGGCCAGCATGACTAAGCCGCTTCTGGCCAACCAGAGCTGCGCACGGAAATGCTGTTTACCTTCCCGCCGGAGCAGTACCTATTTATCTACTTGCACTTTTGATGTGCTTTCGAACTGCTGGGTTGGCAGGAGCAGGGACCGAGCAACGGGAGCTCACCCTGTCGTGGGGATTTGAACCACCGACCTTCTGATCGGCAAGTCCTAGGCTCTGTGGTTTAACCCACAGCGCCACCCACGTCCCTTTTCCACTTTTCCTTAGGACTTTCCTATTTTCATCAGAGAAATGTTGGAGGGTATGGAGTTATGCAACCCCCGAGCCACCCAAAGAGAAGCTGTTTTAAACGTTTAGTGTTTTATTAGGTTTTTATGTACTGGTATGTTGGAAACCACCCAGCATGGCTGGGGCAACACAGTCAGATGGGTGGGGTATTATTCTTATTCTTATTATTCAATATGACTTCCCTATTTTCATTGGAGAAATGTTGGAAGGTATGCAATAGTATAAATAGTAAACAGTAAAGTTATTATTATTATTATTGATTAAGACGTCCCTATTTTCATCGGAGAAGTGTTGGAGGGTACAAGGATGCAGTTAGCATTAAGAGTCATGATCAGAGCAAAACGTGGCACCATCATATTGGAGAATTAGGAAGTGGGGAAGTTGCTGTCACACTCAGATCTCGCTTACAAGCTTCCCGTTGGCGCTTGACTGCCCTTCCTGAGAACAGGATGCTGGACTAGGGGGTTTCATCCTCACCTAACAGGCTGCTCCAGAAAGCGGCAAAAGTGGCTGCCCCTGTGACGGCCCCACAGGCAGCTGGGTTCTTGCGCTTCGTGCTGACGGAGAAGCCACCTTGTCCAGTGGCATCGATCTCCACCACGTGGTAATCGGGGAGGCTGTGGTGGGGAAGAGCAGTCAGTTAGACTGGAGCTTTTAAGTAGGATGCTGGCAGGCGCCATCAGTTTGCCAGCATTCCCACCCAGGCGGCAGGCAGAGGCCAGGGACTCACTTGGGGTCAGCTATAAGACAGCCTTTCACACCGTCGAAGCCCAGGCTGGGGGCGGCCATGCAGGCTGCTGCCATGGTGTTGACGTTGTTGGGAGCCAAGGGACACAATCTCCGCACAGGGCCGTCGTAGAGGACCACGCGTTCCTGCTGGGCACCTTTCGCAAGCTCCCCCAGGTGCCCACCCACTCGGAAGCTGCTGGGGTGTTTCACCATTGTAACAGTCAATGCCTAGAAGATGGAAGGATAAGAGTCGGAGAATTTGCCTTCCAGGCACTTAGATCAGAGGTTTTCAAGGGGTGTGGTGTGACAGAAGAGGATGGCAAGTGTGACAGGGAGATTTAAGGAACCATCAAAAAATAGTTAAACATTTCAGTGTACAGTGGTACCTCGGGTTACAGACGCTTCAGGTTAAAGACTCCGCTAACCCAGAAATAGTACCTTGGGTTAAGGACTTTGCTTCAGGATGAGAACAGAAATCGCGGTGCGGCAGCAGCGGGAGGCCCCATTAGCTAAAGTGGTACTTCAGGTTAAGAACAGTTTCAGGTTAAGAACAGACCTCCAGAACGAATTAAGTTCTTAACCCGAGGTACCACTGTAGATAAGAAGAAGAAGAAGAAGAAGAAGAAGAAGAAGAAGAAGAAGAAGAATGTAGCCCATATGACTTGGTTGCCCAAGCCACTCTGGGCAGCTTCCAACAAAATATTAAAAGCACAATAAAACATCACCCATTAAATAAAAAAAAATTCCTTCCAGTAACACCTTAGAGACCAACTAAGTTTGTTATTGGTATGAGCTTTCGTGTGCATGCACACTTCTTCAGATACCTAGAAGGAGTTTTTTTATTTTGTTTCGACTATGGCAGACCAACACGGCTATCTACAGTATCACCCATTAAAAACTTCCCTGAACAGGGCTGCCTTCAGAGGTCTTCTAAAAGTCAAATCGCTGCTTATTTATTTGCTAAATTCTGGATTAGCAATATTTCATAATAGGGCATGATTTAAGAGTATGTGATGCAGTTGGGCATCACCACCTAGTTCTGTCATGAAATAAAGCCAGGATTACAATGTAAACAAAAAACGTATGTTTTTACACTGCTTGAAGACCTTTTTTGATGAAGTGGTTTATAAATCTGCAATCAATCAAATCAATTCTGATAGTTAATATACTGCCACACACCCCTTCCTCTTTCCAGTCTTCCCATTTACCTACTCGCACTGCCAATGCGATGCCCCCCTCTGGGATCTTACCTGAAGTAACCCTCCGTCATCCAACCTCTGGATGTCTTGTCCACCCCATAGAGCCCCACTGGGGATATAGAGGGTGTGCCCGGCCTCTCTTGCAGCTTTGCGTAATTTAAGCTCGGTGTCTAAATCTGCCAAGGCCGTTGGCGATCCCACCTAGGAGAATGTAGAAACGTTTACTTTGCAGCTGCTGGTGTTGGGAAGCTAGAGGGAGAATGATGATTTGGGTGCAGACTGGCTACACCTCCCCATGTATTTAATGGCAAATAATTTATTTTGTTGAATGCAGACAGAATGTGGGAGAAATTAGCATCTGACCAGAGCAGTGGGGTTGGAAGGAAGTTCATTTTCAGTGGGATAAGCAGTGGGGGTGGGCCTGTTAGGATTCTTTTCCCGTGTTGCAGTCATGGGATTGTTTATATCACATGATGGTGTATGTTTTCATTCCACAATGTGGGAAGTGACGGAGACAGGATGTTTGTATTACTGTGTTTCCGTGATGTAGGTCATTTGTCCTTTGTCCTTTCTCTTTGCTGCCTGATGCTGAAGAGGAAGGAGCTGAGTTACGATGCTCCGAGTGTACATACCGTATTTTTCGCTCTCTAAGACGCACCAGACCTTAAGACGCACCTAGTTTTTGGAGGAGGAAAATAAGAAAAAAAATATTCTGAATCTCAGAAGCCAGAACAACAAGAGGGATCGCTGCGCAGCAAAAGCAGCGATCCCTCTTGCTGTTCTGGCTTCTGGGATAGCTGTGCAGCCTGCATTCGCTCCATAAGACGCACACACATTTCCCCTTACTTTTTAGGAGGGAAAAAGTGAGTCTTATAGATCATAAAATACGGTATGTAAATAAACATAGTTTAGCTAAATTGCTGCACTACTGAATCTGAACGCTTACTGCCTATACTCTGCTGATCCTGAAGTGTGCTGATGCCTCTTTGTATCAGTCACTGTGATGTTTGGGCTGGAGAAAGCTTTTGAATCTCCCGAACGAATGACCAGGAGGGAGAGAACATGCCAGTTGGGCGTGTGTCTCTGCCGAACTCCTACTTGTGTGTAGGACCTCCTGACAGGGGCAAGGGTTTTAAGAAGGGAAGTCCTAGGAGGAGACAGGTGGGAACAGAGACATAACCAAAGTCTGGAAGACACCATGTCAGCCACCTCCAGTGTAGTTAGTACTGAGCAATGGGGGATCAATGAGTGCCCTGATTAAACATCAGGCAGCTTCCTAGGTGTGGAAAGAAAATGTAAAGCAGGAAGGGGAGCCCTCAGGATCTCAGATCTGATCCATTTGCCACCTGTTGAGATTCAGCATCCAAGTGATGGACAACCATGCAAAGCGTACTAGTCGAAATCACCCTCCACTCTCTCTTTTGAAGAAGAGATGGAAGCACCATCTGCGACTGTTGTGTGGTTCGATTCCTGCCTCCCATTTCACAGGCATCTCCCAAGGGCAACAGAACCATCAACATCATCTATTGAGCCAAAAGTTAAATTGGGGTTTTGTTTATTTTTAAGTGATTTGGAGCAGCTGCAGAACTGTTCAGGTTTTTTTGGATTGTGCAGGCTTTAACCACAAGAGCATATAGGAAGACAAAAGCAAAATCTATTTGCACAACACGGTCAAGGCTGAGATGAGAAACTTTTCCGGCAGAAGCGGCAAAAGACAGATGCTAGATTTGTGAGGTTTGAATCGTGGGCGAGGGGTGGAGGGAGGCTGAATGAAAAGGAACATGCATGTTCCCTTAATAAGACAAGCCCAAATTGTCTCTGTTTATTGCAGGCCTTCTGTCTGGACACCAGAAATCATCTGGAGTGTTTGGAGGTTGTTGTCTTTTGTCTGGTCCCTATAAATAACACTGTGTGATGTTTAAATGCTCCTGTGGTTATTTTTATAAATTTCTGAGCTCTAGACCAGAACTATGCTGTTAGCAGAACAAAACAAAGCTTTACAAAATAAATAGGTGAGAGAAATCTCTCTCTCTCTCTCTCTCTCTCTCTCTCTCTCTCTCTCTCACACACACACACACACACAATGCACACAATGCCAATGGCTGGTCACGGTAAAACTGGTTCACAACGACACTATTGCACAGTGCAGAACCATTGACAAATGTAAAGAAAGGGCAAAATCTGCAGGACTGTTTATGTTATACAAACAGCATCAGAACAGCCTCACTTAAAATTTGCCAGCCCAGAACATTAAAAAATAAATAAAAATGAAGCCAGCTGCCAACACATGGTTAGGTTCATTTGCTTCCAGGTGACTTGCATATTGACAAGCTGGAAAGTGTGCAGGGGAAGGCAGCCAACATGATAAAGGGTCTGGAAGCCTGATGAGGAATGGTTGAGGGAGTTGGGTGTGTTCAGCCTGAAGAAGAGAAGATTGAGAAGCGACATGGTAGCCACCTTCCAATATCTGAAGGGCTGTCCCATGGAAGATGGAGGAAGCTTGTTTTCTGCTACTCCGGAAGGGAGGACCCAAACCAATGGATGAAAATGACAAGAAGGGAGATCCCGAGAAAACTTTAGGGAGAACATTCTGAACAGGCCAGCTCGGAAGGTGATGGACTCTCCTCCTTTGGAAGTTTTGAGATAGGTTGTGTTATGTACTGAAGTTCTCACCCTGGGCCAGCAGGGGGATAATGTAGATAGTTCAGGTCCACATATGCAAATAAGGGATCGAAAGTGACGTTCAGTGATTGGATAGTTACAGAAAGTTGTTACAGTTACATTGTACTGGAGCTCTATATAAGCAGGCTGGCTGAACACCTCAGTTCTGTTCTGACCTGTGAATAAACAAGAGCTGTTTGGAGAATCGCTGTGTCGTCTGATATGATGGGTGGGCATCCGTTAGAAATTCTTTAGCTGTGATTCCTGCATTGCAGAGGGTTGGACTAGATGGCCCTTAGAGGTCCCTTCCAGCTCTACAATTCCATGATTCTATGACTGAGGCAAGAAGCACTTCTCTGGATGCAGGTGGCCCCTGGGGCGGGGGAAAGTTATGGAACACTCCCCCCAGACAGACTCACCTGGCAACTGCAATAACACCTTTTCTGTGTCAAATGAAGACCCTTTTTATTCTCCTAGCTCTTTCAATACTACCTGTATCATGCAATTTAGATCTTTTGATGCTGGGTTTTAGGCTATGTCATATGGATTTTATGCTGATTTTGTTGACGGAGGAGATATTTGTTTGATACTGGCTTTTGCTTTCTTTGGATTCTATTTTCTATTCTGCCTTTGAAATAAAAAGTTTTGTATATCACCCAGGGGATTGTGTTGATGGGAAGAATAAAAATGTGTTTGGGGCAGGGCAGAAATGTGGGGGGGGGGGAGAACGATGATTCTCATTGAACCAAGCCAAGGTCAGAAAGGCGATCTAACTAACCACACCTTGAAGGGGCTGTCCTGGTGCCAGATGCCTCTTTCTGAAGGCACCTGCAGGCCTTACCATGAAATCTGCAGCTTTCAGAAAGGACTCCCCGTGATCTTGGACAATGCAGGGATGGGCCACTTCAATGATGACGTCAGCCCGCCTTTGGAGAGAGGAGAGAGGCATGGTAAGATGGCTGGGTTTGTAATTGTGCCAAGGACATTCTGGATGAAGGTCCAAGCCAAACTTTAGTGGCAAGTGTGGGGAATGGCAATCTGGTCCCCCACCATAGCTGTCAACTTACAGATTTGAAAATAAGGGACCAGCAGACTCGAAAATAAGGGATCAGCAGCCAAAATAAGGGATTTTCAGAACACAGGTATGTTCAACTTCTGAGCCCCTCCGAGCCAAATGCAGAAAGCCCAGCCAGCAGCCAAACAAAGCCTCAAGCGGTGGTTCCCACAGTGCAGCAACCCGGCAAAGGGGATGCAGCAAGGAAAACCACTGTCACCTCTCTGCTGGGAAGCGCTGAGCAAAGGCGAGTCCCCAGGCAATGCAGCCGATTTGATTGGTACAAGGCATGCAAGCTCCACCCCCCAGTCGTTCTTAGACTCCTTATTGGGTGAGCAATGCAGCCAAGCAACACAGTTGGAGCCTCCCTCCTCCCTGGCCGGCAGGGAGGGAGGGAGAGGAGCTGCTTCCTTTGAAACCCGGGAAATTTAAGGGACATCATCAATAAGAGACAGCAGCGGGACATGGAGCTGGGATAAGGGACTTTCCCGCCAAATAAGGGACGGTTGACAGCTACGTCCCCCACCCTGAAGTCCCCCATCTTTGGACGACTCTGATTTGCAGCTCTCCAGACTTTTCTTAGCCCTACCTGGAGAAGCTGGGGATTGAACCCAACTTGCCTGCGCACTGTCTTGCCAGGGTGGTGCATGCCCAGGTTATCTCCCACTTGCACTACTGCAATGCGCTCTAACTTTGAAGGTGACTTGGAAACTATAACTAATCCAGAATGCGGCAGCCAGACTGGTGACTGGGAGCGGCTTCCAAGACCATATAACACTGGTCCTGAAAGACCTACATTGGCTCCCAGCACGTTTCCGAGCACAATTCAAAGTGTTGCTACCGACCTTTTAAGCCCTAAAAGGCCTCGGGCCTGTAAACCTGAAGGAGCGTCTCCACCCCCATCGTTCAGCCCAGACACTAAGGTTCAGATCTGAGGGCCTTCTGGCAGTTCCCTCACTGCAAAAAGTGAAGTTACAGGGAACCAGGCAGAGGGTCTTTTCGGTAGTGGCACCCACCACGTGGAACACCCTCCAATCAGATATCAGGGAGATAAGTAACTATACAACCGTTAGAAGATATCTGAAGGCAGCCCTGTATAGGGAAGTTTTTTTTTAATGTTAAATTTATGTATAAATATATGTTGGAAACCACCCAGAGTGGCTGGGGCAACCTAGTCAGATGGGTGGGGTACCAACAACAACAAAACCTTTGGCATGCAAAGTATCTGCTCTGTCAATGAGCTAAGGCAACATTGTGAATGGTCAGTGCAATCCTAGGACTGCTTACTTGGATGCAGAGATGGGGGAGAAATGAGACTCAATTCACATTTTAAGGTAAACCTACATAATTCACACTTTCCAAAATGATATATGAACTGAAACACATCCTTTGAAATTCACATTCCTCTGAATTTTGCAAGGCAGTTCTCCAGGTAAGTGATGTGTATGAAAATATGAAAATAACATATAAAAATATATTAGGGGATGTTTCATTGCAAAAATGTATATATTATACAAAAAATTACCAGTGTATTGTCTATTAGAAGAAATTGCACTAAAATGCTGGTGAATTTTCATGAGGACTTAAAACATATACAGTCGTATCTTGGAAGTCGAACGGAATCTGTTCCAGAAGTTCATTGGACTTCCAAAGCATTCAACTTCCAAATGACAGCTTCTGATTGGCTGCAGGAAGCTCCTGCAGCCGATCGGAAGCCACGGAAGCCCAATCAGATGTTCGGCTTCCAGAAGAACACTCGAATACAGTCATTTCCGGGTTTGGATCATTTGGGAGCCAAAACCTCCGACTTCCAAGGCGTTTGACAACCAAGGTACGGCTATATATACTGCATTTTTCGCTCTATAGGACGCACTTTTTCCCCTCCAAAAATGAAGGGGAAATGTGTGTGCGTCCTATGGAGCGAATGCAGGCTTTCGCTGAAGCCTGGAGAGCAAGAGGGGTCGGTGCGCACCGACCCCTCTCGCTCTCCAGGCTTCAGGCAGCTATCCGCAAGCCTTCTGAGCACGGCGGGAGTTCCCGCCGGGCTCCGAAGGCTTGCAGATAGCAGCCTGAAGCCTGGGGAGCGCAGCGCCAACTCCCTCTGCCCGCTCCCCGGGCTTCAGGCAGCTATCCGCAAGCCTTCGGGCTCCAAAAGCTTGCGGATAGCAGCCTGTTCTGGGGGCTGGGGTCGGGGGAAGCATGGGCTTCCACCGTCCCCAGCCCCGTGGCTGGGGGGGAATAATTGTTTTTTTTATTTCCCCCCCTAAAAACTAGGTGCGCCGTATGGTCCGGTGCGCCCTATGGAGCGAAAAATACGGTATATCACAGGCTGATGCAGAAAGGTGGGGCAACCAAAATTTAAGATTGCAAAAAGTGAAATTGACCGATAAATTCCCCCATACTTGGATGTGAGTGCCAGTGAGATCGATGAGACTTACTCCCAGGTAGGTGTACAAGGGATTGCAGGCTGAGTGTTTATCTCAAAGTATTGTGGCATGGGCATAGCCAAGATTTTTGTATGGGGGGGCAGGCCTTTTGTTAGGGGGGCAGAACCTCAGCTATGTATTTTTATCTATTTGGGGGGGCAGCTGCCCCTCCCTTCCTCCTCCTTGGCTACACCCATGGTTCATGGTGGTTCATTTTCTTTATCCTCGCCATTACACACACACGTGTGAAAGCAGCCAGCTCCTGGCTGGGCTTGCTTGCTCACCGCTCCAAGAAGTCTGTCAGCTTCCCCAGCTGCAGCTCCTCTGGCACTATCCCCACCAGCTTCCTGGCATCCCGGTTCCAAACAAAGGCCAGCTCCAGCCCATGTCGGAGTCCGTCATCTTGTAGCCGTTTCACCAGGTACTGGCCTGGAGACAGAAAGTGGAACAGAAAAGTATCACAGATCCAGGAACTTGGCTCTGTGTCTCAAACACCTGCTGCCCCGTCAAATCTGTTTCTTGCAGAGGCACGAATGCCCGTCTACTAATTCCTGGCACCATTTCCCAGGATTTCTCAAACTCTGACACAGACTAACATCACAACAAAGACAGAGAGAGAGAGAGAAATGGTGTTCTCTTAAGATGCAGAGCTCATTTTTGTCCTTTGGGTGGCATCTTTTCGAGTTCCCAGCGAAGGAATCAGTTTCCATGCCCTGTTTTGTGAGTGCCAAGAAAGATCTGTCTGGACACAGTGGGAAAACAGGAAGATATTATTCTGATCCTGCAAAGCAATTATTTTCTTCTTAAAGAAGTAATACATTCAGAAGTACAGAAGTACCTCAGGATGCGAACGGGATCCGTTCCAGAGCCACATTCACATCCTGAATAGAACGTAAGACACGGCGTGTTTTGCCGCTTCCGCGCATGACGTCATTTTGAGCGTCTGCGCATGCGTGAGTGGCGAAACCCGGAAGTAACGTGCTCTATTACTTCTGGGTTGCCGCGGAGCGCAACCCGAAAGCGCTCAACCTGAAGCACATTCAACCTGAGGTATGACTGTAAAGGTAAAGGACCCCTGGATGATTAAGTCTAATCAAAGGCTCATCTCGCTTTCAGGCCAAGGGAGCCGGCATTTGTCCACAGACAGCTTACCGGGTCATGTGGCCACCAGGACTAAACCGCTTCTGACACAAGAGAACACCATGATGGAAACCAGAGTGCACAGAAACGCTGTTTACCTTCCCGCCACAGCAGTACCTGTTTATCTACTTGCACTGGTGTCTGCTAGGTTGGCAGGAGCTGGGACAGAGCAACGGGAGCTCACCCCGTCGCAGGGATTCAAACCACCAACCTTCCGATTGACAAGCCCAAGAGGCTCAGAGGTTTAGACCACAGTGCCACCCTCATCTCTGTACATTTAGAAGTAAAGAACTTCCCCACTAGCTTTCACCTGCAGCACAAATCAATGGTAGGGCAACACAGAGAAACAAATAATTTAGCAGGAATGAGGAACTTGCGCCCTTCCCAATGTTGTCGGACTCCCGTCAGCCCCAGCCAGGATAGTCAATGGTCAGGGATGGGTGGAACGATCCTTCAGGTCTCTCAGTTTCTCAGCCACTCTGGCCCACAAACTCACTGGTGCAGAGAACTCTTATCACCAAGTTCGTGGGCCAGACCTCCAAATGTCAAATGAAAATAGTAATATAACAAGTATTCTGAGAATCATCAGGTCTTTTCCAAACCAGGACAGGGTAAATTGTTTTATGAAACACATTGTGTGTGTGTGTTTTAAATTTTATTTTGAAATAAAAGACATAATAGAGGACTGGACAGTGGGAAAAGGTACTCAACAAAGGGAGAAAACACATTGCCTAGGAAAGCCATCTTAAGAATCAGATGGACAGAGGAAGGAAATTGTCAAGAAACGCCACCTACCTAGATGCCCATAGCCCACAATTCCAACCCGTCTTCTCCTTTGGTCCCCAGACATTCTGCCTGTCCTAGTTTAAGAAAACAACAGATATGTGATATTGTTCACTGCAGAGAAGCATGGATCAGGGACTGAAAGGGTTTGAATGCCTACCCATATTTATGCCACAGATCTACCAGTGAAATCCTATACGTGTCTTCTAGAAACTTGAGGCCCCTAGAGTTTAGTGGTATTTACTTGAAGGTATGTAAGTGTACACAGCAAAGCAACTTCTGGCCCTCCAGTCATTGCTGGATCCCAACACCCATCAGGCCCCGTCAGCATGCCCAATGGTCAGGGACGATGGGAGTTGTATTCCAGCAATATTTGAGGGCCATCATTGGTATGCAGGATCGCACCCCAAATTCACCACTGGGCAAAACACTCACTGCTTCATCTTAATTTGGATTCCCAAGGCAAAAAATATTAATTGTAGCAATAATATTTGCATAAAGCAAATATGAAAACCCATTGTAAATTTTAAAGTGGATTGCATGTTCGTACAGGTTTAGCATCCGCCTGCAGTGCTCTCTGTGTGCGCACGTATAAAAAGATGTACAAAGAGAGAAAGAGCTCCTGTGCCATTTGACACTTCAGAGTGAGCAGCTATTTGAATTTAAGAGCCGATTCTTCACCTTCACACCCCCTAGATTTCTCATTACTCATTTAATTGATCAGCCGCAGCTGGATCTGTGTGACTGGATTCCGCTGAAAAGCATTTATGTTTTGAGATGGTATGATAGCGCCTGCAAGACATCAGTGGATGTGGCTTCGTCACGTGATAGGCATGCGTGTGAAGGAGCCCTGAGAAAATATGCCTGTCTTTCCTTCCCTGTTCATCCTTCGAATCGTGCATCCCTGTTTCTTCTCTTTTACATTTTGTTCCACTTCTGCCACCATTGACACCTGTCTGCCTCTGTATCAAGGGTGAGGAACCTATGGTTTGGCGTAGAGCAGATTTTTTATTCAGTTTTCATTATATATATATATAAAATTTCAATTTTATACATTTCAATAATTTTACAATAATTTTAACATTTCTAAACTTGACTTCCTTCCCCCTCTTTCTGTGGTTCCTTAAATTTATTTTTTATATTTCCTGCATATTCCAAATTAACTTAAACATTTATTCATCTACTTTAAATGTATACTCTTATAAAACTGCAGGTTATTACATTAAGCCTGCCAGTTTTCTTATCTGTTCACAGTTTGTTTGTAAATATCCAATAAATTTCCATTCTTTTATAAAAAGTTTGTTATCTTGAGTTCTTATTTTTTCGGTAAATTTTGCCATTTCTGCGTATTCCATAAGTTTTTGTATCCATTCTTCTTTCGTTGGGACTTCTCCTTCTTTCCATTAAAACGTCTTCTTTGCCTTTAAAAGTGAATCTATCACACTTTCCAAAACAATATGAGAACCGAAACGCCCCCATCTTTCGAAATTTGCATTTATCCTAATGTTGCGATGCATCTCTATAAACATCCAAGGTTTACAAAAATGTATATACTCAGGGGAAACGTGCATTTAAAATGAATGCATGCATTAAAACAACGTACAGAAATTCATTATATTATGGGAAATTGCTCGCAAAAATTAGTCAAAACTTGTGTTCATCAGAAGAAATCCGTACTAAAATGTTGAAGAATTTTCATGGGTATTTAAAAACAAAATCCAACACTTGCTGCAGAAACGTGAAATTTGGAAGATTGGAAATGTGAGTGAGATTGACTAATCCTTCCATCCTTACCCATCTGCCATCCATATGTTGTCAGAGATGATGGGTGTTGTAGTCTAGGAATGTCTGTATTAGCTACCATTCCTCTCTCTTTATTTCTTTGTCTTATCCTTCCAGTTAGTTAATAACTCACCATCCGAAACAGACTTTATATCTCACCTTCCACCAGCCCCATACCTATAGGCCCCCAAACCCCTCCACTTTTTGAACCAACTCACCTGAGTCGGTTGCACTGATTCTCTGGCACTCAGGCAACTGCAGGATACTAGCACAAAACAGAGGACTTATTTGTATTGGTGCCCTTTGGTCAATTAATCCCTGGAGGATGTTAATTATTAGCCTGGGGCCTGCAATTCCCCAGAGAATGGGTTGTTGGCAGGCAGGCATTAGTTAGAAGACAGCTAGTGAAATTCCCTCGTAAACTCTGCCGTTGCTTCTTGGCTATATAGCATCAAATAATGGCTTGGATATGTGAATGCGTCGTCACAGATTAATTGCCACAGGTAGCATTTTTATGTTGTCATTACACGCTCCTTGCACTTCCAAGTACTGCAATGTTCCAGGGGCATCACTTTAGGGCTGGCAGTGCAATCTTATTCATGTCTGCTCGGAAGAAGTCCCACTGAGATCAGTCGGACTTACTCCCAGCTGTGTATGTGTAGGATTTCAGCTTTGTGTTTTGTTAGGGGCTTTATAAAAATTATATTTATAAAAGAGGAGCAGCTTCTTGTGTATTCACTAAAGACAGGGGGAGAAGTACTGCTCATTTCACATTTTAATGCGAACCTATTCAATTAGCAAAGGGCCACGGGTAGTGCTGTGGGTTAAACCAAAGAGCCTAGGACTTGCCGATCAGAAGGTCCAATCCCCGTGATGGGGTGAGCTCCCATTGCTCGGTCCCTGCTCCTGCCAACCCAGCAGTTCCAAAGCACGTCAAAGTGCAAGTAGATAAATAGGTACCACTCCGGCGGGAAGATCAACGGCGTTTCCGTGCGCTGCTCTGGTTCGCCAGAGGGGTCCATTAACCTATTCAATTGGCAGTTCCGCAAAAAAAATACATGAACCAAAACATAGCTATTCTTCAAAATCTGCACTTCTCGGATCCGGGAACAAGTACACAAATGAATATATATCAGGGGAAAGTTTGCATTTTAAAAAAATAGTGAGCATGGCATATAAAAATGCATTATATTAAGATAAATTGCTTGCTAAGCTGTTTATTTGGAGAAACATGCACCAAAGCACTGGTGAGTTCTCAAGAGGATTTTTATTTTCTGCAAAGTGATGTGGACATGGGGCAATCTGAACTGAAGACTGAAAAAATAAGAAACAGTGGAACTGAAATTGACAGGTTTATCCATCCCTAGCATTCGCTCACATCCACAAACACGCTTCCAGTTCCAGCTAAGGGACAATTGTGTCGTTTGAGGTTCCTGTTGTGTTTTGGGCCGTGCTTGGAAGGACTTCTAGTTCAGATGAATAATGTTTCTGTTGACTATTGTGCCTCTCTGTCCTGGTATAAGCCTTGGCCTGCTTCCCCTTCATTTATCCCTCTTCCTCCTACACTTGCAAACTTGCGTTTTTGCTTGTTCATCCCCCGCCCAAACGCTTGACAAATGCTGAATTTGCACATTTGCCCCGGTGAACTCACAGACAACCGATAAATTGGCTGCAGCACACGGAAAAAGTTTGCTCCGAAAGTGGGATGGGATCAAGCAGACTGAACTTTCTGAGAAAAGGAATGAGTAGACGAATTAACAGGGAATCCAGAACCCTATTCAGGTGTCCTTGCCCAAACCTGCATAGGAAAAAGCACATGCCAGCTCTCCCTTCAACTCCACTATGCATGTCAGCTCCTATTCCACCATTGCCACACTGAGCAGGAATACTTTTACCTGTTCAGCTGAATGTATTTAGGAGCCTCCATGCAATATCAAGGTTCCCAAGCGCAGGGAAGATTATTCCTGTGTCCGTAGAATCACAGAATCGTAGAGTTGGATGAGACGTCAATGGTCATCTAGTCCAACACCCTGCAATGTAGGAATCTCAGCTAAAGCATCCATGACAGATGGCCACACAAACCCTGCTGAAAAACCTCCAAGGTGTGGGAATGTTCAGGGATGCAGGAGAGGATATATTGTTTGATTATAGCCTTTCCAACTTGTGTTAACAAGTTCACAATTTAGCAGAGTAACATCCTCCTTTTTAAACACACAGCGGATGCGTTTGCTCAGGTTCGCTAAAGCCTCAATAATAATTGTTCTGGTATTTTCCCCTTATTCCCTCATAAAAGATAACAGACACAGTCTTGTATAAAAGCATTGTTCACAATCGGATCCCAGAAGGCAGACTTAGCTTAGAAAAGTAACATACACCTGGAAACTATCCCATAAAGAGACAGTCCCTTTGTCCTCTCATGGCTGGAGGCCAAGGGAGCATTCTTCGAGGAAAGTAGTGATAGAGAGAGAGATGGCTGCCCTGCCCTGTGCTTTTGTCGTTACCTGCACAGGTGAGGCCACACCCACCTCTAGTCACATGAGGAGAAAGTCTGTCCCAGCCCAGAAGGAAACAGGAAGTTTACCTGCTGGCTGGACAAACATTCCTCCCCATGTGTAAACATGTTCACTCTAGGAATGTTGTACTTGGCTGCTCTTGTGTTTCACATCCCACACAAGGAAGGAGAGTCCACAACCTCCCTAGGGAGACTGTTCCACTGTTGAACAGCTCTTACCATCAGAAGGTTCTTCCTGATGTTTAGTTGTAATCTGCTTTCTTGTAACATGAAGCCATGGGTTCGAGTCCTACCCCCTAGAGCAGGAGAAAACAAGCTGGTTCCCTCTTCCATGTTACAGCATTTAAGGTATTTGAAGGTGGCTATCGGATCTCCTCTCAGTCTCCTCTTTTCCAGGCTAAGCATACCAAAATCCCTCAACCACTCCTCAGAGGGCATGGTTTCCAGTCCCTTGATCATCTTGGTTGCCCTCCTCTGCACACGTTCCAGCTTGTCAACATCCTTCTTAAATTGTGGCCTCCAGAGACGTTCCTGCTCCATGTGGGAAGCTCAGAAATGCAGGTGGTACCCATGAGGACACTGGGCACAGGGCTAGCATGTGTGGCCTGCTCCTCCGTACGTGGCACCAGGCAGTGTGGAGCAGTGGTTACAGTGTAGGACTAGGGCCTGGAAGAGCAGAGTTCAAATCCCAACGCGGCCATGGTGCTCACTGGGTGATCTTGGGCCAGTCCCTGTCTCTCAGCCTCGCCTACCTCTCAGAGCAGGATGAAGTAGAGAGAGGCAGGAGAGAACCATGTTTGCCACCTTGGGGTCGCTGGGGGAAAGGCGGGCTAAAAACACTAATAAATAATGCTTGCAAAGGGCTTACATTTCATAGGTGTAATGGTGGCACCTGAACACAGGGTGATGCCAAAGGTTTGCGATGCTGGTATGAAATCGTTGCTGTTCTCTTCTCCGCCAGCTACAAGGGACCAGGGGAAGTCCATGCCATTTGAAACGGAGGACCCAACCACACCTGATGTTATTTTTCCTTCTAGAATAATCAGAGGTGGGCTAATAATAATTGGGATCACAGAAGATGAGGGGGGATTAACCCTTTCCTTGTCTGCTGCACTCCTGGGAAAATTTTGTTCAGTTATTTGCAATGGGATGGGAAGGAGGGGTGGAATCCCCTGTTGCTACCAATTGGGTTTTTCTGTCCAATACGCATGCCGGCTTCAGAGCACAGGATTCCCCCCACAAATACAGCAGAAGAGGAACAGGGAAGCAATTCCTTCGCACACAGAAGGTCCCAGGTTCGATCCTTGGTGTCTCTGGGTAGGACTGAGTCGGTCCCTGGTCTGAAACCCTAGAGAGCGGCTGTCAGTCAAGCACCAAAGGGCTGGTCCCTTCTGCTTTTTTGTACATCTGACATTGAGTGGCATTGCTCCCACTTTTCCTTAGGATATCCCTATTTTCACCAGAGAAATGTTGGCAGGTATGGAGTTATGTGACACCCCCCCCCCCGAGCCAAGGAGATAAGTAACTACACAACCTTTAGAAGACATCTGAAGGCAGTCCTGTATAGGGGAGGTTTTTATGTTTAAGTTTTTATGTTTTTATATATGTTGGAAACCACCCAGAATGGCTGGGGCAACCCAGTCAAATGGGCAGGGAATAATAATAATAGGATAGGTAAAGGTAAAAGTAAAGGGACCCCTGACCATTAGGTCCAGTCGCGGACGGCTCTGGGGTTGCGGCGCTCATCTCGCTTTATTGGCCAAGGGAGCCGGCGTACAGCTTCCAGGTCATGTGGCCAGCAGGACTAAGCCGCTTCTGGCCAACCAGAGCAGCGCACAGAAATGCCGTTTACCTTCCCGCCAGATCGGTACCTATTTATCTACTTGCACTTTGACGTGCTTTCAAACTGCTAGGTTGGCAGGAGAATAATAGGATAGGGCATCCCTATTTTCATTGGAGAAATATTGCAGAGTATTCACTTGGGTCCTGCTTGTGGTCTTCCCATAGGTATCTGGCTGGCCATTGGATGGGGTATAAATAATAAAATTATCATCATCATTCTTATAGGATAGGATGTCCCTACTTTCATCAGAGAAATGTTGGAGGGTATGCTCATGCACCATCACTGACAAGTATCCACTCACTCGCTCACCCAGGCTGCAACCTTAAGACACCAGGGCTAGGGAACTAGTGACTCTCTAGGAGCTGTTATACTCCAACATGGGACGCAGGTGGCACTGTGGTCTAAATCACTGACCCTCTTGGGCTTGCCGATTGGAAGGTTGGCGGTTCGAATCCCCATGACGGGGTGGGCTCTCGTTCTGTCCCAGCTCCTGCCAACCTAGCAATTCAAAAGCACACCAGCGCAAGTAGATAAATAGGTACCGCTGCAGCAGGAAAGCAAACAGCGTTTCCGCACGCTCTGGTTTCCGTCACGGTGTCCCGTTGCGCCAGAAGTGGTTTAGTCATGCTGGTCGCATGACCCGGAAAGCTGTTTGTAGACAAATGCCAGCTCCCTTGGCCTGAAAGTGAGATGAGCGCCACAACCCCATAAACACCTTTGACTGGATTTAACTGTTCAGGGGTCCTTTAGCTTTTGTACTCCAACTCCCATTGGCCCCAGCCAACTTAGCCAATGGCCAGGGATGATGAGAGTTGTAGTCCAGTGTCTTTTGCCAAGTCACAGGTCCCCCTCGAATCCTATATGCACTGACCTGGGAGTATGTCCCATGCGATATAATGGGGCTTCCCTCTAAGCAGGCCCTCTACAAGATCCACAGAGGCCACAGATCAACTTCTAGCTTTTGAGGCCCCTAGCCATGGCAAAAATTAAAAATTGCTACCCGAGCAAACAAAATAAAGGCACCAGAAAGAGAGAGTAAGTGGTTTGCTTATATAATCAGCTTGGAAGACATGTTCATCACAGTCTAATCTTGTGCCCTCAGAACAGATAAGTTTTTATTAATATTTATGAAGGTTTTAAATGCTCTTGTAGGACAAAATCTATATCGGTTCACAAAGGAATGATGTGTTTCACCAAATCACACCGCTCCCTTGCTGAAATTTGCAGCTCCAAGCTGAAAAAACAAGTTGTGAAGCTTATCAGTTTTGAGGGCCGCCTTTGAGCTTGAGGGCCCTGGGGACGAGGGGCCCTCCAGAGGCCCCCTCTGATCGGCCCTGCTTCTGATAAGAGAGATGCACAGGATTGGGCTAGTGGTTCCTTAACTGCAAGAGACCCAGGGGAAGGAGCAAGACTCTGAACAACGGTGCTCACAAAGCACACGAGAAGATTTTTTAACAAGGCAACCCCAAGAGGCATAAAAAAACCCTAAGGATAATGAGGAGCATTGATTTGCCAGGGACAGGTATCTGAATAATAGGCCCACTGGGATCTATAAAGCTGTACCTGCACCACATTAAAGGTGCAGGGTGAGTCCCATTCCGTGCCAGAGTAGTGCCTGCATCAGCTGTTCAGCCCTGTATCATAATTCTTAGGGAAGGTCTAGAGTTTGGCAACAGAGCGCATGCTTAGTATGCAGAAGGTCCCCAATCCAATTCCTGGCATCTAGGTTTAGGGCCGGGTAAGAGACCCCCTGCCTCAAACCCCGAGAACCACAGTACCATGCAGATCTCCTGCTTCAAGATGCCAAGGGGTGTGCAGGGAGACACCGAACCTGGGACTTTTTTGCATGCAAGGCATGCGCTCGGCTGCTGAGCTATAATCCTCTCTTAAGTGCTCCTGTCAGCACTTCCCTTGAAAAAGCATGGATCCCATGGCCAGACTAGACTTGGCGTTAAAATGCAAATTTGCATTTCATGAGCACGTTTTTTTAAAAAAATGTAAAGGATGTTAGCTGTGGGGGGTGGGCAGAGAAGGGGGGTAATTAGGATCAGTGATGCATACCTCCAATATTTATCTAATAATAATAATAATAATAATAATAATAATAATACCCAGTCCATCTGACTGGGCTGCCCCAGGCACTCAAGGCCACTTCCAACATATACAATAAAACATTAAACATTACAAAACTTCCTTATACAGGGCTGCCTTCAGATGTCTTCTGAAGGTTGTCTAGTTACTTATCTCCGTGGCTCGGGGGTCACATAACTCCATAAAAGTAAAGGGACCCCTGACCATTAGGTCCAGTCGTGGCTGACTCTGGGGTTGTGGTGCTCATCTCGCTTTACTGGCCGAGGGAGCCAGCGTACAGCTTCTGGGTCATGTGGCCAGCATGACTAAGCCGCTTCTGGTGAGCCAGAGCAGCGCACGGAAACGCCGTTTACCTTCCTGCCGGTAAGGTACCTTCCTACCTTCCTTCCTTACCTATTTATCTACTTGCACTTTGACGTGCTTTCGAACTGCTAGGTGGGTAGGAGCAGGGACCAAGCAACGGGAGCTCACCCCATGGCGGGGATTCGAACCACTGACCTTCTGATCGGCAAGCTCTAGGCTCTGTGGTTTAACCCACAGCGCCACCCGCGTCCCTAAATAACTCCATACCCGCCACCATTTCT